TCTCCTGACCACCATGGGGCTGGATGTAGGGAAGACCAAAGAGTGATGAAGTCCTGAACTAGCTCTATCAGCATCAGCATGGAGAGATCCCGAGAACATCATGGTGAGTGAAAAAGGCAGGTTGCAGGGCACAAAAGGATTGTGGGGCAACTCAGTTCTATCTATACTCTTTTTTTTTTTTAAAGATTTCATTTATTTATTCATGAGAGACATAGAGAGGCAGAGACATAGGCAGAGAGAGAAGCAGGCTCCCTGCGGGGAGCCCGATGTGGAACTCGATCCCTGGACCCGGGATCACAACCTGAGCCAAAGGCAGATGCTCAACCACTGAACCACTCAGGCATCCCTTAAGTATTTTTTTTAATCAAAGGAAGAAAATAGTACAGATAGGGATGCCTGGGTGGCTCATGAATAAATAAATGAAATCTATAAAAAGAAATACTTGAAGGGAATAAAGCAAATATTGACAAATATCATTTCTTAGTGAGAGGGAAATAGGAGTATTTGATATATTGTTCTTGAGACTTTGTTGTATTTTTAAAAAATTCCTCAATTAAATGGGGAGAGGGGGAGGGGAAAACCGATGCGCAGATTCCCAAAATATACAGGATAACAGATTTTTTTTGAGCAGCTTCCAAATTTGGATTCACTTTCCCCCATGCAGAAATTCATATTAGTGGAGCCAACTAGCCTCCCCTTGTGAACATTGTTTTAAAGTAGATAAAATATCAAGGAATTTTGGAAGTTCTTATTTTTAGCCAGTAAAATGAAAAATTTCCACAGTATGTAAAATACAGTGCTCTAGTCGAAGCCTGCCTGGTTGGCTCCACCTAACTATGATCACGTCTAAGAACCTTTCCAAAGCTATTCTGGGCCTGGGGTGGGGGAGGTGACTCACTGTGTCCCTCCCTCACCCCAGCCCCTATCTGTTTATTCAGGTGAAATCAGATTAAAATGAACCTTAATGGTAGCTTTGGAAGGGAAGTCAGAGACAAAGAGATCCTGGGAGAAGCCTTAGACCAAGGATGATGAGAGTTATGTGGGTGACATTGCTAGCTTCTTAATTAGCGTCAACCACAATTTACGGAGCACCCATTTTTCAGAACAACACTAGCTTTCATAGGCTTTCCTCCGTGTTACTGGGAAGGAAGCATCCAGAGTGAGCACGTGCAATGTTATTTTATGCTTTCTTTTGGATAAACATAAAAATCTCATGCCTACTTTTAATGCTATCTGAAATGTTAAATACAAGCATGTGAATAAAAGATTACATATGCCCCATACCTAGTTGAGAATCTAGATTCTAAACTGAAGTGCCAGTACTGTCCCGTAACTCTGGGGCTTGGGGGCAAATCTGGATTCGAAGCCTGGCCTGACCATTTGTAGGCTGTAGACTTCAGGGGAGCTCCTTGCCAGCTCTGGGAAGCTGATTGTGACACCTGCCACTTGGGGCTGCTTTGCAGCTTCTGCAAGGCACTTGGCTCCTTTGCTAGTTTTTCAAAAACCAAATATGAAAATTTTAATTAATTTAACTTAATTTTTTTCCTTCTATTTTTTGGATGAGAATACTGAGGCCCAGACACCCTGTTCAGCACGAGACTTGATCTAACTGCAGAACAGGGCTCACCTGCTGGTCCTGTGTTCCTGGGTCAGGCACCTTTTATGGTGCCTGCCCTCACAGAGTCTCTGCAGGTGAGCAGGAGATCTAGAATTACCTTCTCCCCTGCCTGAGTCTCTCTGAGCAGCTCAAAAGAGCATCTAGAGTGATCTGGCTCATGTGACTCCCCAGGACCCCTGGATCCAATTTCCTTAGCACTAGTTAAGTGAAGATGCTATATTAACCAGCTGTTGTACGTGTCAGTGGGGCTGTAAGCTCTCAGAGAAGTGACCAGGTCTCCTGGTTCTTCTCAACAAGCCACTGGCCTCAGAAATAGACTGTGTTTCCTATGAGAGACTTTTAATGGAGAGCTTCCCTGGATGATCTCAGGTTAGCTTTTAGTCTTACCACTCAGAGTTTCACCAGCATGACGCACACAGCAACTATTCAGACTTTGCTATCTGTTCCCCTCAACCTGTAACCTTTGTGCTCTTTCTCAAGTTGCTGAACCCCTCGACCTCAGCTTCCTCACCCATAAAGTAAGGATGTGAGTAACTGCCCTGGATGTTCCGAGGATCAAAACAACATGAACTGCTGCACGGGAAAGCCTTTTGTAAACTTTTTAAGACATAACTACCACTTTCCTGTGGTCCAGCATGAACCCATTCCTTTCCCAAAGGAGCCCTTTAGGGGAATAGTGTCTTCTGTTCTTTTAACGCATTTCTCAGCAGACCCCCCCCCAGCTGCCTTCACTGAGAGGGAACCACAGGGGCCCTCATTCAATAAAGCAGGAAGGAACTGCATCCTTGCTAAAGAATTCAGAGTTCCTAGCACTTTCAAGGTAAATCTCTGTTGAGTTCTAAACTAACCTCATTCCAGGAGACCAAAATCTTCTCTCTTAGCAGTTCCCAGTGAGAGAATCTTGGTCTAGTTACTTAATGCATCTGAGCCTCAGTTTCCGTAAAAAATGTGAAGATACTTGCCTCACTGGATTCTTGTGTCAAATGAGGACACATGATGGTAGGCAGTCACCACACCTGACTTTTTCTCTCCTTTGTACTTTTCTCTTCATTTACCCTTCTAAACTATGTCTCAGCTTTCTTTTCCAGGAAATGGGGATAACACTACCTGGCCAACACACTCACAGGATCACTGTGTGACTGCCCAATCAGCTGAGGTAGGGCTTTGGAAAGGATATGTGTAGTAGAAATACCTGTATGGGGTTATTCTTGGGGTCACTGACCTCGAACTGATGAGTGTGCTGGTCCTCAAAGGCCTGGGCTGTTTTGTGTAGCGGCCACCTTTAGTAGCTCCCTTCACCAGGTTCTCCTACTGCTCTCTGCTCTCTGGAGGCTCCTAATGCTCTCACATCTACCTGTGGTGCTCTGCGGCCTCCTAATCCCTGTCCCTCCCATGCCTCACCCCCATCTGCCTCTCTGGATCACAAGGCACAGGACCACCCACTCACTGCTCTCTGGATGCAAAAATGGTGCCTGCTCCAATCCCGCAGGCTGTTAGAAACCGCCTGCACATGACCCCCCTACCCTCATGAATAAGTACTAAAAAGACTCATTATGGGTAGATAAGGAAAACAGGAAATGCTCCCTAAAGCCCCCTACAACCCTCAATTTGAACAATCCCACCCCCTACAGAGGTCCCCAGCGTCTTATGCAAGGAAGCCACTAGCCCCCTCTGGGGTTGAGGAAGAGCCCTGTGTCCTAGACCCAAAGGGAACCGTTGGGAGGGCGAGCTGCAGAGGCAGGCGCAGGGGAGCCGAGCTGCTCTATTCTGGGCGCAGTTTCAAGGCCAGCTGCAAGGAGAACAAGCAGTTGCTGTGCGCCTGCAGCTGGCAGTGGTTAGGCCAGGGCTGTCCCTCACTTGGGGTATATTTAAAGAGACCCCACCAGACGATCATGCCAACAGGAAAAATGCACACACATCTCTGCTGGCCTGGTTCAGCTTCCAAGCTCAGCCCCCTCCGCCTTCACTGCAGCTCCCAGGCAGTGGATGAGAGAGAGAGAGAGAGAGAGAGAGAGAAAGAGAGAGAGAGAGAGAGGTGGGCCAGCTCCCTGGCCTCTCCCAGGTGTAGCTGGTCCCACCCGGGAACACACAGCCCTGGCTCCTGGGCCTTCCTACCTTCAGACAGAGCTGGGCAAAAGTTCCAGGGATTAGCCCTGGCCGGCTCCTCCCACCCTGGGGCTGGTAACCCAGCAACCAAAGGGGAGAGGCAGGCAGATGAGTCAAATGGAAGCACAGAATCTCTGGCTTTGTGTTTTGTTTGTGAAAACTCCCTGTGCACACAGGCTGCCTTCGACAGGGGATGGCGGGGCTTTCCCACACTGCTTCAGGCCAAATGTTCCTCCTCAAAGGGGTGCCCAGGCCCCACTTGACTGCTAATGCGGGCTTAGGGACAAAGCTGGTGGGCCAGGGGGAGCCCATCTTGGCTGAACTCTTTGGCTGCCTCTTTCACTTGTTTTTCTCAAGTGAAAACAAGGCTACAGGCCTGAGTCCCACGGGAAGGTGGCGTGGTAGCTGAGAAGTATGGGCAAGGGAACCAGCGGCCTGAGGCCTCCGCAGAGCAGAGGCAGGCTGGGGTGCATAGACAGCAGGGCTCTCCGGTGGCCAGAGACCAAGGACGGCTTCTCAGAGCGCCGAAGAGACTTCTGGGGGGAACCCGGCAGGAGTGGGTGAGCGGTAGGAAGAGGGCAGCTTATCAACCAGGGGAGGGAAGCGTCCGGCAAACTGTGTGAGGCAGGCTGCTACAAGTGCCGGAAGAGTTAGGAAAACACAAGTGTGCCAACGGGATTGGCTACATAATTGGAGGGGCCCAGTTCAAGATGAAAAGGCAGGGCCCTTTGTTAAAATCTACCAAGAATTTCAAGCATGAACCCGAGGACCCTCTGAGCAACCGCATAGGTTGCTCACCCACAAAGCTGACCCTGGGTACCTATGAGTGGGCTCCTGGAGCAGCTTTGACAGCAGAGGTGGAGTGAGCTGGGGGGTATCTGCCTCTTGGCCGTCAGCTCCCAGACCTTTACCAGCCCTGAGACGCTGCCTCTCCCCACCAACAGCCGGTCTCCCTGCGCTGGCACCAACTAAGTCTTTGCCTCTCAGGAAAGGGGGAATTGCAATGTCGTGGTGGGGACAGGGCTGAGGACTGGAATGGACCTCTAGGCCCAGAGCTCCAAGGACTCCCCGGATGCGCCAAGAAAGGCAGGTCCAGTGGCTGGAGCCCCATCAGAGTGAGGTTGCAGAGGTGTCTGGGAACAGGATGGAGATACAACCAATGGACTCCACTCTGGATCCCCTCTTAAGGACCCAGTGGACATGTCCTGAGGGTGTGTGTGACAGTCCAGGAGCAGAACCAAGGTCTGGGAAGCCTTATTCTCTCCTGGGGACTTACCTCCAACTCTATGTGGTCATGGAGCTTCTTGCAGGTAGCTGCAAAGGTCTCCGAGGTGCCAAATTCAAAATACCACAGTTTATTTTTCATCCTGCACAATGAAGCAGAGAGCTGACTCAATATTCTGTATTTGAAATGGTCGTGCAAAATAGCTATGCCAGTGGGGCTGTGAGGCCCAAGCCCTTAGCATCCTGCATTCCTATATTTTCAGCACTTCTTTATCAGACAATCACCTGTAGAAATTTTCACCGGCTGTTCTGGCTACGAACTTAGAGAAAAACCCATTCATTTCTTAGACATCATGGCTACTTGGCTGAACCTCCACCTGCTCTGAACTTCCTGGACAGAGCAGGGGGGAAAGGTGCACTGGCCCCTGTATCTGGATCAAGGGAAGAGTCTTATGAAAATCAACCAGAGGTGGCAAGTGACATCATCTCTATCGTGGTCCTTTCTACTGATAATGCCCAGGAACTTCAGCGACAGGCCTCTCTTGGGTATCGCTGGGGTACAAAGGGAAGAAGAGACAGACTTTTGAGACTTGAGGTACAGATCGTCTCGGGGCAGAGAAGAGAGAGTTCCACACTAAACCAGCCAAAACACGTGCCGCTCTATGCTCTGCCTGAGGGACGCAGAGTGGAGAGAATGAGAGACAGATTTGCCAGACAAGGTAGAAAGAGAAGAAAAAAGTGAGTTATTTGGTAGCAAGAGGCTCCCCCCCCCACCACACACCTCTTCTTTGATTGCATTTGGCTTAGGTCATGGCAATACTTCATTTAGGGGGAGGCCTGGTCATTTGCTTCAAAGTAAGAGCTCACCACTTTGAGCTTTAGAAGTTTTCGACATTTTCTTTAGTGGGAGGAAAAGAAAGGGATTCCCATGTGGCTGGGGGCTTTGCAAAGTCAGATGGTGTCTCCTGACACTTGGTCACTTTGATCAGATGGTCTCACCAAGAAGTGTGTCTGATGGTATCCCATTCCTTCCATCCCAACTGTTGTCCCATTATGAGGGGCTGGCTAAGAGAAGAGACACCTGTCCAGTTTATAAGCTGGCAGATTTTGCTAAGGAAGGATTAAACAAAATCACATTTTTCTTGGCACATTCTTCAGGAGAGGGGAAGCCAACATGCACTGCTGATCCTCCATCCTCAGATTCATGGACTAGAAGGAACAAAGCATTCTTTGGAGGCAAGAGGGCTCTTATTTCTTTCCAGTAGTCCTTGGGCCATATTAGATGAGTCTTCAGAACAAAAGGCAACTTTTATCTCTGCATTTCTCAAAGAGTCTGCCTGGAATGTGAAGATGATGAGACTGTTCTTCCATGATGGTTTCTAAGACCTACTTGACTGGAAAGTCGCCTTTTTGACTTTGTGTATGTATGAAGAGAAATAATAAATAACGAGGAAAATAAGAACAGGTAAGATTTAGGGAGTTATACCTAATGAAGAAAGTTAGCAGAACTGGGTATACTTTTAAGCAGACCGGTGCTTCTCAACAAGTGTGCTCCAACAGGGCATGCCTGGAATGTCCATCCCCTCAGTCTTTGGGGTAGCCAGGTTGGGGCCTGGGGCAGGCTGAGCCCTGCTGTCATAGTGGGGACTCTCATCTGTATGCCAAAAAAGTGCTTTTGTTTTCTACACCTGCCCTGAAGTGAAAAATATTGGGAAACACTGTTTTAGATCACTGGTTCTCTGTAGGCACAGTAATGGGAATACGATCACCTGGGGACTTCATTAAAATACGGGTTCTGATTCAGCCATTCAGGACTGGGGCCTGAGAATTCTGTGTTTTTTAACAAGTTGCGGATGCTGGTCCAGGGATCACACCTGGTGCCATGAGGGTGTGGAGACCACAAGTATGGTTCTGAAACATTAGTATTCATAAGAACTGCCTGGAGAATGTGATTAAAATCTTCCTTCCTGGGCTTCGATCTGTAGAGAGTCTGTGATAGTTTTGGGATAGGGCCCAGGAAGAGGCAGGAGTGCCCAGGGGATCATTACGCAGGTGGTCAGGTGTCGTGACTTTAAGAAACATTCCTCTAGATACCAATGAAGTGACAACCAAGGAACAGAATGGACTGATTAAACCTGACAGAGAGGATTCCTCAGGGAGGATAAAATGAGGGTCAATCCCTCTCCATAGACAATGATGGCAAAAGACCCAGGGACAGGAAAAACACAGACCGTCATAAATGTCAAGGTTGAGCATTCCTCTCTGGCAGCGAAAGCATCTCTATAGCCAAGAGACCTGCATTGTGATTCCATTTTCAAATATCACTTCTGGTCTGAATCATGACTTGAAAGTTATTGCCAGGAGATTTAGAGTTTTAATAAAAATTTCCGGAAGCCACCTGCTATTTTTGTCCAGAAGTGGCTCTTCTGATAATCTAATAAGGTTAAGAGGTCATGGTTAGGTCAGTGCAACAGAATGACAGAGAGGCTCAAACAGACTACTCATCCATTGCTGGTAAGTTGTTGCCTGTGTAATCTTTGGCAAGTGTTAAGCCTTAGTTTCCTCATCTGTAAAATGGAGTTGATACAAAGACCTGCTTCAAAGGGTAAGTGAGAAGATTAAACGTGGCATTTGCAAAGCACTTTACATAAGGCTTGCTGCAAAGTCAGCTCACCAAGAATGTTACCTACTTCAAAATTGGTTTTTATTTCAATGTCTTGCGTTGACATATTTGGATGACATAGGGCAAAAATGACAGATCAGGTTGGGTGGCTATAGACATTAAATGTGAAAAGTTTCTAGTATAGGAAAATATGTGATCCTATTTGTTGAATCATGTGTCTTGACTTGTGGTTAGAAACATATGTTCCCCACATGTTTGTTCTAATAGCTTACTCCAGATCATTACCGCACCCTAGTCCTTGGCTAATTATCTTGACTGGTCACACAATTGTCCAAAGACGTGATGTTGATTAGGAATATGCTTCTGAGAAAGTGTTTGTTTGGTGTGAGACAAAGCATTTCAGTTCAAGAAATTAATTGTGCCGGAACTAGAGGGGGTTGTGCTAGGTATAACTGAAGAACAAAACACAGTACCGCATGAGGAAGGATGGACAAGGGAAAAGATCATAGAGTTGTGAGCTAAGCCCTAAGCACTGAGGATACCTAGGAGAAGGGATATCCAATTCGTAGTGAGGCCAGGGGCAATCAGAGACAGCAACCTGGGGGGTGAGGGGTGGGGAATGTCAAGGTTGAGTTCTGAAGAGCGTGAAAGGGAACAGAGACAGTGGAGCATTTCAGGCAGATAAAGAAGCTCAGGCAATGGCACAGGGCAAGAGAGAGCATAAACTTGCTGCAGGTGTCCTGAATTCAAGGTGGGTGGACTGGTGATCGGGCAGGTAAGGCTGGAGAGGCAGACAGGAGCACGATTGTAAAGGCTGGGGACGTTACGCTTAGGTGTTTGGGTTTTAAGTCTATAGTGTATCATGACCATCCTTACCTGAAGGTAAGGGGTTGGGGTGATAGTAATGACCTGATAAAATCTGTGCTTTTTAAAAATCACTCTGTCCCAAGTGTGGAGAGTGGGTACAGACTGGAAGCCTAGAGAGTAGTTTGGAGGTGGTGTAGAAATCCAGAACAAACTGGGAGGGGCTCGAATGAAGGTAGTGACAGTAGAGTTACAGAGAAGAGAATTCATTCACAAGCTAAAATTTCGGGAGGTGGAATTGACGAGCTGGTTGGTTGTGAGGAACAAATAAGAAAGAGTCATTGCGGTAACACCCAAGGTTTTGTTGTAGCATGAGAATGGCAGGTGCCATTCGCTGAGAGAGGGACACAGGAAATCAATTCTCCAGTGGTGGTCCTCCTTGTAACTGAAGGATAGAACTTTGGTGTTTGGGCCTATCTGACCATACATCCATGCATCTGTCCATAGAACATCTGATAAGCCGTCCTATGGGCCAGGCACCGTGTAGGGCTTGGAGATGGTGATGAGTAAGGGTCTCTGGCCTCACAGAGCTTACACACTTTTAAGAACTTCACCAAGACACTAACATTTGACCTTTGACCCACAGAAGACTATATGCAGCCCACATTTAAGAGCTTTTACTTCTTCTTCTAACTCAGGGACGTTTTAGTTAGAAGTGAATACTTTCTATTTCTATGGCCTATAGCCATGACCGTGAAACATTTTACATACGCTCTCTTTCAAGTCTCAGAAGAACACTATGAGGTAGATACTGTTGCGACAAATAAGGAAACTGAGACTTGGGAGGATAAGTAACTTGTCTAAGGTTGCAAAGCGAGCGAGCACAGAGTGGTGCCCAACCCTGTGTAGGCTTTGCTGCTCTGCCACTGATCTGAGCGTGCTCTGTGGTGTGGTGCTGTTGTGTTCCTACTGTGCTCACTAGACTGTGAGTTGTGGTTCTCCTTCTCCAGGTTGTTAAGTGGATGTACTCAAGGACCTGGGGTGTCAGGTTACCTTGCGTCCTAGGAGATACTGTCTGATGCAGAGTGTCAGCCCTCCCAGCTCCCAGTGACCAGGGGAGTTCAAGAGGAGTTGGAATTGGATTTGTCACAGGAACCTCCTGGTTTTGAATCTACCCAGTCTCTCAGAGAGTCAGGGAGACCAGAATGGACCCTGGTAAAGCCAGATGCTTCCAGGACACCCTGCACTTTGCCTTCTCTCAGCTCACCCAGAAATGGGGCAGGGGCAGTGTCCCAACACAGGGACAAAGAACAGGGAAAGCTGGAAAACAAACCAGCTTAGGAGACACGTGAAATCATCTACAGATAGGTCTTGGTCCACAGAAGGCCCTTATCCCCTACACATTAAGTTTGTTGATTGAATGTTGCTGATGCCCTGTCAGTAATCAAAGTACTCTTTTCATAATGAAGAAGGTCACTTATGTGGCTAATCAGAAAAAAAAAAAAAGGCCACTAGCCTTTATTTGAGATAATATAGAGGGGGGATTTTTAGGTTGTCTCTGTCCTAACCACCGAAATGTTTGAATGTATGAAGGCAGGGGCCATGGGGACAGAGATAGAGAAAGGAAGGGACCCCTACAGGGCTAAAGCTGGTTCAGGGAAAGATGGTTCCCAGAATCCCGCCCGACTGAGGTCAGTCATTAATGGTGGGCCATGAGGTGGAGGTTGGCTTCAAGCCAAGTGATGTAAGAGAAGATAAGGTAGAACCTTTCTTTATATATGTTGGGGTGTTGTTGCCAAGGATTTCACTGGTAGGCGAATCTAAGGCAGGGCTCCATGCAGGTTTCGGGCTGCCCCCTCTCGCAGCCCCTTCACATCAGGAAGGAAGCCAAACTCCCAGCCTACCATCACTGCACACCAAGACACCAGGGGCGCAGTAGCCAGGACTCCTAGGCTCTGTCTACACTGCCAGAGCAAATCTGTATAGCATGGAATGGAATGCTGACAGGTTTTTTGTTGATCTGGAACTAGACTTTGGCCTCTTGATTTTGTACTCTGCTGAACATACATTATTCTCTCTTTTTAGTCTCAGGAGAAGTCGACGAATAGGTACCGCTGCTACCAATAAAGAATTCACACATTCAAGTGTGTTCTTCTCTGCCTCACCTTCCCTTTTTACCGTTTCCTAGACCAGCACCAGCACCTTTCCCAAGTCTTTGGTAAAAGTCTATAAAGCATATGATACTCTACAGTTTGCAGTGGGAGATGTAGCCCCTACCCTACCCTGCCAACCAGAGCCTGAACGCCTGTGTTTCTTCTCTTTTGAAGACGGCTCCCCAGACACGTGGTTAGCCCTTGTTGGAGGGTTGCTGCTGCTGCTGCTGCTGCTGCTGCTGCTGCTGCTGCTGCTGCCTATGGCACTGGTGTCTGTGTGTTTCACCTTCAGTTGTACAACAACATGGCATTTGGGATCTGAGAGGCTATGGTTTTCTGCCACTAGCTGGCTAGGTGGTGATATGAGTTCTTTAAAGCTCCATTTCTTCTACAAAATGGGAATTTTTTTTTAAAAAAAAGATTTTATTTATTTTATTTTGGAAGGGGAAGAGGGTGGGAGAGGGACAAGCAGACTCTGTGCTGAGCGCAGAGCCTTGATATGGGGCTCAACCTACAACCCTGAGATCATTACCTCAGCCGAAATCAAGAGTCTGACATACAACCCATGGAGCCACCCAGGCGCCCAGGAATATTATTTTCTGTCCCACAAAGCTGTGAAGCTGCTGCGGCAAATACAGAGCACCAAGCAGCATTTAATGCATGGCAAGTACTCACTAATTGTTCTTTCTAGTCACTAGGAGATGCAATCACTGGGAGACTCATTCCTTTAGGGGTAGGAGTAGGGTTGGGTCAGGGGTCTATCCCAGGTAGCCAATGTATTTGAAGAAAATAAAGCTAACAATGTTTTAGTGACTTCTGGAGTGCTCTTTTCTGTGTCTCTCTTCCAGAGTTCTTTTTTGGCTCACCATGTCTTTCCTTCTCATAATCACCTTTTAGCTGGAGAGGACTAATCCTTAACCAGTTGTCCTGGGGCAGGTTTCCATGTCCACGAAACTCCTAGATACACTGTCAGGCTCGAAGCTACTACCCAGGTGAGCCCATCCTTGAGGCAGAAGACCCCCACTGGGCTCCTCAAGGACTTCAGTCACATGGAGGAGAGGCAAACAGCAGCAGTGACACCGTGGGCCGAGTCTATTTCTGGGTTTTCTTAACTTCCCCCAGCTTTATAAGAAAATAACATCGATTGCACACTAGTGAGCTGGATCTTCTCATTTGACAGATGAGGGCAAAATGAGACTAATTAAAAATGTTCTTTTGTATTTGTCAGCGATTTAGGGCTGGATTCAGTCATCATCTCCACAGCCTATGAATAGCTCGTTTTCAAGAATGTCCACAAGTTAAAACCAAGCTAGCTGCTGGGCATTTTTACCAACAAAGGCCATGGAGCTTCTGATGGCCCTTTTCTGATATTCTAGGAAGTTTTAAGGGCAATAGACTTTTGAAGTCGTGAAAACATGAAAACATTTCTTTGGGCTTAGAAGGCTACAAAGAGGACACTACGGCTATTTCTAGAAATAGGAGCCCTTGAAGTGATGGTATTCCTCTTTGTGGTATGGACTTTGATAATCAGGTTCCCTGAGTGGGTCATGACTCAGTCGGTCAATCAGGCCTTCTTGTCAGCCTCGCCAAGCAGATGCTCCCCGCAAGATGGCGTTCTGTGCTGTGTGGAGGGGGTGGACTGCTGTGGTGGAGGGCCTGCTGGGCCAGCAGGCGGGAGATCGGCCAGCCTGGTAGCCCTAGCTCTCATACACATGCGCATGTGACACCATGACTTACCCAGGGTGTCCTGGCCTCAGTTTCCTCATCACAAAGAAGGCCATGGAACAGCTGATTTCTAAGGTTTCTCTAAGCTCCCTGAACAATGCGAGATAATGCAACACAGGATAGGGTGGGAGAGTCATGTGCTCCACTGCCACCGCAGAGGGATGTGGGCCCCACTACGGCCAGAAGTGCCATTTTTTAAAGAAAAGCCAGAAATATGTTTTTATGTAATATCTCTGATTATTAGAGTTAGCAACAAATTCATTTTTTGTTGTTTTTTTTTGGGGGGGGGTGGGGGTGGGAGAGTGAGGGACAGGAGGGGCAGATGGAGAGGGAGAAAGAATCTCAAGAAGTTCCACGCCCAGTGCAGAGCCAGATGTGGGGCTCAATCTCAGGATCCCGAGAGCATGACCTAAGCCAAAACCAAGAGTCAGACATTCAACTGACTGAGCCACCCAGGAGCCCCCAAATACAATTTTTTAAAGGGCTAAAATCTACACATCTGGGGAAAATTATAGCTAGCCAACAGGCTATTTTGGTACACTAATTATAAATTTTCATAAGTTTCATCTCAATTAAAAAACAAAGCGAAGAGTTTCAGTTAATGCTTTTAAGGTTTGTTGAGTTATTGGCAGTGATGTTGCTACTACTCCCGGAGACAGTAGACTAGTGCCAGTTTACTAAGGTGAATAATAATCCAGCAAAATCACACGGATGTGATAACACAGAAAGCAAAAACAACTGGAGTTGAAGTGACATGAAGGATGAAGGTTAATAATAATAGAATACTTTGTTAACATTTTACACTGTTTGAATCCCAAGTGCCTCTGGGAGTTAAATAGTTGGGTTAACTGAAGTTTAGATCAAAGGTTTAAAAAAAAAGTGGGCTGAGGCAGGTGGGCTTGGTTCTAAGGCCAGAATATTAAGTCCTGTAGGGGCCCATGAGCATCACTTCACAGGTGCTGCAGAGGCCATCTGTGTCACCCGCACATGCAGCTGCCCTGGCCCATCAGAGAGCTTGTCACCACATCTAATCCACCCTGCATGCTGTCCCCTGTTCTCACTGCTCGCTGGAATGGGCACTCCATGACCCTCAGGCACGGAGCTATGGATGCAAGAATCTTTTCCAAGAGGGGGCAGTGGCCCCTCTGCTATAAGGGAAAGTGAGCCCCCCGCAATCAGGAAGGAGGCTTTATAAATAGCTGTTTTTGTTCTCTGAGTGTGACTCTTGTGCCCACTAGTCCTGCCAACAGATTTGTCTTGGCTCAGTGTATTTCGGCTTTAAGGGGCAAGGTATTTGCTGGCTGTTTTCCATACTGGGGACAGACTGGTGTTCACGGCACTGGGGAAAATCTGGTGGGGGGGGGCGGTGAATAGATTGGAGGGCTGGAGACCAGAGACCAGGAGGGGGTGGGTGGAAACAAGGGGAACAAAACAAGAGGGAAGACCTCAAGAAGGAGCTAAAGGAAACAAAAAGGCCAAGAACGTACCTAGCATGTATTTTACAATATCAATATGGAATCCTCTTAATAGCCTATGTTATAACAACTTTAATAACTTCTTAGCTCATTTTCATGTGTGAAAAATTACCTGTAAAATCACAGATGACAGATCGTTTGCACTTAAGGGGCCTTTGGGGTCCAGGGATTCCCAGCCAGAAGATCACAGGTTCCCAGGGATCTTCCAAAGTATGAAAGGAGTCCATGAGTTGCTGTCAACATCTCTTAATGTGAAACAGTATTTGTGCATTTACTCATAATAAAGACTGCACAGGCTAACTAGTGGGTTAAATTTTTTTTGCCATGGGATGGAATTAAACCAATTACATTGGTTGGTCACCTCCTGGTAACCAGAGGCACTGATTGTACAGTAAATGGATGTTGTGCAATTAAAAAAATGGGAAAACAAGTTCTTGCTTAGAACAGCTTTATGGCTGATAGAAATCTTATTTAATATGGCACCCATGGTGGTGAGTGATGAGGGATGATGAAAAATAGTGCACTATTTGATGGCAAAAGGGTACATGCAGAACTGCTAGTCATACCAGCTCTGGAAGGTGGTTTTCTTCTAAGCCAGAGCAGCCTTCTCATGGTACAGATTAAGAAGCTGAGACCAGTCCTTGGTGATGCACTGGCTGGAATCCAAGGCCCAGCTCCCAACTTTTAGTCCATGTCCCTTACCTTTCCTCCTGCCCTGGCTCCTGTTGCTGTGCCTAGGATGTATCTGAGAATTGGAAACGTCAGCCAGAGTCACAGGAGCTAGGGACTGCAAAACTGTTGGCCATCCTCAGATGTGCTTGTGGGCTGGCTTTGTCACAATTTAGAGATTGCAGCTCTAGGTTGGCTGGCTCTGGTTGCTCAGGGCGCTGTGGCACTCTTCTCCACAGAGCCTGTGGTCTGGGCCTCCTTATTGGCCTCTGGTCTCCACTCTTCTCCCAAGGAAACAAAGAGCCAAACCCACTTGGCACTCTTTCCACTGCTTCGATGGAGACTGGGGTCCAGAGAACCTGCCCCCTCTGAACAATGACCCTTCTGTTTCCCGCAAGACAGTTTGTTTCTGTGGACTACGGACATATTCTCCTTTGGTAAGCTCTCCCCATTTCTGTCTGGCACCTGACAAAATCTCCTCCTAAGGGCAGGACTCCAGCAAGAAGCCTGCCAAAGTCTGAAATCTGATCCTCCCTCTCTGTAGCATCCGAGGACACGTGTGTGTGTGTGTGTGTGTGTGTGTGTGTGTGTGCAGGCACACACACGGGCCAAAACAGGGAGGCTTCTCTAATACTCTGCTACTAAGCACAGTCACAGACGTGGCCTCTCTGAGGTGACAGGGTCTCTCGAAGCCCCACAGCCCAACCTGAGAACTGCCGCAGTGATGTGAATGCCACCACATGGTCCTGCCACTTTGGGGGTGACCCTCAGGAGTGACAGCTGGTGAGGCAGCTAGGGTTTTCCTCTCCTGAGGGCCTGAGTGTCTGGAGTGTTTTTCCAGTCAGTATCTGTCCTTGCCAAGAGAAAATTGCTCCCTTCCCCCATCCAAAAATAAAATAAAATAAAATAAAAATTTAAAAATCTCACAGAGTTTGGCTGCTTTTAGCAATCTTTTCTTCCTTTGAAGATTTATTCATGGAATGAAAATCCCCCTCAGGCCGATTTGGCTGATGCTAGGAGGGCTCTGAGTAAGCTTGCTCTCCTAGTTCTCAGGGAGCAAAGTCAAATACCAGGACAAGAAGAAATCCTGCACCTGGAGGAAAAGGGGCAAAGGCAGGTGGGGGATGTGTGTCTCTAAGGTTCTGTAATGATTGCTTAGCTGTTGTGTATCTTTTTTTTTTTTTTCTTTTCTAAGTAGGATGCCCAATGTGGGACTTGAACTCACCACCCTGAGGTCAAGAGTCACATCCTTTACCAAGTGAGCCAGCTGGGCACCCCCGTTGGGTACCGTTTTTGATTCTGGACTATGCTTTACCAGCATTCACACATCCATCAGCCCGGGAGGCTGGTCTTTGAAGGCAGGTGAGGACAGTTAAGGCCCAGGTGGGCAAGATGGCTGATTAGAACAAGTCCCAAATGCCTAGAAACTAAGGCAGGCCACCTGGCTGCAACTGAGCTCATGTCCAGGAAGGCTGCTTCCTGGGTCCCGACCAATGAAGACTAGAAACTAGAAACCATCTGGGTGAGTAGAGGCAACCCCAGAAGCAGGTCTACACTCACACCCTACTTTGATTGCCAGGTGGACTTCTGAGAGAGACGGCAGAGCTTTGCCTTCCCTCTGCACTTTTTTGTCTCCAGCTCACCCTCCAGCTGTTGAGAATCATCCCAGTCCCCACTTACCCAATGTTTATTGTGTGCTGTAACTGCACTGGCTGTTTTACAAGCCCAAGGGTCCCCCTCACGTGCTTCTCACATCTACACGCCGAGGGTTAGTCTATAGATGCATTTGAGACTGTAGTTCCTTCAAAATGCAAAGCTAGACAGGAATGGTATCATAGTATCTGACGTGATGAATGAGCCTGCTCTCTTTTCTCTCTCCCACAAAAAGCCTTTCTGAACATGAGCTGTGCCAGATTTATGATAGGTCAGGTTACAAAAGTTCCTGGTTAAGCCAGTTGTTTGTCACTCTGAGCACATTTCCCCATAGAAACAATGTTATGTTGAGGTTGGGTTCCCAGGCTAACCTATACAAGCCAATTAACCCATTATGTGTCTAGCTTTGGGAACAGCTTGGTGGAGCTGAAGCTGCTCTAGTTGGAAGCCAGAGAGGCATGAGTTCCAGCCACGGCTCAGTCACTTACTTGCCATGAAGTCTTGGGCAAGTCGTTGAGTCTCTGTGCCTTAGTTTCTTTATCTTGTATTGGGATGATATTTTATGTACCTTGCAGGGTTGTTGGGAATATTGGGAATGGGTTCTATGATATACCCTCGAATAATGGCACAACAGAATTCCATGGCCCTGTATAAAAACTGGCTTTGTGGCCTCATGGATTCTGAGTTCCAACATGCAATATGAGCGGCGCACCGTGCTTGCTGAATTTGGATTGGAGAATCTTTGCTTTCCTTGGGAAAGGGACATGGCGACTCTCATGCCCTCAGATCCCTGCTGGCGACCCTGAAGTCTGGGCTGGAGTTCTTATCAGAATGGGACTGGAGGTGCCAGAGGGAAGTGGGAAGTAGCAGAGGCAGGAAGGCGAGTCAGAGCGCAACGTAGGTATGCGTCCTCTCTCTTCCTTTTGCTATCATAAAACTACACAAAGATCTGGTTACTTTTTCTTAAGTTTCCGTGCCTTCCACACCACCAACCAGCTGGACACCTCCTGGTCAGAGTTAAATACAGACTAGTTCCCTCCTTGCTTCCTCTACCTTTTAAGTCAAGAAATTGTTAGCAAGGCGAGCCAACGATTCATGAGATGGGGCAGATGCCTGGATAAATACCCCCTTTCCCATCCCTATTCCATCTTCTTCCTGTGCCAGTTTTAAAAATCTTAACTAGGAAAGCATCAGCCAGAGCCTCACTCTGCCTGAGAAGACTGGAGTATACACTGCCAGCAAAATCCTTTCTATTTTGCCCTTTAGAAAATCTCATCCATATGCTCTCGGCTTTGCTTCCACTCTGATGTTTGTGACTTCTGATACTTGTGTATGCACTCCCAACACCCACTGCAGGGACTGTGATCATGTGAACTTGCCACCCTCACCAGCACGGCATTCTGGTTGTGCGTTCAAGCCCACCAAATCTCCGCTGTCTTGGAGGTCTTGTTCACTCCCCTAAGAAACCCAACCCGTTTACTTTGCCCCCTCACTGTGCAGTTGGCAAACGTGTCGCCACTGTGGATGTGACCCCGCTGCTCCTCCCTGCCAGTTCCTCGGGAGAACTGCTTGGCACCTCCTCTGCCAGGCTTCTTATTTCTAGCTCACACCTGCTGCCCCTCCGTGGGCTGTGATTTTAGAGTTTCATTTGAACATTCTACTTTATCCCCTTTAAATCTCATTTTAAAGCTCTCCTGTTTGGTCTTCAAGTCTCTGGCCAAAAATATTCCTCTTGGTTTATGTGACAAGCTCCTGATTTCTTGCCAGGGGCCTGTCACTCCAGCACTGAGATCCATGGTCCAGAAGAATAGTCATTCTCAGATCAGCTACAGAGCAGCTCTGTGTTCCCCATACATGCTTATTGCTTCTAAAATCATGACTCATGGCAGAGGAAGAGACTTGAGCATCACCTCTGCCCCACATCCCTTAGTTTCCTATGTAAGGCATCAGAGTCACTAGAGATACTAATGAGGATTCTTCTGGATGTGTTACTTGCCCCCACACCCACAGGAGGGAGAAATAGTCGAGGGGTTATATATGAGCATGTATACGCACCCCTTTCTTGTCTCTAGTGCAAGGGTTTTCACCAAAGTCAATTCAGCAAAATACTGATTTCATAAGATGCTCTGGGGTAGGCGAATTCTATGGCCAAATAAATTTGAGAAACTAAATATCTTGCTTTTGCATGGTTTCAATAGGTTAGAATCCATACCAAAGGCTCTAAAAGATCCTACCAAAAAGAAATATACATAACATGGGATTTCCCAAGTGGATTTGATGATTTCCTCTTGTGAGTTTTCTTGTAACTTCTCATAGAATGCGCTTTAACCAATGCTACTTTGATACACGCCTGAAGTGGACAACTTGAGAAGCTACCTTCACTGGCTCTCATTAAACCTGCCTTCTCTTCTCCAGAAGGTCTACGTCTGTTCTCCTTGAATACAGTATCAGACTTTTATATTTTTCTCCCCAAACAGGGATGGGGCATTTCCATGTTATATCTATTTATTCGTGAGACTCTGACCTTGCTTTATGTTCCCTTGACCTTCTGAATTTGTTTTCTTTTTAGATCATTTCTTTTAGGGCATCAAGAAACCCTTCATCAATGCAAATACACAGATCTCTAAAGCTTCCTGAAGCCCATTCATTCACTCCTCTGCTAGGAGACCCGTTTATCTGGGCAGTACCAGTAAATTTGTCATCAAGGTCAAGTAAGAAAAATAAATAATTGGCCCCTATCACATCCCTGAGGTTCTATTTCTCAGTGTCTTCAATGTGACAACTTGGAGGCCTGATCTTATGGGGCCTGGAATTGTGTTTATTTGACTTGCACCATGGTTTTTTAAGTTGGAAGATTTTATATACACTCCTGGAGGCCAGCTTCTCTTGAGAAATGGGATTTGTTAATACTGGGTTGCTCTCCATCATGGGAGCAATTGGCTCAAGCTGAGTGCTGGCTGTTCCCATGACATAGGGCAGGTGCTCTCCTGTTTGCTAGAGCACACCCCCCCACCCCCCGAACCCCACATCCTCTCACTTACCTCACTTATATTAACTACCTAGCCTCTGCTGCCATTTGGATTTGGGATCCCTCACAGAGACCTTTGTAGTTCCCTCCTAGGAATTTTCCTAGCACCTGCCTCAAAAGCGTCTCCTCTCTCTCCTTCCCCATCTGATTCTTCCCATTTGAGCTGCCAGTGTTTTCAGTCACAAGTCCTAATATGTGTCTAACATCAAGGGCTGACCAGCTGTGTCAGAGTAAGAACTGAAGCTGTTGGCATTGCACTGATCATATACTCAGAAATAGAATATCATCCCAAGTCCACTTCTTCTGAGAAAAAAAAAAATTTCAGTCACCCTGTGTTTACAGGTCAGATACAACATGGTAGGCTATCAACTGACGATCACAGAACACTAAGTAACGAACTTGTCCTTTACTGAAGAAGTAGCTTAAGCTCATGTTTACCTTTCCCCCGAATTTTCCACTTGGCACAAACGATGATTATTATGAATGCTAACATTATGCTATCAAGTCTTGATTATTAAAGGACAAATGATTATCCAGTCCTCAAATCTCTTCTAACTCATTGACTTATTGCTGTTTCATTTTTCTTTAGTATAGTTATCTCTAGCTTGGTGGAGAGCAAAATTAAAAGTACAAATCATGAAGCAGCCAATCAGCTCAAATCAGAGGGCATCTTGTTTGATTCTCTTTGCCTCAACCCTGCACATGTCTGCAGAAACCCTGATTATGAGCACCCTCCATTCCTCTCCCTGCCCAAGTTCAGGGACAAGGTAATACGGAAGAGGAAAGGGAGAACCTGATGAATGAGAATGCTAATTAATGGGAATGTATTGATAGCTCCAATAAAAGCTTCACTGAGACTAACAGTTGGGGGTTTTAATTTACCCCCAATGTTCCTACCCACCTCTTGCCCTGTGGTAATCCCAAACTGGAGATTACAGACACACTTTCAGCCCCCTGAGTTCAAAGGCAAGGTAGGGTACTTGGCTTGATTGGCACTTTGGAACACTCTCCAAAAAAGGTCCACTTTTGAGATTAAAGGGACCCTTCATTCAATAGAATAGAAAACATCTTGTTACTAGACAGTGGGTAGTTTCAATCTAAGTGTAGGCTCAATAAACATGACTGTGCAGCATTTATGTAAGTCCCTGACGCTTTAGCAATTGGAGGGTATAAGTGCATTCTTGGAATGAAGAGAGCCTCTCTCTCATTGAAGAGCATTAGAAGATAGGGAAACTGCTTTCTGAGTGAAAGGTGAAGTGGCAGGGCCAAAAGAAAAAAGAAATTTAAACACTCATACAATCTTCAAAGTAGAGCTCTATAATCTTCAAAGTGGAGATTTGATGATCCCTCTCAGAGAGGTGTTTACAGAAGGATGCTTACATTGGGAGGGGAAACCTAAAGGCCTGCCCAAAGCTTGGAGTCTGCAAGTTATTATTACAGTTAAGAACCACAACACTATATGTCTAAATGAGAGAGCCTATACAATGTAGTTGCTTATATACTACTGCATGTTCTTCTTACAGATGCCCATAATAATCAATAGTATCATACCAACATCTGAAACATTTCAATTCCACTCATTTATCCACTCTCATTCTCATAAGCATCCTGTGAGATAGCTGTAATTTCCATTTTACATACCAGAAAATGAAGAATCAGAGAAGTGAGTAACTTTCCCAAGGGCAGAGAGTAAGAAAGAGGCAGAGTGGAAGCTGAAACTCAGCGCTGATTTTTGGATGCAGCAAAACCCAGGGATTAGTATCTACATTTCATGTAAAGGGAAACGCAGCCTAACATATGGAGTTGTAAAGCCATTTGCCCAGGGTTTCTGGAGAGATAATTTACTTATTTCACAGGAGAGTTACTGAGTTTCCTGATAAGTACAGCAAAAGGCTGCTTTCAAAATCTTTGGCCAAATAACAAATCCATTAACATTTTCTTGAGTAAATGTTGATTTAAGTGAAGAATTAAAATTAATCGTCACTTGAATCTTTCTTGAGAATATCTATTGTTTTTCAATCTCTTTTTTCATAAAACATGTGCAAGTATGAACAGTTTAAGGAAAATATATCATACTGCATATGCTAATCACATCAGCTCTAAATATAAAGATGGACTCTGGTGTATCACAGAAATGCCCCTAATGCAGAAGGATGATAATTCTCCAAAGTTCTAATTAGTAGAGAATAACAGAGGGATAATTAACTCTGATACTCTTTCCTTTGGACGTAAAAAACCAAGTAAACAAAACCATGTTAAGCTAAGTTTAGAGACCACCTAAGTCAACTTCTGGATGAGAGAATATGAAATCGTGGTAGTGAGGAAGAGAGAATGACGTGTGGAATTTTGTTCAATGTGAATTTCTACTTCCACAATCAAACAGCACACTTCACAGTTCCGGCCTTGTGAAAAAAGCCCAATGCTTGGTTTCCACGGTTTTTCTGGCCCTGATATGCACGAACTCCCCCAGGTTAGCAGAGCTGGTTCTCTCCTGACAGCCCTCTTTCCGGCTCCCTGAGGGTTACCTCCTCTCCAGTCTCTCTGGGTCCCTCTCTGACCTAACACCCTGTACACCCATACATTTCAGGATAAAGGTCCCTGTGTTCCTAGAACTCTGAAATTTGGGCTCTGGAAAGATTTTTAAAGACAATGCATTCCTTCACTGACCTGTTCAAAACATATCTGCTGATTGACTACCTCCCCGTCCACTCCCTCACCTGTAGGAAAAAGTGCAACTCCTGGGAACAGCATGGAGATCCTGCTGTGGCTGCCTCCCACCTGCCTTCCCATGCCGTCTCAGAACCATTTGCCTCTCTCTTCACATCCAGTGTCCTCCAGCATGTCTGCCCTTTGCCCAGCCTACTTCTCCCCTCCTAGCACACACCTGGCTCCTACTTTCTTCGGGCATTCCCATTTCTTTCTCAGGCTCAAATGCAACTTTCTTTCTGAAGTCTAATCCTACTTTCTCAGTTAGGTGCTCCCACAACACACTCAACTATTCATGGCTCCTTGTTAAGACAAAGCCCACCGTATTATATTGTATTTCCTTCTTTTGTGAGGGCTTCAGGGAGGGTAGGTATGGTTGGTTAAACTGTGTTTTCCAAGAAGCTATGTTGAAGGCCTAGCCCCATACTTGTGAATGCAACTGTATTTGGAAATAGGGTCTCTGCAGATGTCCTCAAGCTAAGGTGATGTCACACTGGATGAGGGTGGGCCAAATCCAATGACTAGTGTCCTTATAAGAAAAGAGAAATTTGGACAGAGAGACACAGAGACACAGAGGGAGAATGCATGTGAAGATGAATGCAGAGTTTGGAGTTTTGCAGCTCTAAGCCAAGAATTGCTGGCAACCACTGGAAGCAAGAAGAGAGGCATGGATGGAACAGATTCTCCCTCAGAGCCTGGGAAGGAACCAATCCTGCTGACACCTTGATTTCAGACTTTTAGCCTCCAGAATTGTGGAAGAATTAATTTCTGTTGTTGCAAGTCACCTAGTTTGTGGTGATAATGTCAGGTGGCCTTAGGAAACGAATACAGTTGGTGATAGATTCTGGATATGCTCATCTTCCCAACTAGATGGGCTCCTAGAAGTAGGGCCTGTGGTAATCCTGATTTCCTTGGCCCCAGCACAATATTAACACAGAATAGATGCTCAACATGTTTTGGCCAAATGAGGGAACATACTTGGGAATCGACCTTCTTTTGCTTTTAGGTCAGTGGATCCCAAGAAGGGTTCACTTCTCTGAGTGATCAAGCTTAGGAATGAGGTGGAGTGAGAGCGGTTTTGCATCAAAATAATGACTTAGGGAAGACAAAGGGTAAAATCGAAGTTGGAAAAGATGTGTCAAAAACCCTGTAGGTGGATTGTAAGAAAAAGTGGAGGCCAAGGCTGGGGTTGGTCAGGGAGGGAGTGTTTTGAATATCTTGGACTGCATTTTGAAACAATGGGTGATGATTAGGCCCCGGAAGGCGATGCTGTACTAGACTGAGGAGTTAAGGGTAGAGTGGGGAAGAGGAGACCAACAGAGCAAGCCAACGATAAGGCTAGATTGGCGTTTGGGGGGAGATGATAATAAATGATCCCGAAGGCAAACCACGTGAGTTTAAATTTTATAAAATGTGACAAGGATTTTATAAAATAGCAAGTCCTTATGTGGCAGAAACAGGACAAAAACATGGGCAGCTGCCAAACTGAAGGCCTGAGAAGAAAGAGCATCAAGATGGCCAGGGCCCTGCTAAGGATATCTCGAGGAAGGGACATCGTGGGGACCAGCAGGGAGCTGAGGAACACAGGAGGTAAAGTGTCCTACGGGGCACTGCAGTTGGTTGTTGTGTGGGAGGGAGAGGGCTGTCACTCAGTGTGCACCATCCGCTTACCCCTGGGCTCAGGGAAGATGATGTGTTTGTCATCCCTGATGAATGAGTCTGGCTTCTGTTTTTAGAAACCTTTGGAATATATTCTACAACTTCCCTCAATAACTCATTTTAGCCTTTAATGGGTCTCCAGGCCAGGAGAATCCTCCTCCCATCCAAAACAGCAATTCCTCACTTGAGAAGCACATTCCCCCGCCCCCCCCTCATTCTTTCCTGAGCTGAGATGAATTCAGAGTAAGGTGTGGTTACTATTTCCTGTTGTGAATCCTTCATACACGGGAGGACTAGTTCCCAGTCCCTGCTTCTCCTCTCCAACAAAACAAAACAAAACAAAACAAAGATTTTGGTTTATTTAAGGTTTTCTCATGGGGCCATTAATTATCTCTGTGGTTCTTCCCTAGTCTCTTTCTTGGGTGTTTCCTTGGCCATGAAGTACCAAACTGGGCATTGAGAGATAAAGGGAAGTATAGCAGGATAAATGGAGACTGCAGAGTCAGACCTAGGTTTTAATAACAGCTTTCCTGCTATTAAATATGTTATAAATCTAACAGTGTTTATTTCCTGGAGGATACTATGATTGTCCACAATAAGTCTTAATTACTTGTATAAAGAAAAGTTTTTAAATAAGTTGTACATCTATTTTTATAAAAACATATTATCACAAATATTTAAAAATATGTGTATCAAGTAAACTGCTGAAATATACCAGAAAGGTAATATTGTGTTTCTGAGTGATGGCACTATGTGTGATTGGTTTCTTCTTTAACTTTTTTTTTTTTTTAGATTTTATTTATTCATTCATGAGAAATACATAGAGAGAGGCAGAGACATAGGCAGAGGGAGAAGCAGGCTCCATGCAGGGAGCCCAATGTGGGACTCGATCCTAGGACCCCAGGATCACATCTATGCTCAACCATTGAGCAACCCAGGCATTCCTCTTCTTTAACTTTTCTGAAGTTTACAAATTATTTACAATGATATTTCAATGTATTATGTAATCATACTTTATGATACAGTACTAAGTTATATAATGATAAATGCATCGAAAAAATTTTATCAAGATAAATGAAGAGGAAAAAAAAGCACATTGTCTATTGCTGTATTGATGACTCATGTCCTATGACCAATAGATATTTATCTATCCCTTTCAGAGCATCACCAAATCTCAGTGTTTTTAAGGCTTCTGAGTCACCTAAGATGACTATTATTTGATGTAGGATCTATCTTTGTAATATGTAAATATTAAAAATAATAATAATAATTAATATCAATGTGCCAAGCCTTTGCAATAAGCACTTTGAATGCATTGCTTCATTGAAGGTTCGAGATAATTCTATGGTACTTAGGTAAGGTACTTGTAGTAGGGAGAATAATGTCCTGAAAATGTCCGTGTTCGAATGCTTGGGAGCTGTGAATATGATCATTTATATGGCAAAAGGCAATTAAAGTTGAAGGTGGAATTGAAATGGTCAGTCAGCTGACCTTGAGATAGGGAGATGATCCTGAATTATCTGAGTGGGTCCAGTATAATCACAAGGGTCTATTTAAGTGGAAGAGGGAGGCAGAAGGAGATTGTGAGAAGGATGCCATGTAGAGAAAGACTCGATAGGCCATTGCTGGCTTTAAAGAAAGAAGGGGGCCCCAGACAACCCCTAGATGCAAGAAAAGGTAAGGAAATGGATTTCCCCCTGGAGCCCCCAGAAAGGAATGCAGCCCTGAGGATACGCTGATTTTTAACCCAGTGAGACCTATTTCAGATTTCTGACCCCCAGAACTACAATATAATAAATTAGTGTAGTAATGTGCTATAGCATCCATAGGAAACAACAACAACAAAAAAGTTATTATATCCCAATTTTACAGGTGAGCAGACTAAGGCTTAGAAAAGTAACTTGATTAAGGTCACATATAAGTGGTTATGACAACATCAGCATTTGAATCCAGGTTGTCTGGTGATAGCACCTGTACCCTAGGGCACCTGGCCTCACTGGAGCCCCAGATGTTTGTCCAGCATCGGCCAGAATATTAAAATCTGAAAATGCTCTCATAAGTAGCCCCCTATACTTAAGATGGCTCTAAGTAGTAGAACTGATGTCCTGTATTTAGTGGTCCTTCCAGCCATTTTCCTCATTGATTTGTCAGACCAAATTACTTAATTCCTCCTTAATGAGAAATACTTTTTAAATATTTGAGGTCAGTAATCACTTCTCCCTAAGTCTTTTCTTCTCTGGGTGAAACAATCCCTGATTCAGTCTTTTCCTTAAAAGAAGACATTAAATTCCAGCACTTTCTTGACCTCTTCCTTCTGGAAAGCATCCACAGTGTCACACCCATTTGAGGACCAGCCAGTTCTTAACCTTACTTTGAGTTTCTTCCATGAGCTTATCATGCTGACCTAAACCCTTCTGAACTTGATTATATATTACACCTTGAGCTCTTTGACGGAAATATTTCTAAAAATCAGTAAATACTGATAATTTTTGGATTATCTGTTTTTTTTTAAAGGTTTTATTTATTTATTCATGAGAGACACAGAGAGAGGCAGAGACACAGGCAGAGGGAGAAGCAGGCTCCCTGTGGGGAGCCGATGCAGGACTCAATCCCAGGACCCCGGGATCACACCCTGAGCCAAAAGCAGATAGATGCTCAACCCCTGAGCCACGCAGGTGCCCCTGGATTATCTGTCCTAAATACGTGAAAATATAGCTTGTTTTCAAGTTCCTTTTGATATTATCACAAACTAATTTCACTCTTTATCGACAGGAATCCTACCTTTCTTGTTTTAGTCCGGCAGGGGCTAGAAGAAAAGGCCTGCTAAGCTACAATAAGGAGCTGTTTTGGCAAACGAGCAACTTTGTAAGGAGCCTCGAGATTATCATAGGCTCCTTGTGTGTACCAGTCTGAGAAGCTGTGCTACTGTTCTAATGGACTGGGGGGCCAGAAGGAAAATAAAGCAAATGTCAAGAGCCAATGTGATTTTGGAGCACCTGGATGGCTCAGTCGGTTAAGCACCTGACTCCTAATTTTGGCTCAGGTCATGATGTCAGGGTCACAAGATCAAGCCCTGCATTCGGCTCTGTGCTCAGTGCTAAGTCTGCCAGAGATTCTCTCCTCTTCTCCCTCTATCCCCCCCCCCCTCTTTCTCAAATAAATAAATCTTTAAAAAAAAAGTCAATGTGATTTTATCATATTATTAAAATACTATGAATCTTTAGGATAGAGAGACCTGCACACAAATATTAGTAACAGCCTCCTAAAATTTTCAATCTAAATGATCCATGTTGCTGTTCCCTTGTTTCTGCAAATAATCAAGGGCTGACTGTAAACAAAGAAGACAGCCAAGAAAAACCCCTGAACTTATGCAGTTGCATAATGATGAATGTTTGGTGAAAAAAACATGAACCCATATTTCATTCATTTAACTCCATGAATCTCTTCCAAGAAGGGGTAGGGAGGGTGGCAGATAAACATTTGTGTGGGCTAGTATATAAACATTCCAGTAATTAAGTAGGCTGCTCTGTCAGAACTGACTTGAAGAGTCAAAGGTACTTGAACACAAAACATGAGGTTTGCATTTCCTTTTTAAATACCTACAGGAGTAAGAATAAAAATAGAAATGCCACAATCAACTTCATTTGGGGCTTTTCTGAATCCCAAATGTTTGAAAAAATAGTTTGATATATTGAGGGAAACAGGTGCAGACAGTTTGGACCCTCTGGGTACTGAGGGCAGGTCTCTCGAGGGTGCCAAGTATTAGGGAGGAGCAAAACTCAACTCAGGGCACAGAATGACACCTCCAATGGTGAGGATTTTAACCCTGCTTCGTTCGTCTGCTGCTATTGTATCTTTATGCTTTGGGAAAGTCAAACGTCTGGGCTGTAACACTAGGCTACCTCAAAGGGCTCCTGGAAAGAATAACTTAGAATGGTTTCCTTTTTAGATTATAAAAAAGAAAGAAAATCTTATGTAAATGGTGATAAAGTCTATGCTTGTGACTGCAGAACATAGTACAGGCATTCAAGAGGGGAGGCCCTTTGATTTCCAGAATTGTATGATTTGAGCTTTACCGGCTTCTATTTTGCCTCCCACAGAACATTGCTGTGTTCATCTAAAGTAAGAGAAGAGGTGCTCGGTGGGTGAGGGTAGAGTCAATATGAATGAAGAGTCGTTACATCATGTGTCTGACTGACCTTGACCATCCCCCTACCCACCAACAGTACACTCCTTGCCTCCAGCTGGTAAGCCCCTAGGTATCCGTCGAGCCCGTGGCTCCTGTCCTGTGACTCCACCTTACTCACTCTTATCTGTTCCTCCTGCTACCATGTCAGCTGGGGTCTGGGACCCCAGCCTTGATCCTATCTCTAGCCTTGGCTTGGCATTTGGACTTAGAATCTCAGGTATTCAGACCCCAGATCTCTGCCTCTGGCTTTAATGGGCATTTTCTCTGTAGCTCCAGTTCTATGGAATCCAAATCCATCCCAGCTAATTGATGCCATACTCTCACCCCTTCGGAGAGGGATTTAGATAGATTCAGTGTATCACAGATGGGGTTGCTTCCAACTTTTAGTTGTTCTCCAACTTTTCAGTTCCAGGGCCATGCCAATAAAGCAAAGACTTCATGATGACCGAATCCCACTAGCCACTCTATCAGAAAAGCCTGTCACTGGCAATTTAAGGCAATGCTTTCCTCATGCTAGTTATTCAGCAACACTCAACAACAGATGTTTATTGATTGCCTACTGTGTGCCATGAACTTATACATGATCTCATTATACTTATAGCAACCTTGCAGGATTTTCAGGGGAGGAAGCAAAGGATTAAAGAGATTAAGTAACTTGCCCAAGGTCACACAGCTAGTAAGTGGCAGAGCCAACTTTGAATGCCAACTTAGACTATACCCTGCTGCCTCATTCTATAAATAACTGTTAAGTGCTTAGTTATTTGCAAGATGTATTTCCAACCTCTTAAGGTCTCATGCTACATTAGGGCTTCTGGGGGAACCCCTCATCAATTACTTCACGGGCCTGATTCCAAGAAAGCTAACACTCCAGAGTCTATTAATTACCCAAGAGCTTTGGGGAAAGGTGGTCAGCTTTTGGTAGGAATGAGGTACGGTTTCGGTCCCTTTGAAGTGCCTAACAGGAAGTATCTTGCCTCAGCCTAAACTGCTGAGGGACATATTCAAGTGGATGGCACTCAACAGGTTTGGAATAACACATTCCTCAAGTGCTCTGAGCTTCTGAGCAACAACGAAAAAATTCCATAGTTAGGCTTCTCTTTCTGGACATTCAACCACAGTGACTTTGGAATTTGGTAGCTTCCATGTATATATTCCGTATATTAAAAAAGTTCTTCACAGAGAGTTAATCCAGAAACTCCACAGAGGACTGGTTCTTAGCTAGCTGGAAGACTTCAGTGGTGTCATCAGCTCATCTGCTAATACTGACGACTGCCTGTTTGAGGGACTGATCATCCCTTTCCTCCTCCCGAGCTAAAGCCCTCTTTCCTCCATAATCTTATCTTTATTGCAAACTTCCCCCCTGCGAGCCCTGGTGAATGTGAGGTTTTTTTTTTTTTTTTTTTTTTTTTTTTTAAATAAATTCCTTCCTCTTTGCCAGGGCCAGCTTATGGAAGAAACATGCATAGATGCAAGGAGACCCCCCCCCCCTTAGGAGGGCCCTGTACTTGGTTTAATTAATGCTCTACTGTCGTAGACTTGAAATTCTTAATAGTTTTGTTCAAAGGGCCCTACATTTTAACATTGCACAAATCAGATATTCGGTCCTGCTCTGTGCTTAGACACTAGGATAGGGAGAAGAGTCATACCACATAAGTTAAGAGTGGGTAGTGTACCTGTGGTCTCCCTTTGGAACTCAGCAGGCACTTTCCCACAGAGATAATCCATAAAGATGGGCAGACTTGATAAAAGCTCTACTCTTCTTAGCCTCAATATTTTCATCTCCAAAATGGAGACAGCAGCACTTGCCCTTGCATGTGATTGTGAGCATTGCAGCGGCCCATGTATGTAGTACCCATCAGAGTGTTTGATACACAATAGGCATTTGATAAATGAAATCCATGGGAGACAGCAGGGGCAGAAAACTGAGTTTGAACTCTGGAGGAGTTCGGAGCTAGCTTAGAATCATATCAGCTCTGGTGTTTGAAAAGATGTATGACTTCAGTTAAGTGACTTGGCTTCTCGCAGCCTCAGCGTCTTTATCTATAAAATGCTTTTATCTAATATTTATCTTGTAGAGTGATCTTGAGATTTCGAAACTATAATGTATTTAACGAACCTAGTTTATCCCCTGGCACCTAGAAGAGCTCAAAAAATAACAGTTCTCAGGATGGTTCCTTTGTAACATTATTTCTAAACAATTCATTTATAAGTGATGTAGGGATACAGCCATTAATAAGTGTCTTATACTATCCAACTTCTTTTACGCTGTATGACCTAGAAAATGGAACCCCCTCATATGTGCAGATCACTTTGTAAAAAATATTTGAAGATTATTCTTCCTTCTTTGCTTGACTGTGAATTCCCTGAAGGCAGGAATCAGGTCTTATTTATCCTTGTAGCCTGGAACACCTTCTAACACATGTTAGACTCGCAGCTGAGTTAAATCTGTCTTCTGCTGTTTATGCCAACAACAAGATGATAATTTTTCATAATATTTCTAAATTAGCAATTATTAGCCTGTCAATGATTATGAAGTAGAATGTACCCAAAATAGCCCTATCTCTGCTATTAAAGGCCTTTTTGTCCTTGCCCATCACACTTGGCTCATGTTCCTGCATTCTTGGGTGTGATTCTTAATCTATTAGCAAAGCTATTCCACTAGGGAACAGAACTCGGTTTCGAACAACCAATCACCTTCTCTGGCAACAACCTGTGTAGAGAAGCCACTGGAGGAAGAATTTCCTAAAAGCCCAACCAAACCCCAAGGTCCCTTTTAGGATTCAAGGCGGCCTCAGAATTGTGACCTTTAACTGAGAGGGCTTTGGGTCCCTGCAAGAGCCTTCTGATCGTTATGGACTTTCTCTCCAGAAAAAGATAGTCAATGTCTTCTATTCAATTTCAAGGTGTTCTCAGAGTTTCTGCAGCCCTTGTACCTTAGGTTAAGAATTCTTGTTAGACTAGCCCAGAAAACTGAATGAGCCATGTGAAAGATTCAAGTTTCCTGATAAATTCTAGCCCTGAGTAGTTACACTCCCTTGTTCAAAGCAAAGCAAAACAAAACAGTTACAACTCCCTAGATTTAACCTCAGAATTATCCCAGAGGGCCCAGTGTGGCACCTTAACTGTAAGAACATCCAGCCAAGCAGTGACTACTCTCTGGAAAACCTAAGTGCAGCCGAGTAAAACGAAGCCTTGTTTAATAATATCGTTTACATTTCCAAATCCCGGGTATCAAGCTTTCTTCCTATCCCTTGTGGCCCTTCCTAAGTTTAGCCGTTGGTGTAATGGTGTAACCATGGCAACAACCACCTGCCTATTTAAAACCATCTCCAAAGCTAAATAAGGAAGCCTGGAAAAAATGGCTGCTCGCCTGCCTCTCAGTGGACAAACTGGGCACTCATGAGTATTTTCAACATGAGCAAGCAGGCAGGGTGGAAGCAGCATGGACTCAAAGTTCTTACTAGGAAGGGGTCTAGGACCTTGTGAAACAGGACCCATTTCTATGTCACTAGGTCTCCACTTACTTGCAGGCACATGGATTTGTGTGTAAATCTGGATTTACACACAAATCCGTGTGCCTGCCATGCCAGGCGACCGTACTACCTTGACCTCGACCAGGGGAAGGGTGGGCCCTGAACTGCAGAATAGTCTTATTAATAGAACTAGGAAAGTGGAAGGAAAAACAGTCACCAGATCATAGTGAAATGCACAATTGCAACTCTTCTTCTCACAGAGGGAGGTATCTTTCTAATTATATTTAATCATGTGGACAGTTGACAATTACTCTCTTCATGTCATATGTTGACCCGTCTATTGATCTTTGGAATATGGAGAAATTTCTCCCTCCTTCTGCTTTCTCATTCTCTACCTACTATAGAGGTTTTGCTTCTTCCCTGCCAAAAGACCAGCACGGCTTGCTCTTCCCCAAGCATCCTGCTTTCTCTCACTCATTGTTATCCTTTTATAGTTGGTTCCTTCTCTCTGGGCTGCCCTTCTCTTTTTGTCAACCTGAAAAATACATACTTGTTTTCCATGTCTCGGCATCTCTATAGATAGAAGCCCTTCCATACCAAATTCCATGTCCTTGCTTTGTGTTCCCATAAGTCAGCTTGATTCGTACCATTGAACACAAGTCACTCTGCATATCTTCCTTCTGGTCTGCACCACCGGACTGCGAGCCCCTACACATGTCTGTCCAAAACACCTACAGAACAGTGCCTGGCACAGAGTATGTTTTCAAAAGCTAGTGTTGAATGAATGAATGAGCAGAACCCTTATGGATTTCACAAGCATATGGCATCTTAACAAGTATGTGTGCATGAGTATGCATAAGGGCCCCCCTGTGAAAAGAGTGCCTAAAAGGTCTACAATGGGTGGAAGAGAAGAAATAATTTAGCGTGTATGTGAGAGTGACAAAGGATGTACAAGAAGGGTCAGCTGATTACAGTAAGAGTGGGGGGTGAACACATACCTGTTAATAGTGATTTGTGAGTGTGCATGGGCTGTGTGTGCGAGCCTGACGGAATATGCCTGGCACAGAAGACCCACCCTAAGAAGATGAGTTTAGCTAGTAGATTCCACAGATCTCAGATCGCTTTTCCTGAAACTGAAGAATGTTACGATAGGACTTTTTACCCCTGTTAACCTCCTAGGTGGCGGTGGGGGGTGGTGGATATTGTCAGGGGAAAGGAGTAGGAATGAAAATGATGGCACTCTTTGGGGGGGTGTGAGGCTTTAAATAAATGTCTTCCGACAATACTGGACCTCTGCTCGGAAGAGAATCCTATGGGCTATATAAGTCACTCCCTCAGGCTAAGTCTGCATTCCTCCCCCCCACCTGCTGGAGGGTGGGGTGGGATCCAATGGTCATCTTGAAATGGTACAACACAGAGGAAAAGGGATGGAAATCAAAGAGAAGGAAAAAAAAAAAGGAAAGAAGAATGGAGAAAGGTATTTTAGCAGTCCCGGGGTAGCTATATGCCAGTCACAACTCACTTCTCGCATATCCCCTCCCACCAGCAAGAAGGATTTAGTTTTGCTTGCAAAAAATCTGGTTTTCTCTCTCGTGTTTTTGGACCTAACATCCAGGCTTCACACAGGGGCTGAGGCTGGGACTTGGGGGGCTCCTGGTGTCCCAGCCCCTGCAGGGGCCTCCCTCTGCTGCCCTCTGCTGTTAGGGGGCAGGACACAGAGGCGACGCCCTCTCTGCCCTCCTGGCCCGGCCTACTCCCTCCACCCCCCCTCCCCTGCTGCCACCCCCTCCCTTCCAGAGAGGCTGAGGCCCCAGCCATGCAGCCTGCTCCTCCCCACAGAAATTCCAGGGGGCCGAGGCTGCAGCAGCTTTCCATCTGGAGAATGCGGCCAAGCCCCAGGAGGGGGTTCCAGCTAGCCAGGCGCAGGTCCCCACCCCACGAGGCGGGCACAGCGCGCCCTCCCTGCCCGCCCGCAGTCCCTCCCTCTTCACAGCATCCTCTGCGAGGGGACAGGCGGCCAGGCTGCTGCAGGTTTCTGACACCGTTTTTCTGCTTGGAAATGGAAACCCTCCTTCCGGCAACGTGGCAGGAAAGCCAAGTCCCTGGGTGGCCGGGCCAAGAACGTTCGGGTGAGAGCAGGTGGAGGCTGCGGTGTGGTTGGCTGGGGGTGGGGGGGTGGGGGGGGTGGAGGGCAGTGCAGGGCTGGAGGGGGGCTGCAGCTTCATGGCACTCTTACCTGCTGTTGAATTTTTCAGGGTGTTTCTCTCTCATCACGTGGAATCTGTGTGCGATGGAAGCATCCTGAAAGGGAAGGAGAAGAAAGCGGCCGCCGGATGAGTGGTCATGACCATGCAGTGCGTACAGAAAAGCAGCACACGGGCTCCCACTGCAATCCCCCAGACCTTGAGAATCCATGTCACAGGGGAGGTTCCCACAAAGGGGCAACGCTAGGTCCAAGGTCATGGGCTACAGAGATTGTAGAGCCTAGACCAGTCCACCCTTCGCAGTTTTCACTCTCGACCACAGTTCAGGGTGAATGAAGGGGACAAGCCACTGCCCTTTGAGGAGCAAGAGGGTGTCTGGGTGTGGGGGCAGTTATAGTACAGAAGCCCGTGCGTGGGGCTGAGTGTGAATTTCTGGAAATGCCTTGCCATATTAACTCTTTTTTAAAAAAATACTTTTTATTTTGGAATATTTTAAGACTCACAAGAAGTTGCAAAAATAGTACAGAGAGTTCCTGTATCCCTTTCACCCAGCTTCCCCCAATAACATCTTACGTAACTATGCTACACTGTCAAAACCAGAACACTGACTTTGGTAGATGCGGTTATATATTAATTCTAATAATCCATAGCAATAGAAATTATTAGTAGCATTGAATAACAGGCTTAGTAGGTATTAAAAATATATTTAAACTCCTGGCTTCTTTTCCCTGATCTCCACAGAAAGGACTTTCCCCAAAGTCAAGAAGAATCTCACTGCTACCTTCTATGGACACTCTGCTGTCCTCTTATTTGCACACCCCTAGCTGCACTATTGACCACCTGCTCCTCAGAACTCACGATTGGGAAGGCTTCCAGGACACCATGCTTCTGAGTTTTGCATCCTCTGACCAGAACTTCTCCGCCCTGAGTTCCATCTGCAGCCTACACTCCATGTCATGGACCATCTCGAGTTCTCATACTTACTCCTAGTGTGTCATGTCTCTATAATGTTGATCTCTAGAATCATCCCTGAGCTTCAGACCTAACACTGAGCTCATCTACTCATCTTTCTTCCTCACACTTGGTCTTTCACCCTCATTAATGGTCTCATTTTCCAGCAGAAGAATGAGTTGCGTCCCTTCACTGCTCAGGCCTCATGTCAACGCGTTGGGTGCAGGTGGTGGGTTTTAGAAAGAGACAGGAGAATTGGGCTGGGGGGGTCGGGGATGGGGGGAGATGACACAGAAACAAGGGAGCTGAGTCAGAAATGTGCAGGAAAAAAGCTACAGAAACTCATTTACTAGACTATGTGGCTAAGAGAGAACTGACATTCCATTTCAGTGAATGCTTATTAATTCTGTTTCTCGGTATGGACTCACAAAAGAAATTTTCTGAATGTTATCATTATTACTTTTTTAACATTAGGAGGTAGAGTTCAGTGGAGCAGCTTTTATTGAGCATGTGCTGTGTACGGTGAGGAAAATCAGGCTAGTGGTGGGAGATAGAAAGTCCAGGTGCAAGTTAGGGAGCAAAGGGGGGCTTCTATCATACTTGAACTTGGCAGAGGAGTAAACCCAGCGAGCAGCCCACTGCAGAGGCAAGCCGAGGCTATGAGCTTTTTTTGTGATTGGCGAACACTCCTTGCTGAAATAGCCTTTTGGGAATTTGACATTTAAATTCTAGTTATTGATTGCTTTGTTTTTTCTTTAAGACACATGGAGAGTTGAAGGTCTTGGTCAGGGCCCCCTGTGGACACATGGTGGGAGACTTGCAGCATCTCCCCGAGGCCTCACCCCGGGTGGCTTCTCCAGGCAGCAGGCCTTCATTTTCCCTCCCTCACTCTGAGCAAGTTTCAGTGAACACTCTGAAAAAGATTCATGTGACATCTGTCAAATGCTTCTCTAGAATTCAAGAAAACATTCCATCTACTTGTGTTCCTTGGAAGCACTAATTTTCTTCTGTCAGGAGAAAAGAAAAGAAAGAAAGAGGAGGAAAGCAAAAAGCCATCACGTTGCCTGGCATGATTTTTGCTTTGCGACCTCCCCCCACCTCCAGGACTGTTGTGACTGGCTCCTGGTTTTCTTATTTTCGGGGCTATGGGCACAGGCTCCCTCCCTCCATACAGTTCTGATTATCCTCGTTGTTGTTTTTTTAAACTAGGTTTTGCCAAGCTTCTTTTCACAAAGACCAGCCTTTACAATATTGCTAGTTAAGCATGGGGTTCCAATGTAATCTCCCCACAAATACATAAAGTAGCAAGGGAGAGCTGAGCAGGTCCTTTGCTGTTTGGTCTTGAAAAGGCGATGCTGATAAATACTTCAACTCTGACCACAGTTCTCTACCTGGGGATTCAAAAGAGTCTAGATTCATCTTCGCCCTCCATTGAGCTCTGTGTCAGGTACTGAGCTGGGTGTATTTTACATTCAACAGTAATTTCTTTAAATTCTCGAAACCAGTGCTGCGACAGTTCAAACCCTTTCTTGGTAATAATTACAGCAAAATAAGACTTCCATTTTGAAGGCGCAGGGGGATAGAGATGGGAATTGCAAAGCCTTGGAAGTGATGACATTTCTGAAGGCTTCACTCTCCGGGGCCCTTCTGTGTGATGTGAGGAACGGAGGAGATGATGGGCTGCTCTTTCCTGAATTAAAACTAGAAGTCCAAAAGACTTCTGTGTCCCTTCCAAATATAAGCAGCTGTTATTTGGACTCTGAGCTTTTTGGAGGTCTAGGCCAGTGCTGTCCGATGGGAATAAATTTAAAATTTTCTAGTAGCCACATTTAAAAAAGGGAAAGGAAAAAAGTGAGATTAACTTGAATAATATATTTTCCTTGACAAATATTATTGCTATAGCATGGAGTTAATATAAAAATTATTGTGATGTTTACAATCATTTTATACTACATTTTTGAAATTTGGTGTATATTTATTTTATACTTAACAGCATCTCTCAATTTAGACTAGTCCCATTGCAAGTACACAATCGCTACATGTGGCTAATGGCTACCATATTGGACAAGGTAGGTCTAAGCCACGTTACCAACTTATGGAGGTAAAAAGACAAAGGAGACAATAAAACAGATCATTTGGAATTTGGATTTTTCTGAAACATTATGACAGATTGGAGGATGAAAAAGAGATGTAGACCCCTTTTCCCAGACACTACTCAGTGAGTTCCATTGTCTTAGGGCCTCCATGGCTTTCACAGATGACAGACAAGAACTTGACCCAGAGGGAATCCAAAAAGTTGCAGCGAAAATGGTTAACTTTTTGGTAAATTCCCTATCAGTAGGGGGCTCATCACCGTGGACACTTAGCTGGAAAAGCCTGAGAAGTACAATCAGAAGGTGGAGAATGGTGTGCAGCTTAATGTGACTGTGGCCTCTCCCTGGCCCCTGGGTTCCCCTAGTATCAGAAATAGATTTCATTGAATCAAGGGATTAGCTGTTCACTCCTCCTGTGGAGGCTCAGTGAAAGCAGAGCCTTTGAGGCATTTGGAGTTACACATACCCCAGAAATTATTTCATGGTCCCAAACTTCCTGTCACTGATACCTGGCCATCCTGACATTTCTGCAAATCCAAAAATAAAGAGCAGGGACAAGGAGGCCAGAGAAGCCAGAGGAAGTAGCGGCCTGAATGACTATGTTTAAAATCTCCTGCCAATAGGGCACTGAGAAGGCCAACTCTCAACTCTTCAGTGGTGGAGGGCCAGCATGTATGTAGGTGATGGAAATGTGGTAACAGCAGGGCCACAGTCACTCTCTGAGTGGGCCAGGAGGGTCTGCCCTGTTTATCCCTCCATGTATTACATGAGTGCTGCTGGCACCAAGGGGACCAGGTGAACTTGTCAGGGCAAACGCGTTACCACCAAGCGCCACCACAGTAGCAGTCCCTGTCATCACCTTTACACATGCGAAAGGCCACGGACATCTGACATCAGTAAGATAGTCCAGGTCCTTCCAAAAAAGAGGCAAAGACTTTGCAAGGCTCTCTTTGCCAAAGGAGTCTGACTCTAATTATCCCAAGGAAGTAAAACTGTTGGTTGGTTTACATACCTACTTCTCCTCTTACAAAGTCTGGGAGGTCAAATAGGGAGGAAGAGCTTCTGCAAATGTCAGCCCCAGATTGTGTGAGAGTTGCGTATTGACTACTTGTTTTCTCAAGAATTTCCCTTTCCAACTTTTAAAGAGCGAGCATACAAACCCTGCAAACATTTTTATTGAGAGAAGGCTAAGGGTACACCGAGGAGATAAAAACCTGTCCTGGTTCCTCACTGCTTTGCAATAAAATATTAAACACGCACAAGTGAAAGGTGTATGAAAAAAATCATGCAAAAGATATTGTGAAGTTCTAAGTTGAAAGATGAACAGATTGGATTATTCGAAGTCAGCTCCAGGTACAGAAACACCCTGACCACTAAGTGTGATGGAGAATGTTTGGATGCCTTTCCTTGGGGGACAATGAGGTGGTCTCCTTTACTTCCTCCTGTCCCCCAACTTCCTTCCTACCTGCACATTTGTGCGCATGAATTAAAACCACGATCATCCCAGCTCTTGGGTATGGTCTGTGTAAGGTGAGGCTGTTTATTCCTTTTTGGTGTGTTTACCTCTCTGGTCAGGAAATGCAAAGTGAGTGAAATTTTTTGCATATGGCACTGTGTAGAGACAGACGAGAGGTAACAAGAATCACGTTCTGGCAGCCAGAGCTGAGGGTGTCAAGAAAGAGAAGATGTGGGGCTAAAGTCTCTGAAGGCAGCCGTGGCTGTAAGCTGCCATCTAGAAGTTCCCAGACAGGGCACCCAGCCCTGCTATCAGCTCTCCCTTCCTTCTGGCTGCTTATGGGGTCTTCATCCTCTCCTCTCTATCATTTTTCTCCTTCATCTAGTTCAGTTTTGGCTTCTGCTCCTGTGTAGGACCATCTCCTTTGACCATTCTTTACTGTTCTGATGGGCTATCATTTGCTGAAGAATTGGTTGGGGTCATCCACATCAGAATGATCTCAGAGGCCTGTTAAAAGTGCAAACTCCCAGACCTTTCCCAGACCAACTGAATCAGAATACAAACCAAGATCTGTCATGGGGGTGGAATTTGCATCTCTCACAAAGGGCATAGGTGAGCCATCACACACTAAATGTTGAGATTCCCTCCCTTTCCCCTCCCCCCATCAGTGCTGCTAGGAAGGAAAGCATTTGAAGACGGAGGGGCTGTGCAGAGGCCACGTGGCTCAGAGTCCACAGCTCAGGGGCTTCTGGAGCTGAACACTAGTGGTTCTCAGCTCCACCCCTCACCAGCTGAGACCCGGCTCTGTACTGTTCTGAGCTACAGTTCCTCCTGACAAAATACAAAAGGATAAGGTCTATACCTACCAATAGGGCACCTGTGTCTAGTGTACAGCAGGTACTCAATACATGCTAGCAAGCTATACTATGGTTTATCTCCCCTCTGGAGGGGGGCAGCTGGAAGAAGCTAGGGAGAGGGGTCTCCCTTAGTGGAGGCCAGGTGAGCTGGGTGGGATAAACCAGATAAGGCACAGGGACCCTAAATATGCTGCTAGTCTAATCCCCCATCCTGTCAGACCCTGACTGTTGGCTCAGCGATGCTTCTGTCTTCCGCTGCAGTAATAGAAAAACAGTGCCGGCTCAGGAGCCAGAAAAATGATGGCAAATCCCTCCTTCTGACTCTTTGTTTCCTCACCTACAAAATGGAGAGAATACTGCCCTTTGATGTTGTTGTAAGAATCAAGAAAATACCTACAAATACGGTAAGTTTTAAATTTTGTAAATTTACGGTATTTTAAATACATTTTTAAAAGATTTTATTTATTTATTCATGATAGTCACACAGAGAGAGACAGAGAGGCAGAGACACAGGCAGAGGGAGAAGCAGGCTCCATGCGGGGAGCCCGACGTGGGATTCAATCCCGGGTCTCCAGGATCGCGCCCCAGGCCAAAGGCAGGCACCAAACCGCTGCGCCACCCAGGGATCCCAATTTATGGTATTTTAAAACATCCTTCCCTCTTCCATGGTTCTTCTTCTAGTCTTCTTATTAAAGGTTTTATTAAAGATTTTATTGGTTTCAGAGAGAGAGCACGCGTACCTGAGCAAGGACAGCGGGGAGGGGCAGAGGGAGAGGAAGAAGAGAATCTCAAGCAGACTCTGCACTGAGTATGGAGCTGACTCAGGGCTTGATCTTACGACCCCAAGATCATGACCTGAATTGAAACTCAGGGTTGGACACCCCACCGACTGAGCCACCAGATATTCCTCTAGTCTTTTTATTAAAAAACAACCTTTCCTCAAACCCGCTCTTCCCTTAAGCTACCTATCAATTCCCCTCCTATTTCATTTTTCTTTTTAAGTCACCAAAATTTTCAAAAGAGGCACAGGTGAGGATGGTTGACAAGAGCAGCTATCACACAATCTGGGTCTGGATGGTTGGTTTGCAGGGACTCTTATGGATCTGAAACTGGACAGCATAATTCTAAAGACAGGGAAAGAGAGAGGAAAGACTGTAAGGCACATTGTGCCTGTGGCAGTTCCTGCCCTCACTCATCAAGGGTCCTGAGGTCCTGTCTATAAAATGGAGACTGTGGGGACAATGATTCCTGCAAGACTGCAATGAGGATTGCAATATGTAAGGTCTAGCATAGTGGAGAGCACACAGTTGATGCTCAATAAATGCTAGTGCCTTTGTTGCATCCCCCTCCTGAACCCCAGCTCTATCTATGGAGTGGATGGATTTCTCCCTGATTCCATTCTCAACAGTTTGAGAGAGTGTCCACACAGTCCTCTTTGGATCAGAAGCTGAGTTCAGTAAAACTGAGTTGTGCTCAATGTGCTGTGGCCTGGAGGAAGAAACAGGAATGTGGCACTGACCTTTTGCTTTGTGTGTGTGTGTGTGTGTGTGTGTGTTGTGTGTTGGATATATGTGTGTAGAGGATATGTGTTAAGGGTGTGTGTTATATGTGTGTGTGTTGGGTATATGTGTGTTGGATGTGTGATGAGTGTGTGTGTGTTGGGGGTGTTAAATGGGCACAGTGAACCAATGTCTTCAATCAAATACAGAGAGTACACTGATGAAGTGAATGAAGAAGGCTGTGGAAGCACCACTGATGAGCATGGCACTCAGCTAAGGGGTCAGCTGAGAGGAGACACCCCCAGAGGTTCATGAACACCTGGATTGTAGGGAATCCAGATGACATGAGGGGAGAGAACAGGAGACAAGGAGTTCTGACAACTAACTTAGCTGGCTTAGACCCCTCAGACATGGAGGGGCCCTCCTTGGAGGATAGGAATTCTCAACTCTGGAAGCTCACATGATAGTCTTTTCCTGACTTTGCCCTGTGGTTATTTCTTGGTGTTACTTCTTTTAAACTGTTTCAAATTACCCAAAGGGGAAATCAGTTTTTTTTTTTTTAAATTCTTATTTTCTTGTGTCAGTTAAAATTATAGGGGAAGGAATTTGCTCCATAACCTAAGGACAGGGTTGGGTACATTCAGGGTGGCCATGCCCAGGCCGGATGCAAGGATGTTCGGACCCAAGTCAAGACTGGGGGCAGCTGGGAGAGGTGAAGAGTAGGGACCCGGGGAGGGGGGACAATGAAGGACCAGAACTTTTCTGCCCACTCAGACATTTCTCTTCCATGCAGAAAGGCAATCCTTGACCGACTCACCACACCAATGGAGAAATAGTTGTTCATGATGTTGTACGGGACCTGGTCCCCATTCTCCACTTCCTCTCTAGGGATGACTTCCAGATGCCAGCGGTCTAGCATCACCAAGGGGCTCTGCTCGATGTCCTTCAGGATTTTTGTCAAGCTGCCCCCTTCATAACCTGTGGAACACGGCATTACATTTGACCTCAGGGCAGAAAGGCTAAGTTGTTTCTGATGTACAGTCAGCTATTGGGGACAGGAACTCTGTGGGCATCTGTGACCACAAGACACCCCAGTGTGTCTGGGGGGCCACAGACACTTAGGTTCCCTGAGCCATGGAGAAGGAGAGGACATTAGGGTGTAATCAGAAAAAAGCTGGGAGACTTGGAAGCCAAAGTAGTGGGAGATAGGGTTGGGGGGGCTGGCCAAAGGTGAGCAGGCCTATGTAGCCAAAGCAAGCCCTAGAGAATAGGTGGGCTGGGTGGCTTGAAAGTTCCATGCCGCGGAACAAAAGATCCGTTCCAGGACTGTGTCATGTCGGAGATGGACAGTGTGGTAGGCGGAATTTTAGGATGGTCTCACTATCTGTGCCCCAACCCCCGGGGGCATACACCCTGCAATTCCCAGGACTTATAAATAAGATAGCCCCATCACTGTCATGACTGGCTATACTATATGGCACAGCTGACTTTAAGCAAGGACGGTCATCTGAGTGGATCTGACCTAATCGGCTGAGTCCTTGGAAAGGACTGGGCTTTTCCTTAAGAATTAAATTCAAAGCTTGAGAGGGATTTCAGGTGAGGGAGATTCTCTACTGCTGGCTTTGAAGATGGAGGGATCCATCTGTCAAGGAAAAAGGAAGGCTCGAGGATTTGACAGTGGTCCCAGTGAGGAAACAGGGACTTCAGGCCCAAAACCACAAAGGCCTGAATTTTGCCAACAAGCTGAATGGGCGTCGTAGCAAATTCTGCCTCCAGAGACTCCAGAGAAGAGCACAGAGAAGAGCACAGCCTGTCCAACAACCTCATTTCAGGCTGTGAGGCCCAGAGCAGAGAACCCAGCCACACTGTTTCAGGCCTCCTGCGTGACGGGACTGTGAGCGAACAAATGGATGTCATAAGCCTCGACATTTATGATAATTTGTTATGATAATTTGTTGCTTCTCTTCAGCAACAGAAGAGCAGCAGAGAAAGTGAACCGTAAGCCATGAGAGGTTAGTGGGAGAGACCGTCTTTTCTTTCCGACAACACTCCCACGTTCCTGCTTACCTTTAGGGCAACCTTGAAGAGTACTTTCGAGTTAGTCTGGTCAGCTCCTTGGGGATGCCTCACAAGATAGCAGTGGTAGCAACTGTGTAGCTGAGAGCCTTGAGGCTCTCTGGGAGCACAGGCCTGGGCTTCCTGCATGAAACTCGTGTCCAGCCATGCTTCCTACATGCGCAGCGCATGGGGCTGCACTCTGCTTGTTCCTCTTGAACACAGGGCGCTTCCCTAGCATCAGTGTGGGGCCGAGGACATCTGTTCCTGCCAGCTTCCTTCTGGGGCTGGCTCCTGCTCCCTCTGCTCCTGCCACCAGGCATGAACCCATCTCTGAATACTGACCACTGCCTGAGCTGGTCTTGAATCTTCTCTGAATCGATCAGCCATCTGGAATCCCATCCCAGTTCTGCCTGCCAGACTTCTCTGTCCCTTCCATGTGCTGCCCCGACCTCTTCTACTCTCTGGAGCATTCCCAGCTCCATGGGAGCAGTTGCAGTTTGCAGAGCTCTCCTTAGCTCCTGCCCCTTGTCCTGTAAGCTGGTCACCACTGGGAGATCCCCCACAGGGGGATTTCAACATGAGGGCCAATGGCCATGGGGGCCTATGATGGCTTGGATGCCTCTACTAGCTGGCAGTGTAGCTTTTCAGTTTGTACTCTGAGTCCTAATTCAGAAGAAGAGCAGTAAGTTGGAGAGGAGAGAATTTTATTCAGAAAACACCTAAGTGAGCCCCTCCTAGAGTGAGCACTGTGGGGGGAGAGAGAGACTACCCTAGTGCTATGTTCTGCTGGGGTAGGTAGGCTCTAGGCTGCTAGTTTGAGGATCATAGGAAATAGCAAGATTGGGAGGGCAGGGGAATGAATGGTCATAGAACTCTGGAATGTAATTCGTCAAAGCAAGTAGATAAGACTCTGCAATGTAATTCATAAAAGGGAAGTTCAGCCTGGTCCTGCAGAGCATCGCTGGAGACTGGTGTGCCTGCCCCCCAGGGCAGTGCCCCTGGCATGTGGACTCACCTCCTCCCCAGCGGAGACAGCGGGCCAGGTCATTTCCTGTTCCGAGAGGCAGGACAGCCACTGGCGGATGCTTTGCAAAGTTGGCCTTATCTGTAACCCATGCGGAAGAAGAGAAAACCATATGGCACCAGATTACGGAACCTGTGGGTTACTTAATTATCCCTGATCTGATGCTTAAAACCCCTTCACAGCATTCTTAGTTTGAAGAGCTCCCGTGATGGAGAGCACACTATCTCCTACAGCTGAACCTTCCACTGTGGGGACGAAGGCTTCTTTCATATTGAGCTCTCTCTCCCCATAACTTGCACCTGCTTATCCTCATTTCATCCAAATTCTTTCCTTAGGGGTGATGGCATACACCCTGAAAGCATTAGTTTGTGATCATAGCTAACGCTTTCTCCCTTTGTCCCTCACACCAACTCTGCAGGGTTATGATTATTCCCCTCATAGATGACAAAAGTGAGTTTCCCCGGGGGGAAAGTAAGTCTGGAGTCAGGATCCAAATCCAGATCTGTGGTCCCAGGCCCAGGCTCCTCCTTGCCTCAGGGGCAGGCAGTTGCACGGCGGGTAGCACAGGTGGGCCCGAGAAATCAGGGCACAGTGGGGCATTTGGGAAACTGGAGCTGTCTCGACTAATTGTCATTCAGATTCAAAGCTTAAAAATAATACTGTGTCGAGCAAACAAAACCTCAAGGTGTTATTTGGCACCCAGGTACCAGTTCGTCACTCCCCCCACCCCCTAGGCTCGCAAATCCACAATTCTCAACCTCATCTCCCATGTGGCTTGTGAAGAAGCATCAGACTGAAGCACTGCAGAAAGCGCAGCAGAACATGCATGGGGTCACCTGGTTGCGCATCTCCAGTGACACGCTGGTCTGGCCGCACGGAGAAAGGTGGGACCAGTACGGGCACCCGCTGGGCTCCAGGGGGCGCCACTGACACACCCTGCAGCACAGCTGGTGCCTGGGAGGGGAGTGATGCTGACTCAGGCGGGCTGGTGGGCGGAGGGGTGATGCAGGAATCCCAGAGTGAGAACGAGGGCTGCCCCAGCTGAAGGGGCACTCACACGCCCCCGGGGTTGTCTGGCTGGTGCCACAGGTGGCTGAGCTCAGGCAAGGCCCAGGGCTGAGATCACCACCTGGAGGTTTACGATGATGGTGGACAGAGCAAGGCAATGGGCTCCGTCACTGTTCCCAGTACGTGTGGTCTGCATTTCTGCCTCCCTGCCTTTGTGCACGGGGCTCCCTTTGCCTGGAAGGCACTTGTTGCCTTAAGTCCGCTCCTTCCGTGGTCTCCATCTCAACACGCAGGCCATCTTCATGGCGTTGAGGCCGGAGACCTGGACGTCGTCCTAGGTTGCTGCCTCTCCCGCACCCCGCATCCATTCACACATCAGTTTCCACGTGCTGTTTCCGTAGTTGATCTCTCAGCAACCTCTTCTAGCTATTCCAGTGGCGATGCCCGAGCTCAGGTACATGATTCCCTCCCCCTGATATTGAAGCCACCGCCTCCTCCTTGCCTTCCCAGCCTCAGTTCCCCCTAATGGTCCTTCACCTTCCAAGGCGGGTGGTCCCTTTCCCTCTGTCTTGGCTCCCATCATCTCTAGCATGGCAGTGGGCACTGTCTTCTGCTCTAGCCTCCCACGGCTTGACATGTCAACCATGCTGAAGTATTTTCAGTGCCTTAAGTCACAAGTTCTCAGTTGCTTAGGTGCTGCCTCTGGGAGGCCCTCCCTGGTTGCCCGAGTCTAGGCCAGGTTCCTTTCCAGTGTGTTTCTTTCTTTCTTTTTTTTTTTTTTTTTAAGCAGAGGGAGAAGCAGGCTCCATGCAGGGAGCCTGATGTGGGACTCGATCTCAGGACTCCAGGATCACGACCTGAGCCAAAGGCAGATGCTCAACCACTGAGCCACCCAGGTGCCCCTCCAGTGTGTTTCTTTTTAGCACCAGGGACGATGTTATCATTGACTCTTGGAATTGATGGCTCGTTTGTTCTCTGAATGCACTGTAACCTCCCTGGGGGAACTATATCTCATTCACCCCAGTGTCTCTGTACACATTTGCTGAAGGCCTACTATGTGCCAGGTGCTGTGTTAGGTACTGTGACTCATTTAATAGTGGGTCAAAGCGCCATGACACAGGCTCTCATGGTGCTTACAAATGTGAGGGAGAGACAGATATCAATAAAGTCTTCTATAAATGATGCATAATTTCAAATTCCTACTGGAAAGGCAAGAAGTGGGATCATATAATAAAGTGACTGAGGCTGGGTGTCAGGGAAGGCTCCTCTGAGGAAGCCACGCTTTGGCAGAGATCTGATGTAGAAGTTGACCAAGGGAATGGCCAGGGAGCATACCAGACAGGAGGAACCACTTGTGCAAAGGCCCTGTGGCAGAAGGGCAACTGGTATATTTAAGAGTCTGAGAGAGGGACTGGGTGGCCAGAGTTTAGAGGGAGAGGAGAGTCCCTCCTCTTAAGAGTCTGGAGAGGACTGGAGGAATGAAGTAGGGCTAGAAGGGTGGGCTAGAGCACCAGCTCTAGCTCCTAGAGCACCAGTATCTTATAGGTCATTTGAAAGATTTCTGTCTATATCCTAAGAATAATGGGAAGCCATGGATATGCTTTATGCACACCATGAATGCACTGACATTCAGGAAAGACTGCTCTGGTTGTACAGCATAAACAGATCAGTGAGGGGACCAAAATGGGGTGCCAGAGGACACTGAATAATTGCTTTAAACATTCCCGAATGGGGACGCCAGGGTGGCTCAGCAGTTGAGCATCTGCCTTTGGCTCAGGGCATAATCCTGGGATCGAGTCCCACATTGGGCTCCCCACGGGGAGCCTCCTTCTTCCTCTGCCTGTGTCTCTGCCTCTCTGTGTCTCTCATGAATAAATAAATAAAATCTTTTAAAAAAATAATAAACATTCCCAAATGAATGAATGAACATCATGCAGTTATTCCTTTCACTGCTGTTTTCTCTCTCAGGCTGCCAGCCTGTCACGTGACCTTTCTTCTTTCAGTTTTGGGCATTTCCTTTCCCCTGTGTTTTCTGCAGATGAATTTTATAAAACCACCAAAGCCTACATTCTCCTTCGTGATGGAGAGGGAACCACGTGAGCACCTCCCAGGCCTGCAGCCACCCAGCCTCTGCTGATCAGCTCTTCCTCTGGGCTCCCAGAGGATGCCTCCCCTCCGCCCACAAACAACTCCTGAGCTGGAGGTGACAGGAGAGTGTGGGTGGCTGCCTGGCAGGGCTGTGTCCATGGCAACCGAAGTGCCTGTGGAGCAGAAGGTGGCAGGTGTGCTGGGCGTGGTCCCACCCCTCGTGACGGGCTGCTTACGACTCCCATGGGCGCAGCCTGCCCCGCTCTGGTCAGGGTCTGCCCATGACCACCCTGACTCCTCTCTTCCTCTCATCCTTGACTCCACCTTCGACCAATATCCAGAAGCCGATTACTCCTTATCACCTCCTCTGAGCCTCCTGTTGTCCATGCCTTGGTCACCTGTCACTTGGATTACTGCAGGAGCCTTCTGCCCTTTGCTCACGATCCGTTGTGTCCTTCCTCCGCTCCAAACTATGCAGCACCTCGGGACCTTTCCTGTATGGAAGCCACACTGTCTCCTGTGACCTGGCCCTGCACTCTCTGCTTCATCCTCTGTCTCTCCCTCCACTCCTGCACCTTGCTCCAAGCGCACTCTGCAGCCCTCCTGCTGCCTTCAGCAGCCTGGTCTGCTCCTACCTCAGGGCCTTTGTATCTGCTCCTCCTTCTGCCAGAACTCCTCTTTCCTCGGGTATCACATGGCTCACCTCCCTTCCAGGTCTCCACACAAACATCATCCGCTCTGTGAGGTCTTCCCCAAACCCTGGGTATAGACCACCCCCAGCCCTACCCACCCTGCTCCTTCCCTGCTGTACCTTTATTATGTTTTATGTTTCCCTTTTTTGTTGTTGTTGTTGTTGATTGCCTGTCTCCTGCCTCTAAAAAGGAAGCTCCTTGAGGGTGGGATTTCTGTGTTTGTTCCCCACAGCATCTCCAGTGCCTGGAGGAGGGCATGGCACATGGATGTTTACAGGTAGTATTTGTGGGAGTAGTGACAGGCAATTCCAGAATTAGTCTCCATCATTTATGGGGGATGAGATGTCCAAGGACCCACAGATCCAAGCAGAGCTAGAATGAAACCCAGGCCTCCTGATTCCCGCCTGGGCCCTCTCCACTGCTCTTCTGATCTAAGCCTACTAGACACAGCCCAGTGTGATCCTTCTTCACGTGTACTGATCTGCACTTTCTAGATGTGCTTTCTGGACTCAGGCTCAGGGACTCAACTCAAGGCGATGACTTGCACCTATGCTTAATTCTCCGGCGTTTATCCACTACCCTGGATCTGCTTGGATCCAGGTCCTGCCCTTCTCCCCTGCAGCTCCCCAAACTGGCCTGTCCAGCCACTGCCCAAACCCTGGCCATAACAGATAATTATGAGGCAAAGCCTGAGACTAAACTGTTACACCTGGGGTGCCTGGGTGGCTCAGTCAGTTAAGCATCTGCCTTCTGCCTTCTGCTGGGGTCATGATCCCAGGCCCAGGCCCAGGGGCTCAGCAGGGAATCTGCTTCTCCCCCTCCCCCCTCCACACCATCTCTCTCTCCCTCAAATAAATAAAATCTTTAAAAAATTAAACAGTTATACCTGTACCTGTGGGAATCCTTCCATTTCTTTTTTCCACTCAAAGTAGATATGTAGTCAAGCAATGGTCCAAGCATGGAAACAAGGATGAACAAGACATGGCTCCATTTCTCTTTCTTGTGATTGCCTTCCTCTGACTTTAAATATACTTATTATAAATAAACCCTAAAGCCCCTCCCAGCCCATTCTTACCAATGCAATCCAAAATCCAGCCAACTGTCCCATCTCCTCCGCAGGCTAAAACACGGAAGTCTGGAGTATCACGGAAAAAGTTCAATCTGGGAAGTAAAAGGCCAAAATGGTCTCATTGACTAGGTTGTGGCTGACATTTGATACTGTTTGAGTCAGTGTCCCCCCTATTCCCTGGGAGTATGTTACAGCCCTGACTCCTTTTGGGGTTGAAAGGATCACAAGTGTTCTAAAAGTGGAACTTACTAAGGAAGCAGTGCCACTAGAGTACAGAGAAGAATCCCGAGGAGCCATCCTTGTACAAGGAGAAGCTGACTCAACATTCAACACAAACAGAAAATGGTTTTCTAGAAATTCTCCACTATTTGTGCAGAGGAGGCCACAGTGAGCCTCTCTGGGCACCAATACAACTAACCCCCCACGTTCTGACTCCTCCCTGGCTCCCCTGCTCTGTCTTCACAAACTCTCCTTTTAAGTCAGATGCGGTGAACTAGCCAGATCTTCATCCCACTGTCCTGTAAGTCCAGACCTGAGCAGAGGAAGCATCATCTCCCCTCCGAAGCCTTCACCCTTTAGAGCAAGGTTCTTACTTAGCCAGGGGCCGGACAAATCTCTAAGGGATCGCTAAACAGAATGCAGAGGACCAAGAACCTGGGAGGAGAAGATGTTACATTCTTCTCTTCTCTCAGCTCTAAGTGAGATTTGGCCTCTCCAATTATGGAACTGGGCAACACATCACAGAGGCATGAACAATTCCTACGACTTTGTTAGAAATCAAAATCACAGGTATTTTCATGTTTTATCACAATTGTGGCAGCTGCCCCATATTATCACTGATGCCCATCACTGCTATTAATTAACAGTAGTTATCAGACCTGCCTCTGGATCTTACCAAACATGGTTAGTAAATCACATATATTCCTATCTCACAATGTTTGTGTTTTTAATATTTTGTTAACTGTCTTTTCAATATAATTAGTTTCCCTGGTGATCCTATATATTTCCCTTTACACATTGAGAAAAATTCTGAGAAGTGCCCCATCAGCTTCATCAAGCTGACAAATGGGTTTCCGGTACAAAAAGGACAAAAATCTCTGCTGTAGAACAAATGTGACCTGTCAACACCCTGGTTTGGGACATAGGAAGCTGAAGCTCTGGGGTTCGCCTTTGTCCAGCCTGGTGGTCTGAGAAGACCCCTGGGGCTTTCTGAGTCACTGATGCACACGTGGGCAAAGTAACATTTCCTCCTCTCCCGGACTCTTGCAGAACTCTACTCTCCTATAGGAAGTGAATTCTGAATGGAGATTCCTTTCCACTAGACAGGCTGCCTGGTTATAGACTGAGACAGCAAAGACACTCAAGGCTCAGCAGTCCTGGAAGTAGCCACCAGGCTTGCCCTATAGGACAAAAACAATTTAGGATGAATGAGGTTAAGCTAGAGAATGGCATTCAAGTATCTCAACGCCCTGAAAGAGAGGGGGCTGGTAAAGGTACTTGCAGGTCGCCATTCAGTCACGGGTCCTAACAGGGAAGTAACTGTAATCATGGTGACTTTGATGACACCCAGAGCAGCAGAGGTGGGCTCTGTTTTGAACTCAGAGGTCATGGCAGGCGTGCTGGTCCTGCACTCATGTTTCTCTTTTTCACTGGGTCTTGCACCATCGCAGCCATATACATAACAGCTTTGTGTCAAACAACGGACTGGGACATAATGCCTTTTTGTACTTCTTACCACAGTCCCTTCCCCTGCCCCCACCCACCAAAGGTCTTGCTGAACTGAGCCCAGAAACTGCAGATTAGGAGGCTGGGCAAAGTAGATAGGTGCTGGGAAGCCCAGCCCAGTGTGCACAGATCTGAAAACCTGGCCTGCAGACAGCCAGGCGCGGGCTGGCCAGCAGATGTCTCTAGCGCACCAGCTCTGTCTGGTAAGAAGCCCAGTCTGGGTGCCTTCCAGCCCCAGTGCTGAAGTGGCCTCTGATTACAGGGACTCACAGCCATCCCATTAATGCTACCACCGGGCCCAGCTCCTCCCACCGGACCGGCAGGCAGGCTGCAGAGGGGCTGCCTGCCTCCTCCCCTCACTCTCCTGCTCTAATAGGCAGTGGAACAGCTAATAGGTCCAGTGCAGAAGGGCCAGGGGCAGCTTAACAACCTCTAAATTGGATAATCCTGGGAAAAAAAAGCGACGTCATTAAATAACCAATTGCCTCCAACCTAAAATGCTCCCCAACAGAACACGAAGCAGAACTCTGAGTCAGCTGTTATAGATTTCCGAACTGCTGACAGCGATAGGAAGACTCTTTCCTGCTCTCTGATGACTCAGTATAAAGATACCGGCTAATACAGCCTTGCAGACAAGTTCACATAATTTACCAGCCCGCTCTTCCTGTCAATCAAATGGATGGCACATATGTGTTTTTTCTCTTTTACAAAAAAACGACAACTTTTTCCGGGGTGAGATCCAGGAGACTACTTCCCAGAGTTAGCCACAAGGGGTGTTCTTGAATATCTCCAGGAGCGAGTAAGAGTAGATGTGAGGAAAAGAAGACAGAGAGAGTAAAATGGCAGGAAGGATAAGTCCATAGATGAAAGAGACAAGAAGGGTGACCAATGAAAGGTTATCTTCTTCAGATAAAAGTGGCAGGAGGAGAGATAAATAACGATTATTTCTCCATACCCTGGAGTAGGACCCCCATTGTCCAGGTTGAAAACTTGTTTGGGGTTGAGCAGATAGTGGAATTTCCGAAGAATTCTATGGGGAAAAAAAAAAAGGAAGAGGGAGAGAAAGAGACAGAGAAGGAGAATGTCATTGTGAGAAGTCACAGTAGGACAAACCCCTCTGGAGCCCACCAGTGGTGGGAATCTGGGTCCCTTTAAACCCAAGAGGGGAAAAGACTGCACACAGGCCCTGCAGACCTAAAGTCCTGGGTCCAGTTGGCATCATTCACACCCTCATGCCCCGGCTCAAGGCCTCCCCACCATCCAAGACTGTAGAATTCGACCCCAGGACTCTCCTCCCTTGCAGAGAATAAAGCTTCTATTCTCCTAAAGCTTTGTCCTTCTCCTAAACATTCCATATGTTCTAAGTAGTATGATTCTGCTCTTTGTGGACTACACAAAGGTATCAAGGAACCCTCTACGGAAAGACCCGCCAAATCCTGGGATCAGGAGGTAATTGCAGGAGGTGGGGCTGGGCAGGGGAAGGCTGGGGGCAGTGACCACCTCTAAGCTTGGTTTCAAGGTTCTGGCTTGAGGCTCATCAGGTCAGTTCATGAGGGGCGCCCTGCCTCTTTGATAAGGGTTGGTGTGGGGGGGTCTCATAGTTCTCGCTTTGACCCTACTTATTATTTTGTAAACCTGGATTCCAGAATACTGCATTGTCTGTCCATTACCCTGAGCTGAACAGGATGGGGAGGCAGAGCTGCTTCACCAGTTCTCCCTCTCTCCTCCCACTCCCCCAATGTTTCCAGGAGACTGGGCATTTCCTTCACTGATGAAGTAGTGCCCTGCTTTTTCAGGAGCTGGGCAGGCCAGGAGGTCCCAATCAGATGAGTCCTGCCAGACCTCTTAAATCAAGAAAGGATGCTCGAGGCTGGGAAAGAAATTGGTGTCTCAGAACCTGGTCCAACCTTGGGAGCCATAATAGATGGGCCCTGGGCTAAGCACGTGTCTGCTTTAATCCTCACAATGGAGCTATGAGAGGAGCAAAGGAAACCATAGCACAAGGATGTTAAGCAGTCTGTAGAACCAGGTCATAAAGTGGTAAGGGGGTAGGGCTGGGCTGGAACCCCGATCTGCCTATCTCTGCTGTCCACCCTGTGGAGGGGAAGAAAAAACCTGAGTAAACTTGTCTCAGCCTCTTCATTTTGAAAAAGAAAAGAACATACCTTTCTCCTTGTCTCCCTCCACTCTTGGGGTTCACCAAGACCAGCAGGGGGTGGGTACCCGGGGTGGGGATGATCTTATACTTAAAAGGTAAAAGAAGAGTCTGGAATCAGAGATGGTACCATAGCTTCAAATCAAATCATTCAACAATGGTGTGGTACTGTAGCTATAAGCACAAGGTTATATATATATAATTTTTTTAAGTAAGCACAATGCCCACCACCGGGCTTGAACTCATGATCCCCTAGATCAAGAGTCGCATGTTCACCCACTGAGCCGGCCAGGCATCCACTATAAGCACAAGATTATGCTTTGTGAGGATACAACTGAATATACTTTTGGAATAAGTCCACTTCTTCAGGTCATATATGCGAATAAAATAATACTCATGGAGCTAACCAGCACTTCCACAGCACCTTCTAAATCCACATTTCCAGCCCTAGTTTATCTCTTGAGCCCTGGTTCCACATTCTCACTGTTCAATGGATACCTTCAACCAGACATCTTACCATCACTGCAAACTCACATGCCCAAACCTGACCCCTTCTGTCCCCACAGAACTGGTCTTCTGTCCTGGTTCACTGCTTCTTTTAAACACACTATTATCCTTTGGCTAGTCATCTAGGGGAAGACCCCGTCCTGCCAAATATCTCCCTGGATGTCCCTTTATCTCTGGCACTTGCCATGGTACCCACAGCACTCGGGCCTTTCCCGCCTCGGTTAAGGCCTGTGTGCAGTTCCTTCCCAGGACATCAGTCATGCCACTTCCACTCAGAAACCTTTAATGATACCTTGTTGCCCAGAGGATAAATCTAAATCTCCTAACCTGGCTTCCAAGGCATTTTAGCATAGCCCCAATCTCTGGTTGCCTCTTAAATGCTATCCCTCAGTGGCAGTCCCAGACAAGCCTGGTTCCAACCCTCCACTGAGTGTGTCCCCTGCCTTTCCACCCTGGGAGACTGCTCACAGTGGTTTCTTGTCCTCCTTTATGCCCCGAAGAGTCCACTTCCTTCTCCGCAATCTCTTAAAAAGGATGTCTCATTTTCAGGGCCCAACTCAAGACCTACTTCCTCTAAGCTTTCCTGGGTCATTGCAACTGAAACCATTGCACGTAAAGCATGGAATATCTTCTGGGTTTCTTTTGTTGTCCATTCGTGTGGATTTTGTTTTATGTTTTCTTAGGTAAATGTCTCAAAATATCAATTGGATTTTAAGTGCCCCAGGAGCAGGGCAGGTGTGCGTATAGCCCTCCTATCCAATGCCCCATGACACCAGATCTAGGAGTGGGTACTTAAGAAACACTTGTGAATCCAGCTGAAGCACAGGCCAATATGGAGATGCAGCTGTATTCCATATTCAATATATGATGCCTGCCTTTCCAGATCTCAAGCTAAAATTTCAGCAAACACAGCACCATGTTGTTTGAATAGGACAACAGCATTCTTTATGATTTTTTTAAGAATTTTTCTCATCTGCACAGGGTGACTGACTGTGTGACACCCAGAAGCACCTTGGAGCCTGAGGGGTAATTCTTTACCTCTGGGAATGACAATCAAAATATTTAACAATCCACTTGGCATGAGCACACTCCCAATCAAAATAGATGCAGGATAGCCAGATGGACGAGAGCTATAAATAACAGGTATACCTGCATCGCGCGTGCCTGTGTGTGTGTGCGCGTGCGCTACACCTGACTTTTTGCCTCTATAGGTATCTAGAGCTTTTTCATATTACTATGGTTTCTCCATCATTATTGCTTATGTTTTAATTTTCAAGACACACGAATCTGCATGTTCTCATTTAATCTTAGAGCACCTCTGGTAGGTGGGCAGTGCAGGGATTGTGATACTTCTCATGTTTTCAAACAAGAAAACATGAGATCAGAGGCAGAGGAGGAGACTCTAGTTCTCTATTTCCTTTTCTAATACTCTTATTTGGTGAACTCAAGTGAAAAAATGAATAGTTAAGGGGTGCCTGGGTGGCTCGGTTGGTTAAGTGTGTGACTTCAGCTCAGGTCATGATCTCAGGATCCTGGGACTGGGCCTCGAGTGGAGCCCTGCATCAGGCTCCTTGCTTGGTGGGGAGTGTATCATTCCTCTCCCTCTTCCTCTGTACCTCCCCCCCGCCCCGTTCATGCTCTGTCTCTCAAATAAATAAATAAGATCTTTAAAAAAATTCTTAAGTATACATTCCTAAGTAGACATTTAAGGATGAAGAAGAACTTTTGGATCTGGCTAATTTTGTTTTGGCAGATCTCATTCTAGAGACAGCCTGATAGTCTTGGAAAAACCATTGTATATTTTCAGTAAGTTTTATATAATTTGTTCCTAAAAGGGTGATAAAGTTAACTTGACCAGCAATGGGATCGGCCAACCTCCCATTTCACCACTTGCCAACAGTGTAGTGGTCAAAGATAATTCCACAAGCTGGAAATAAAGTGTCCCTCTTGTGTGATGTAATTATGTAATCAATCATATGAGAAAGCAAATGTTGAGATCTATTTCTCTAGAACCCAAACCCTGTCCTCTCTGCAGGCTTGGACACACTTAGAATGAGAGACCAGACTTAGGGCTTGCTGAGGTACCTGCATTACAAGTTCACCCTTGGCTGATGCGCTGCCATCAGACTTTCCACCTTGCCTGTCCTGTGACAAGAGACGAAAGACAAACATATTTTTTTAAATGCCCTAATTAAAAAAAGAGAGAGAGATCAGAAGAAAAACAAAGAGTTAATATAAAGAAAGACAATACAAAACCAGTGTAGAGTGGGGAAGAGTTTTTTAAAATGGGGCTTTGAGCCTAAAAAAAAAAAAAAAACAAACCCATGCTCTCCTCTGGGTTTCTCTAGGACTCCCCAGGCCTCTGTCATTATTTGCTCTGACTTTAACTTCAAGCCCCTGGAACAGACCTAGTGAGAAGAAATTCTGAAACTGGCAGAAATCTACTTTGTTGATTTAGAAGCTAGAACTGGGGGAAGCATGGTCTTACATCTGGCTTTTCTGGTAAGCACGGTCTAAAGGATGTGATAGTGAATAAGTCATTTTTCTTGGTTTTGTTTGTCCTATTTTGTTTCAATATTTATTTTTAAATTTTTATTTCATATAATATGGCTCAAATCTCAATCTCCAGCTTGATGAATATATATATACCCTTATAACTATGGTCTCTTCAAGTACATAACTCCTGGCTTTTGAATTTCACAAGTGAAATCATAGGGAATGTCTTTTTTTTTTTTTTTTGAGTCTTGCCTCTTTTGTTCAACATTGTGTCTTTGAGCCTGTCCATGCTTTTTCAGCTGAGCATGGCTCTTTCCCACTACAATGCAGCATTCCATTGCATGGAGATGCCTCAAACCCCTGCTGTCAGCAGTTATTTAATTTAGTTGGTTTCTAGTTTTTGACTGTTCTGAACAAAACCAATATGAACATTCTTATGCAGGTCTTTTGGTAAAAAAGTGCTCATATTTCTCAGGCAGATACACAGGAGAGCATATTGGGTCACAGAATGAGTGTATTTCCGACCCAGTAGATACTGCCAACTGGTTTTCCAAAGTAGTGTTTTTCCTTCAATTTTTTTCATGACAAAAAGGTAGCTGGTCAAGTCAAGGGTGAGATAGGAGAGATCAATGGGACTTGGCCACATCTTGGAGACAGAAGGGGACAGTTAAGGTGTTTGGTATTTGGTCAGAGGTGTCTCCAACACAAGAGGCAAAAAGTTTCAGTTGGAGATAAAGGGATTTTAATTTTCCTGCTTTCATCTCCAAACAGGGTGGGGACACCTAGGTGGGAATCCCCAAGGCAGAGAGAGGTTCATGTTTAGACAGAAGAGGCAGGCTGATAGGGACAAGGGAGGCCCAGGAGGCCTAGCCACATGCAGGTGGTGATAAATTCCTGCAGCTGTGCTCCGTTGGCAAGGTGCCTAGAAGGAAGGTACCTGCTTTCCTCAATGGGCCATTTCAGAGCATGCTAGGTGGCCAGCAGGGGGGCCCAGTCAGAGGAGTTTTCTCTCACAATCTGATGAGTGCGAGAACCTTTCAAACTTGCAGTGAGAACACAAACCCTAGGAGTTGTGAGGAGGCCCTAGGAGTTGTGAGGAGTCCCACAGAGGGAGGGATGTGAGCCTCTGAATGCTGCCTACATCTGAAACGTGAGCCCGGAGAGACCAGAGCCCCAGAGTCTTCTGGATGGCAGCACTTACCCGGGTCACAGGGCATATTGAAGTAGGCAGCAAAATATGATCTCTCAGTTCCCCACCATCACACAGTGTTGATAATTCACATTTGCGGTGAAACTAGAGGAAAAATGAAGATGACAGTGAGTGAAACTGACCAAGGCAATGTCAGGTGTGAGGGTTCAGAGGTTTGCTGGGGAGGCAACTGTGCAATGCTCCCCCAAATTCTTATGCACTGCTGGCTTTGGCAGTACAGGTGCATGTGTGTATGTGTGTGTGTGAGTGTGTGCGTACACATGAGCACATGTGGTCAGGGGCTCCACGTTGGCTGCAGGCAGAGAAAGGAGACAGAGTGCTGTCCACAACTGCTGGAGTGAAATGGGCAATGGGCAGGCCTGGGTCCCTGCAGCGTGGCACCGCCATGTGGATTCCAGAAACCCCCTTGGACATTTGCTCCCTAGGCTCTGAGACTCTGTAAGGAAGGAGATCTTGTTGAACAAACTTGCAAGAGGCTGGAAGTAAAATCCAAAACTCCACCTGTGCATTCTAAGAGATCTGATCTCCACAGGCTGATGTGGAGGCACATCCTTTTTGAGGCTGATACCTGGTTGAGGGGACAAGACATGACACAGAGTTTGCTTTGGCAGGCAGGATGGGCAGCTTCAGGTGTCCTGGGGGGACATGGATCTTTGTTGTGGTGACAGCGGCAGATGCAGGCCTCTGGCCTCGGCAGTGGGGCTGCTGTAAGGGGTGTGCCTTCTGCTGATGCCTTGAGGAACAAGGGCTCTGGTGTCTAATTCTGCTCCTACTCTGTGCCCTTGGCCCCAGATGACACCCAGGTGGAAAAGTTACTGGTCTGGCTTGCTGCTCACAGCTGCCTGGCCACACAGGCAGTGGACTGGTCTGCTTCTTTTCCAGCAGCTCTCACTCCCCGGGATCCGGGGCTGCCCTCCCTCTGGACGGCCTGGAGATTCACTGGAGCCACCGTTAGAGCACTGAATGGGGGCTCTGTGCCCCCCAGTCTTGCTCCCTGAGCTCCGCTCACGCCCTCTGCCAGGATGTCCACTGCTCCCTGGCTGCAGCTTGAGCAAAAACACACTGAAAAGAAAGAGGGCCACCCTGCGCGCCAACCCACCGTCATCCGGCACCACACGCAGTGCCGCGCGGTGACGCTCTGGTAGCACTTGATACTTTTGTGGCACCGGTCACACTTGACGGAAGAGTTCCCTTCTACCCACGCGTGCTGCATCACCTGCAGGAGGGAAGGGAAGGATGCCAGGGAAGGCTGCAGAGCCACAGCCCAGGGCCCAGGGCCCTGGGAGGAGAAAGGTCTGGGAGGAGCACAGGGTTGGGGGGGTGCAGAGGGGCCGCTTTCTGTTCAGAGGATGTACTTAGTGGGCACGGGGCTGCTTTGCTGAATTGCACTGACTTGGTCCCTCCCTGCCTAACCACCATCACGCTAATCAAAGTAGACGAAAAGCCACTAGGCCTGCACTTTGAATAGCTCATTCACCCTGGCAAGCAAGCCTCTGAACAGCATCTTGTCTGGCAGTCCATCTGTCTGTCTTGCAGAACTCCTTGCAGAGTGATGTGCTTGTGTGCGCCCTCTTCTGGAAGGCAGCACGATGCAGGGAAGCACTAGAGGGCTTGGGACCCGGACAGAGCTGGTTGGAGTCACTGATCTTCCACTTTGCAGCAGGGTGACCTTGCCAGTTCCTGGACCTCTCTAAGTCTCAGGTCCCTCATCTGTAGAAACTGGCATGATAAGCCCCACCTCTGGGTTTTCTGGGAGGATTAAAAAAGATAGTGCCCTTTGAAGAGCCTCTCTGGCACAGTTCTGGCCCTTGAGAGGTGTCCACTGAGAGATAATTCCCTTTCCCCTCCCGTCTTCTATAGACCAGTGGCCCTCAGCCTGTTAGAACCACCTGGGAACTTCTAGAAGTCTTAATGCCCAGCCCTCACTCCAGACCAGATGAACCAGTCTCTGGAGACAGGATTCATCATCAGTTTATTTTAAAGCACTCTGTATGATTATGATTATAATGTGCAGCTAAGGTTGAGAGGCATTCTAGAAGGAAAACAGAACAAAAATCCAAAGAAATTAGTGTGGTTCAGCAGCCAGTGGCTTGCATATCTGTTTCCTGGAGGGCTGGCTGTACCTGCTCCTAACCCGGAAATGCCACCAGGACAACCCAGGAATTTGAGAAGCAGGTGGGAAAATCAGTGTGTGTGTGTGTGTGTGTGTGTGTGTGTGTGTGTGTGTGTGTAAGTGGAGCCAAACTGCCCCATGACACCAAATTCTGGGAGCCTAAGCCCTCAGTTAGGTCCATCTAGGATTTCTACAGAACTTCTCAAAATTTTCTAGCAGGGCACTCCAAACAACAGAATAAAGAGAATATGGACTCCACAGGAATGTGAGGATATAGCCTGAAGTGCCTACTCCAAACACAATATTAAAAACACATCAAATATTTGCATGATACCATCCTTATCTGTATTAAATAAAAGTTTTTAAATTACTTATCAATTAAATTACTATGCCCTCCCCACTAAAGTTTTTTGGTAAAACTGTTGCTCTAGAAGATGTGTCATGTTTATTTTGCAGCTTCTCACCTTCTGCTGCACATCCCCGCTGGTATAAAATACCCCGTTTGGTGATCAACCTGTCATCTATACGGTTGTACTGAATTTGCTTTGAGATTCTGGTTATCTCCATTTTGCAGAGATAAAAATGAAGCTTCAGAGAGGTTGAGTGACCAGCCCTAGGTTCCAAGGCTGGTAAGTGGCCAAGTAGGGACTCATGGCCAGGTTTTCTGACTCCAAGTCCATGGCTGTGTCCCACCACCACGTTGCCTTCTCCATCCTCTTCTGATCCCAGAAGAGGATGGTGAAGGACCTGGGTTGCCCCTGGAGATTCAGAAGGTTGTGAATGTGCTCTACTCGTCCGTCAGTGGCCTTCCTCTGTTGTGTGTGTGCAAATGGCCAGAGTGTAGGTTTAGGGCCTGAGCCCAGGAGGTACACGGTGCATCCTGGTGAAAGGTATGGACATGAAAAGAGGTGTGTATGGGCGTGCTGCAGGAGTAGACACGGGACCATGCGGTGTCTCATGGGGCATGCATGTGTGTTGTGGAGGTGCCCTTCTTTCTCAGGAGTTCTTTTGTGGAGAGCTGGATGCTACTTCCTGCTGCTAATCATCTCCTGACTCAGGTTGAATGGACTCTTCCCTCTGCAGGATCTAAGAGTGTCCTTTCCCTGCTAAATTTAAGGAGAGTCTACTTCCAGACTCTATAAATGGCATCACCCAATGGCTAAGTAAAACCAGGGAGCCATTCCTGACCTGTTCCTCGCTCTCATCCCCTATGTCCCCATCACCAAGTACTGGTGGTGCTACCTCTAAATTATGTCTCAAACTCTCCCTTCATCTCCTCTACCTCAGCCAGAATGACAATCAAAATATGCGACAACCAGCATGGCCAGGGGACCCTCAGTAGAGACAGCCACCATGGTGTTATAGTGTGAACATGAGTGTATTGAGTGTAGCAAGTGCAGACCCCACCCCAGGCCGGCCCTCAACAAGGCACCGCCTGTTGCCTAAACTGTTGGAGGAGCTCTGTGGCCCCCTCTGATCTTTCTCCTGCCCCATGGTCAGAGGAGTTAACCTGATTCACAAACTCAGTCATCACATCACGTGCTTAAAGCTCTTCAGAGGCCTCTTTGCTACGTAGGGGGTCCCCTTCTGACTCCAGAGCTGGCCTCGTGACAACTTCCCCAGGCTGGACCTAGCACTTTTTTCATCGCCTGTCACTTCCCTCTAAGCATCTTCTGTCCCAGTCACACCAACCTAAGTACAGATCCTCGAATACACCATGTCTCCATGCCTTGCACTCAAGGCTGCTTCTGCCTGGGGTGCCCTGGCCTCCTTGACGCCTTGTGAAGTCCTCCTGATTTGGATTCAAGACACAACTCAAATGCCACTTCCTATGTGGGACCTTCCCTGGCCTCCTCCTTGGTGCCTCCACTCTGTCCCACATAGCCCTCTTGTCATCATACATCTCACTTTGTATGTAGTATTGCTTTGTCTGTCTCTCTCTCAAGAGACTGCACAGTTCTGGAACAGGCTGGGGACCATCTTGTAACTTGCATACCCCCTAACACAGTGCTTGGCACACAGTGGGCACCAGGGTGATGCTGATGGATTGATGGATGAACAGGATGATTTAAGGGGGGTCCTTGAGGCAGAGAAGGGACTGGATAAAACTTTCTGCCCAGGAATCTGTGGTGATGGACATGTTGCCTGGGATGCTGCATGCAGTAGACCATGGCAATAGGTAGCACTAACCTCACCGCCCCTTTTGGTTTTTGAGCATGTTTTGACACATCCAGGAATGTTTTTGGATACACAGCGTTCATGGACAGTATATTTGCAGTCTGGAAAAAAAAAAAGGAAAGTGCTTTTAAGTTGCCTCCCAGGTAGGTCCAGCCATCTGCCCACCTCCACTCCAGCTGAGTCCCATGCCTCCCTCTGAGAGGCCAGTCAGAGGCAAGGGACATATGGAGCTGGCTTTCCTAGTGGAAATTTAAAATAGTCAACAGTTGCTCAGTGAGAAGACAGTCCTCACTTCTCTCCCAGACGTGGTTTTATACCTTCTCCCCCACCACACTGCTTTCCACCGAGGAACACAAATGCAGGAAGAAAACATCCCCAGAAAAGCATTTTCTGCTTAAAGAAACATGAGGAGTCCTCCTCTCATATGCCCATGCCATGCAGAAAGGAGGAGGAGGAAACAGAATGACTGGGGGTGTTGCTCACTTGGGTGTCAGGCAGGCCTGGGCCTGAACTCTGGCTCTGCCATTGGCCACCACACACATAACCTTGGGTAGCTTTCCTCACTTCTCTGAAATTCAGGGACTTCTATAAAATTCCGGATAAACTTGCCTCTCTTTCTGTTTGCAAGGCTTTCACAGCATTAGATGAGATCGTCTGTAGACAGCACTCACTGTGTCTCTGTGTCCAAACAGCTATTCCACACGTGATCATTGTGGCTGTTACCACTCCTTGCTACCATGAGAACAGCAGAGGCCCAGAGGCCTGGAACCCACTAGGAATGAGATTGGGCTCTTCCCTAAGAAGAGTGTGGGAGCTGGAGGTGACTGGGTGCTAGAAGGACTGGTGGCCCCTGCACTAGCCCACTGATGCTGGCTCTTGGCATACTGGTGGTCCAGCTCTGCCAAGGTGACTTTTGTGGCCAGGTCACGCGCTGCCTAGCTCATGTGAGCATGCTCAGATGAAATGGTTCTGCAGCCTGAACCTCACCCAAGGGCTCTCCTATAGTAGTAGTTTGCTAGGCTCCAGTGGGTCCAGGCGGAGTGTCTGCTGCCTATATGGTAAGGTGGCTGGCAGGACTCTGCATTGCAGGCCCTGGGCGCTATAAAGCCTTTGTGCTGTAGTCTCTCCCCCTCTCTCCTCCTCCCATCTCCATTCTCCTTCCAACATCACCCCTTCTCCTTCCTTCCCCTCCATCTTTCTCCCGTGGTCCTCCTTTCTCTGGTCTCCTCCCCTCCTTTCTCACCTGTTTTTTTTTTTTTTTTGACTCCTTTCCTGTCTGACTTTACTAAATGGATTACAAAGAGAAACAAATGGAGGGTTTTAAATTCCATCGTGCTTACACAATACAGTTTTATATTGTTTATTAATAACCAACCCCTGGCTTCAGCAAAATAAACATTTGCTAGCAAGACCCAACTAAAATTAGCATGAGATGTTTTATTTATTTTAATTTTAATTTTAATTTTTTTAAAGATTTTATTTATTTATTCATGAGAGACACAGAGAGAGAGAGAGGCAGAGACACAGGCAGAGGGAGAAGCAGGCCCCATGCAGGGAGCCCGATGTGGGACTCGATCTCGGGACTCCAGGATCACGCTGTGGGCTGAAGGCAGGTGCTAAACTGCTGAGCCACCCAGGGATCCCCATCATGAGATGTTTTAAAATCATGTGTGGCCATTAACAATTTGTTTCTAGGGCTCTAGGGCCCATGGCAGGATTTCGACAACAGGACAGTGTCCATTTGACTGGGGCAAAACAAAAGTAGGACAGAGAGCTCTTGCTTTATTCCCTGCTGTTGGTCCCTCAAGCTAGGAAGCAGAAACACCCAACCTCTCCCTCAGTATGTGCAGAGCAAGGTGGTTCCTGGGAAGGGGGTTTGAAGGGAGTTTACTCACAAACGCAGCACAGGCCTTGCTTCCGAACACCCATCAGCATAATGTGGCAGAAGTTGCAGTAGGTGGGCTTCTTGAAATGCTTCATGGTCCAGGCGTGCCTCCCGTCCCCCTTGGAGCCCTGCAGGGATAAGTGCAATGAGCTGCTGAACGGTAGCCCCCTGCTAGCAGAAGCCAGGGAGCGTCTCCCATAGGTCTCTTCCTTCTTTCGGAAAAGACCTCTCATATACAGAAGACAAAATACTCATTTATTTAACTGTTTTAGGGGTTCCTTTAAAAAAAAAGCACAAATCAAAACAAAGTCCTTTGTTTCTAAAATTAGCAAATATTAAAAATTCAGATATTCCTGAGTGGGAATGTATATATGGGGGATAAAATAAGACCTCTCCTATATGGCTGGCAGAAGGTAAGTCACAAACTTTTAATCTATCTTCTACTATAAATCCACCCATCCATCCATCCATCCATCCATGAACCCATCCATCCATCCACCCACCCATGAACCCATCCATCATCCATCCATCCACCCATCCATTGTCATCATTTTTAACTACTTGTAACTTTTGACTTAAAATTCCCCTTCTTGGATTCTGTCCTAAAGAAATACATTTTTTTTTACTATTTATTTATTTATTTGTGAAAAAGAGAACATGAGCAGAGGGAGGGGAAGAGGAAGAAGAAGAGAGAGAATCTTTCAGCAGATTCGTCCCTGAGCACGGAGTCTGATGTGGGGTTTGATCCCAGAATGCTGAGATCATGACCTGAACTGAAATCAAAAGCCGGCTGCTTAACCGACTGAGCCACCCAGGCACCTCCCCCCCCACACACAAAGAAATAATATTTGAAAGTAAGATGAACATTTTGGTGCTCTGCCAGATGTTTAAATCCACCATTGTTTAAAATAGTGAAAAACTGGAAATATCCTGAAGATCTCAAAATTGTCCAAAGGTTAGTTGTGGTACATCCATATGATTTATTTTTAAGTGACCATCAAAAAGATATTAGTAAGAATATCTATTGGCGTGGGAATGTGCTCACGGTACAATGCTAAGTGAAAACAGTAGATTGCAAATCTGATGATATATTATAGCCTCAGTTTTATATAATAAGATCTTTGATGGGAAGAAATGTCACTAAATATTAACAGGGGTTAGCAGCCCTACAGATTTACTTTAATTTCGAATTTCTCCTATCTTTGGTGTTTTCCAAATTTTCTACAGTGAGCATGTGCTGGTTTTATAAGCAAGAAAAAGCAATTTAGCAAAAGCAATGTACTTCCCTCAACTTTCTGTGCACAGATAAAATGGCAAAGAGACAAAGACGGAGAGAGGGTTAAACTACTTCCTCCAGACTTGGCCCGGAAGCCAATTCATCCTATCCAACTAGATGAGCCAAGCCTCACACAATCACACACCTTCCCTGGAATACCAGAACTTCCCACTTCTAGCTCTGGGAGTGCAGTGTCACTAGAGGCTGTGGCTGTAGGAACATGCTTCCATGTATGCTGTCCCTAAACTTTTCTAATGGCTTCCATCAAAAAACTAATACCCTTGGGCTGGTCTTATGGGCAATAAGAACTGTGGCAATAAGGTAAGGAGGATTGACAGGTACATAGGGTCCAGCGTGCCGAACTCCCACCCAGTTCCTACTTCTGGGCACCTCTGGCTTGGGCTGCCCACAGCAGCCAGCTCCATTCCTGTGCCCAGATTGTGCTCCTTATGGTCTTTGGAGAAGCCCATCTGTTTTTCCAAATGCTGGTCTCCTCCCTGGGGAAGGCTAAGCATTTTTCTTCTCACCACCTCAAAACCCTACTTCTTTCAAGATCTGAGTTTTACAGAATTAAAGTCTTTTTATTTAATGGTTTCCACTTTAGCAAACAGATTTACTAGTTGATTAAATGATTCATGAAAATATTGATTCATCTCTTCATTTGATAAACATCTAACTCAGAGGATTTTTATAAGAATTAAATGAAATAATGTGAGTAAAGCTTCTAATCTGGTGCTTACCACATTGTGAACTACAGCTTTTATTAAATTTCTCTCCATGTTAGACACTAGGAAAGGCAAAATAAGCAGAGTGTTTCCTTATGTATAAGGAGGTAGGTATTTACCTATGCCAGAAATGAAGAAGAGGGGTCCTGGAGAAGTTTTATAAATAGTCCAACACTATAAAATAACTAGCGACTGATTTTAATAATTGGGAGTCTTGCTGGCTTGAGCCCATGTTCCTTTCATCCTTCTCCCCTACCTATACAATCTAGGGTTTTCTTTTATGGACAGGAGTGAAGTTGCACATTCTTCAGCACTGCTTCTTCATATAGCCCGAAGGACTGTCATTTTATCTGAAAATCCCTTTATTAACTAAATCAGCTGACTTTCCTTTCCTCAGGTACTATTTTTATGGACACAGGGTTAGTTAGAAGTAGAAAGACCCAGATGAAGGCTAAAGTAATATTTCTGCCTGGGTTATAGCACCATCATGTGGCCCTTTCATTTCTGCACATCGGAGGCTACAGGGTGAGGGCGGCACCTCCCCGGTGCCAGCCAGGGACTATGGTGCTGTCACAATTTCCCCAGGAGGCAGAATTCTTCTCCTATGCAACTGTGCCATTCAGAGATCTCAGACTTTTTAGTGGCCACGTGTGGGTTTTGAAAAAGCCAAAGGAACCATGTGATTTTTAAGACACTGAGGGATGCTTTCTTCAGAATCTTGACTATAAAATGTAAAAACTACAATTTAGTGCATATTTAAAAATAAATGCATAAAGCTTTTATTAATAAAAACTACATTCACATTTGCTTTTGCTTGCCACTTTACTGGTGTAAATTATGGTCTTCTGCAAGGCTGGTCTGGCATCTGGTGGGGGGGCTTTGGGGGTAATGCTACTTTGGGGGTAATGCTCTCTCTCCCTCCTCCAGCCATATGATAGTGGATCCCCTCCATGCAAAGAATTGCATGACACCTTGGACTTAGCAAGTCCAAAACAGAAAAGAAAATAGAAATTGCTTCCTCGTGATTAAAATGTCTCATCTCCATTCCCATGTTTTAGAGAAAAAAAAAAAACAGATATGCTGGAACTTCCACTTTGATTCAAGTATTGGAGCAGAAAATATGCCCTCCTTATCTGACCACCCCATGTCCTAGCTCCTGTGGGTTCTTACACTTGGTAGGTTCTTGATAAGGAATCACTGAATAAAGGGTGTGCTCTTCCGGAATATGGAGATCTGCCTCTGGTACTAACTAGGTGTGTGTCCTAAGGCAAGTCTTTATCTTTGTGGCTCTCAGTTTGTAAAATGAAGAGGCTAGAGCATGAATCACCAAGATCTTTTCCAGCTCCGACTTCATGGGTCTTAAGGAATAAGAAGCAGAAGTTGTATAGCTAGCTCCTGGCTCCTGGATTTCTACTTAGCACTTGGGAAGAACTGGACATGCTAGGATGATTGTAGGATTCTTCGTTCTTGAGTGTTGGGAATGGAGGCTCAGCTTATGAATTGCGGTTCTGAATTATGCAACTGTCAGACAGAGACATTACGGGTAATGATAGCCAGCTAGAGGCTAGCCCAGCTGAACTTCCTCTCTACCGCATTTTAGCAATCTCAAAGAGATTGCACAACCTGTGCAACAGTCCTGGAATGTGCTTAATGTCACCATTTGTACTTCTAGTTCTTATCTTTCCTACCTCATATATGGAAGTTATTTCCCTTGTAAGATAAGCAGACTAGGTCAGATGCAGGCATATATTACCACTAATTTCACCTTAAGCCTCCTACATACCCCCTACTCTGACAAACCTGGGAGGTTTTTCTAATACACTCTGAACTTTCTTTCATGTAGGTCTTTGACCAAGCTTTTCTCCCAGCCATAAACTCTTTCTTCTATCATCTTCCATCGGCCAGATCATACTCATCCTTGAGAACCAGATCCAACATCCTCTAAGGGCTTTCTACCTGAACTTTACACTCAAGAAGGAGATATCAGACTCCCACATGTACTTCCGGCCAGGTCAAAGGACCTCCAAAGCGTCTTCCCTCTTTCTCACTCCTCAGTGTGGGAGGTTTCAGAAAGCTTGGGATCTTTGGAGTCCAGTGCAAATAAATTCTGGCTCCTCCTTTACCCTTTAGGCCCAGAATCTCAGCTTTCCATCTGTATACATTGGGGGGAAATATATCTAATCTGGTTATTTTGATGGTTAAATAAGACAGCGTCACTGAACGCCCTCTACCTTATGATAGATCAGTATCTCTCCTTCCCTTCCTTCCTTCGTCAACACTCTTAGCATACTTTAACCTAATTTGTTGAAAAGATGAAATTCTCCCTTGACTTTTTTCTCCCCCTGCCTGGTTGAGTCTAAGCTTCTGATAGGGGAGTATTGTATTTGCGTCCCCTTGCAGTGCTCAGAACAGTAGCTTTATTTAATTTAGTAAACGTCCTCTGTCAAATGAATGACTATATGCCAGGCACCAACAGGTAGAAAGAGAAGACTTTGGGGCTGGTCTAGAGCACATGGTGTGTCCATGGGGAAGTTGAGGTAGGAGCCAGGGCCATATATAGACATAACTTCCTTAAGTTATCTAAGTTTCTAAGTGGAACCTGATGCTTCTGAAAGGCAAGAACTCTTTGAGCTCAGGCTTGCTGACTTACAGAGTCATCCATGCCCAGCAGGACCAGCAGTGGGATGGTGGTCATCCCTCCATGGACCCATTCCTCTAGCGACACAAAGCCGTCCTGGTCATAGTCCATCCCTTGCAACATCTCCTTCAGTATCTGCAGAACCCAAAGAGCAACAATTGTACACTTTTATCTTGTGCTTCCCTGCCTCCCTCTGTCCCCTTCTTTCTCTTTTGCTCTGTGTGATCTGGTCTGTGTTTTACCTCTTTTGTCCTCTGATTCCCAGTGAGCAGAGCAGTGAGGGAGCAAACTGGGTTGAGGAGGCCAGGGTTCCACGCCCTGCCCTGCCTGTGCGGCCTTCAGCCAGCCACCTCTACTCTCTGGGTTCTGCTTTTCTCATCTACAAGATGAAAATAATATTGCTACGTGTGTAGCAATGTAGTGACAGTAAGAGAAAATGTGATAGGGGATAAATTCTAATACCTGACTCACAGGAGCCCCCAAATGTAATTATTATTAATAATATTATCTGGTAATTGAGAAAATCTTTAAAATTTATTCTAGCTCAAAATTCCCTGAACTCCTGTTATGAAAACTTGGTTCTAGTGGAAAGGTTAGGGAGTATTATTAGGTATTATAATTTGAATTATGTCTTTCATTTTTAATATCAGAGAAGTGGGGGTTATAAGACCCCAGAGAAGCTGCCTAGAAGGAGGTGAGTTTGGGAAAGCATACACAGTAAACATTTGTATCCTGAGTGTCCTATTTTCATCTTGAAAGCTTATTGGACATCTCCTCTTACTCCTGGAAACTTACAGGCCTTAGTTCAGTGGGATCCCATTCCAGATACTGGGCGATATGAAGCATCTGGTTGACAATACGATCCATCTCCTAGAAAACATCAAGAGGAGAGAACCATTGAAGATGTGTTTTCAAGAGCAAGACTCAAAATCAAACCCCATGGGAAGATGGGCAGGGCAGAACGCGAGGAGCAGCAGTGTAACGTTACTGGTGTTTCCTAAGGAGCTCACCATTTGTTTCTGCTTATTATTTCAGCCTTGACCACAAAGCTCTGTGCAGAGGAGATGCTCACAAGAAGCACAGAACATGGATAAACCAGAGGTATGAAGAAAACTCACTGAACACTGAGCTCTTCTTGGATCCCCCTGGACTCACCTTCCTTCAATTCTGCACTTGGACTCAGCATTGAAGGCACCCCTGTTTTCTCCTTTGTGGATTCTTGTCTCCTAAACACTTATAAACCAAGGCAGTTCCCTCCTCCCTCTTTTATCTCTTCTCATTCCTGCAGCTTTAGCAACATAAGCTCCATCTATATTCCTCAGGAGTCAGTGTGTGTGGGAGGGGGCGAGGGGTAAGGCCATTGGCACTATGACTCAGATTCCTTTGGGTATCTCTCTTCCCTTTGCATCTTCTCCAGCCATGAGGCCAGGACTCTGTGGACAGGAAATTGTTAAGGGCTACCTTTGCCTGGTGAGTGAGACTTCTGTTTGGTACTGAGGTCAGGCTTTATTTAAAACCTCGCAGAATTGTGGGATGCTGGGGTGGCTCAGTGGTGCCTTTGGCTCAAGTCATGATCCTGGGGTCCTGGGATCAAGTCCTGCATTGGGCTCCCTGCAGGCAGCCTGCTTTTCCCTCTGCTTCTGTCTCTGCCTCTCTCTGTGTGTCTCCCATGAAAAAATAAATAATATCTTTAAAAAAAAAACCCTTACAGAATCGTTGGATTGCTAATGAATCCATGCACCAAGAGTCACATGGAAACACACTGGACTGAGAGGCATTTGTGTCTCTGGGGCACCACTGAGGATGTTCATAGTGAGATTGATCAGGGGAGACACGCTGGTGAACTGAAGCAAAGTTCTAGAGTGTTACCTCCACCAGGTAGATTGCTGGATCAAAATAAGCCAGCTAAAACCCAGCAGGGATTTAAAAAATTGTATTTTATTTGAAATTTTTAAAAATGCATTGCCAAACCGCAGATGAGGGAGTAAATGCAGGTAACATAGCGGGCAGAACAGTGGGGACGGGGCACAGCAGAATGTGCAACAAAAAAGAGCTTGTGCATCTAGGCAGGTCCAAAATTCATTGAGTAAAGCAACGTGATTCAGGAAGTGAGAATCAGACTCGGTCTTGGTCTGTGCGAATGGGTGGGCATTTTCAGGAAGCAGAGAAGGCAGATTTAGGGGGAACTTGTTCTCTGGACATCTACCATGGTCAGGCCACGTGTGGATATGTATAGAGTCATGGAGGAGTGGGTTCAGTTCTGTGCCATATTTTAAGAACGGCATTGACAAACCAGAGCTCGGTCAGAGTGGTTATTTAAGCCTACCTTGTGAGAAACAGTGTAGACATTGGGAGAATTTGAGCTTAGAGAAGATCATGGGGATAGATGTGACAAGACCTTCTGAACCTTAAAGGCCTATTATATAGGGCCAGTATTCCACTGGTCAGCTGCCCTGGTCCTACACAAGGCAGAAGTAAGCCGAGGGATGTAGGGAAGGAGGAGCCGAAGGCTGGCCTATTTTGCTGTCTTTGCTGGGTTGGGGAGGGGGAGGAGAGAACAGAATCCTATTTTGTGTTCAGAATTTCTCTGGCAGACTAGAGGTGCCTTTTGTGCAGGAAGGCAGCTCTCTCCAACAGTCCCCCCAGCAGTGGAATGGCTGTCTTAAGGTAGAGAGCGAACTCTCCATTCCTGTGAGTGTTCACATAGAGCCTGGGCTCCATCTGCCAGAGATCATCCATGGGAAGTTGAATCAGATATTTTTACTGAGGACTCACTTCCATCCACCCATGTTGTCTTCCAAATAGATCTGGAATTTAACCACTTCTTACCATCTGCAATGTTTCTATCCTGGTGTAACTTACCATCATTTCTTGTCTTATTTTCCCAATAGCCTCCTAATTGGTATCCCTGCTGGAGTCCCTAAAGTCTAGTATCAACACAGCAGCTGGAGTGATCCTTTTAAACCCAAGTCCTGTCATCCTTCCACTCAAAATCTCCAATGGATCTCCATTTCTCTAGAGAAACAAACTCTTCCAATCACTGATATGGCTTGCTATATTTGGCGAACTCTCTTCGCAACCACCCCAGGTCATTATTTCTCTGATCTCATCTATTACTTCTCACTTTGACCTCTTCATGACTCTGCTCCATCACTCTAGCTTCCTCATTAATCGGCTGACATTGCGGGGCACCTGGGTGGCTCAGTGGTTGAGCATCTACGTTTGGCTCAGGGTGTGATCCTGAGGTCCTGGGATTGAGTCCCACATCAGGCCCCCTGTGGGGAGAGCTCCTCCCTCTGCCTATGTCTCTGCTTCTCTCTGTGTGTCTCTCATGAATAAATAAAAATAAATTCTTTTAAAAAAATTGGTTGACATTGCAAGCACCCTTCAGGACCCTCACATTTGTGGTTCCCTCTGCATGGAAGGTGCTTCTTCTACATGTCCTCATGACTCACTCCCTCATTTCCTTCCAGTCCCTATTCAGATGTCTCCTGAGGGAGACCTTCCTTAGCTCCTCTAGTTAAACCTGCAGCTCCTCCCACCAGCACTTCCTTTCCCTCCTTTATTTTTCTTCCAGCACGCACCTCTCTCTGACATATCTTGCTATGCTTTATAGGGTGTGTGCTTGCACTAGAATGAAAGCTTCATGAGGGCATGGATTTTTGTCCAGTGGCTTCACTGCTGTAGCCCCAGTGCTCAGAGCAGTGCTCGACATGTGACAGACACTCAATCAACATGCGCCAATCAAATGCTTGAGAGTCAGTCCTCTGGTTATTCCCTGGCATGATGCAATCCAAAGCACTGCAATGTGGCTATATGGATCCCTAAAAGGAGCCCTGGGGTTTAGAGGACATTGGGACTTAGTTGGTCTAGTGGATGTGTTTCCTTCCTTCCCTGTGGGGCTGGTCTGACTCAGTCCCATGCCCCTCAACCTCACAGCCTTTCTGTTAAGGAGTCCCATCTCTGACACTGGGAGTTATGAGCACAGGGCCTGAGTCTGTTTGCCTTTCCCCCCTTTCTGCCTTCTTCCTTTGCATATCTCCTTTCACTCCATGATCCATGTCCTATCCCCGAGGGAGAGTGGGGGCGAATCTCAGGCTTTCCGAGGCGCAATGGGATGGGACCATGAGCTCAGAGCAGAAAGAACCAGACCTGTTGAACAAGTGCCCTGGGTATGAGAGGAAGACTGGGAAGTTAAACTAGGTAAGATAGTTCAGATGGTAAGTAGGAGTTACTCCTAGGTAAGTAGGAGTTCAGAGGATCTCCCCTTCTGAAATTTTATGATCCAGGGCTTCTAGAATGAAAAGGCCAAGGTAGTGTTCATTCTGCCCCAGGCCGGCCCTCTTGGAAGTAGTAGTGACGGTTTACCAGGATTTCTGCAGCCTATTCTGAGACATTGCTATTTCTATAAGGATGGAACTGGAAGGTTTTAGCCTCTTCTGCTACCTGCTCCCCTCTCCCCCAGGTTTTTTTGATTTCAGGAAGGACATTTGGAGTAAGAGCTTACCGCTTGGTCCAGGAGACCGTTCTCATCCGAATCATAGAGACGAAACATGACTGCAAGAAACACAGAGGTGAGGCTTGAGGTGTACTCCGGGCACCAAGGAGGGGCTGCGGCTTTGATGCTGCTGGTCTTTAGATCAGTTCTGTCACGGGGCCAAAGGTCCCTGCAGCCAACTCGTCCACCCTCCAAGGTGCAGAGTCTGACTTCTCACACAGAGGGTGGGAAAAGAGAGGAAAACCCAGTTGTCTGGCTTTTAGACCTGTCTAAGCAATTACCCTGTGGCTGATGAGATCCAGGTCATAGCATGATTCCTGGTAGAGCATGCATACCTTGTAGCATCACTGAAACATAGCTCAAAGCAAATGCCCACTGGTGGTGGGCAGAGACACCAGAATTATAATTGGGACATTGCTTCTATTGCACACAGAAAGGGTGTGGATTTAGGCAGACTCACATCTGGGCCTTGTCCTGCCTTGGTCCTACCTCCAGGGCATCAAACAAGTCATTTAACTTCATTGGACCATGTTTCTTTACTTGCAAGATGGAGATTCCAACGGTTTCTTTCTCCTAAGTTTTTTTTTTTTAATGAAGATTAATATGTAAATGATAGGCCAATTTTTTCCTCTGCCATAATTTTAATTGTTCTATATGAGATAAAAACAAGCATAAAATGTATTATAAGATATATATAAAATAAATACACTAAACCTTTAAAATGTTCATAAAACATGCCAAGTAAGATTACATAAATAGTAATTATTTTTGCTGATCTTTTTAATACTTAGAAAGGCTTTAGGAGAAGATTTTGACAATCTTGTTCTCTTTAAAAAGATATCTAGAGAAGTTTAAATTGATGTGTTCTTTCTCTTAACATGCCCATAGCAAGCAAAGAAGTTCAACTACATTTCATTCACCTCAGGATTTAATGCCAGCCATGATCATTCTAAAAATCGATACTGTGACATCTAAATGTTTTTGGCCTCATTAAAGATTTCAGAAAGATTGAGCTTATATGATACAGATTTCTATTTAGGTGTCTTACTCCTTAGTAAGTGCTTGGAATGTAGAGAGCACTCAACAAATGTTATTTATTGTTATTTTCTCTCATCAGTGAATATTTTTATATGACATTTAATAAGTATAATGCACTATCCTATATGCTTTATCATTACTACTTATCAAATTCTCAATAAAGGTATGAAGTAGTTACCATTATAGAAGCTATTGTATTTGTTTTTCTAAAATATCAACATGCTACTCAGAAATATCTGCTATCATGTTCTAGCTGTAGGGAGGTGATCCAGGATAAGGAAGATCTGGGAGAGAAATTTGGGCAAAGGACTAAATTTTCATTTTCAGGACATGGGAACTTCAATTCATCTAAAAGGTAGAGATCCTGTCTGTGACCTCAGAAGTAAGCAGAGTGGGGGAGCAGAGCTGAATACATCTTCGTTTTCTTCCCATTCTTGAAATCCTTCAACAGACTTTTCTCGATGGGTCCTCCCTTGGCTGACCCTTCCCCCACATACCCACTCAGGACCTTTCAGTGTTGTCCCTACAGGTCACAACAATCCTGCTAGGTGGCCCATGTGTTGTCATATCTTTCTACATGTTTTAATATCCCTGCACCTTGTGTTTGCTCAGTGGTGTGATTGTAGTGGGAGTCGAGATTCTTTCAAAGTAGGATCACAGTCTTCTGATTCTCCATGAGTCTTCAGAACGTCCTGGTCAGAGGCATTCAGCATATGAGGCTGACTTGCCAAACAGATGGCTGAATGACATAAAGGACAGACCTTCCCACTACTGCTGTTCCCAGACCCTGGGTCTGGGCAACTCAACACGGAGCTTTCTTTCTCTTGGTCCTACTATGCATGGACAGTAGAGCTAGAAAGAACTAAAAGAAAGCTTTTTTTTTTTTTTTTAGCAGCATGGCGCCTTGGGCAAGTCATTTACACTTTCTGTGCTTTCTGACATAAAATGAGAATATTCACCTTGACCTTCTAGGGTTATTGTGGGGTTAAAATGAGATAACTCATTTAAAATGATTAGTAAATAAAAGGTATTCAATAATGAGGGTTATTGTTATTAATGTACTAATGAGAGGTAGGATTTCAGGCTATTATTTCCAAAAAGATATGTGTTTGGTTATTAAAAAAGAAAAGCTTAAGTTGCTTTCAATCATTAAAATTAGAAAAGGATCTGAATTCATCTGCTTTAATTAAAAAAACAAGCAAACAAGATGAAAAACTCTAGATGACAAATGACCAAGTTTCTACAACAAAAAATTACAAGGAAAAAAATATGCAGAAAACTAAAATAGAAGAAACCTAAGAAGCAATGGCAATGTATGGGCCATATTTGGATCCTGATTCAAACAAACTATTGGAAATATAGAATTGGGGAAATTATCTGAATATTTGATATATAAAAGGTGAAATTAAATGTCATTTATGTCAAAGGGTTTTAAAATCATGCTGGGAGGCCATTAAGGAGGTATAGGCTTTATGCACTTCCTCATTGGGTGGAACTGTGAACTCTGAATTGGACCAAACTGCAAATATTCCAAGGACTTAGCCCGAACACCTGCAACTGGCTACAGAAAAGAGACTTTGTTTAGTGATGGCCTTAGTCACCAATTAGTTTTCTGCCATCAACACCAATCAAAGCTCTCTGTAAAGAACATATACAAGCATTCCCTTTTGTCTTTAAAAACCCTTGACTTTTATTCCTTGGGAAGGGCACTATTTGGGTTGCTGCCCAAATCTGTGTTCCCCTAATTGCTATTCTGAGGCCCTACACAAATGCTTTTGTTCTTATTTTAGCTCTGCCTCTTTTCTCTCTGGATAGGCAATAGTAAGGAATCATTGCCTTTCAATGTGATAATGGTGCTGTGGTTATATTTAAGAAAAAGTCATATTTTAGAGGTACCTACTGAAATATTTACAGGGAAATTATATGATGTCTGGAATTTGCTTCAAAATATTGTAGGGCAGAGGGAATGCATGGGAAGTATAAATAAAACATGTTAAGCAGGTAATTACTGAAGGTGGCTTATGGGTATATGGAAGTCCATCGTGCTTCCTACTTTTATCTATGTTGGAAATTTTTTGTAACAAAAATTTTTTTAAAATACAGTTTCTTTTTATTGCCATTACAAGACTCAGCCTGGAAGTCACTAATATGAAAAAATCTGCCATATCCTCTCCGGTAATTATGGACAAATACAATGCTTATAACTCATAATCCAGCTGAATATTGGGAATAATTTGACATTCACTTTTAATATTAACCAAAAGAAACAGAAGTCTGCTATATTTGCCACTAAATTAGCACTTCAGACTTACATTGTTAACACCTCAAAACTACGGGGGAGATTTTAAGCTCAGCTAATGAGATAACTTTCATTTTCATTCATTTTGGCAAGGGTTAACCTTCGCCAGACATTTCCTTGTTAATGTTTAAGTTTTATTGATGAGTCTTATTATTAACTGGAATTTTGACTTTTGCCATGATGTGTGTTTTTTCCCTTAATATCTACTAAGGTCCCAAGTGGAGCCAAAACAATGTTCCTTTTTTAACAAGATCCTATTATCTCCTATTTTAAAAGTCTGCCTGTAGGCTCATGGAGGTAGGGGAGGCCATCCCCGCACTGAGTCTTCTACAAGACTACAGGCTGTTTCAGCTGCTGTGGGATTTCCTTTCTGCCACCAGCCATTACTCTCTCTCTGAAGATGTGTTTTTGAAACCAACTTCAGTAATATTATGAAACCAAGCTCAACTCCCTTACTTAACTAGTCCCTTTTCTCTAGAGGTCAAAAAAACTTGGGGTAAGGGTAGGTGAAGAAATAGAAATAAGCTTTAACAAGATAGAGGTTGATCAAGAAAAAGGAATTCCTCAAACTTAAAGAGCTGCTTGGGCATAGAATAGGAGAAGGAAGATAGGTGTTGAATAGCCTCCCTTGAAAAATATGAGAAGGAAGGAGATTTCTGGCTGGAGGCTTTTGGGAAGTCCTGCCAGCAAAGGAAGGGGGTCTTGACCCCTTGTAGAGACTTCTCTCCTTTTCAAATCCTGATTCTTAATACCAAGGTCTCAGATGCACTTCCTACTCTCTATACAACTGGTATTATATCCCAATATGGATTGCAAGAAATGTTGATTTCACTCCTGGAGACAGGACAGAAACACCTTCCCCAAGCAGATGTCACCAATACCCATGATCCCAGATCAATCTCCAGCATGTTTAGAATGAAATCAATATCTTCTTCTAGGAAAAAGTTGAAGCCCCTTGACAGGGTGAGCACTTACATTCCAGCTTATCCTGCGGTCTCCCAGTCTCCAGTAGGGACAGGTAACACACGACATCCTTCAGGTATACTATTGGGGATTCTGAGCCTGGAGATGGAGCAACAGGGTTTCCTAGGAGGGTTGCAGCCACTTGGTCTTTAGCTGGCACTTGCTTCTCAGTGATCTTTGATTCTGTGATAGGCAAAAGGAAACCATCCAAAGGCACTCAATGTTTAGCAAATATCAAACCCCTTTGCTGCTCCATCATTTTTTTTTTGATAGAGGAAAGAATTTTATACAAGTGTCCTCAAAAGTGTTGGTTACTTAAACATGATCAAATCAGTGGCCCTAGAAATCTAGTTTGTAGAGTTCATACTCTGAATGGACCCCATCCTGACCCTTTTAGAATCTATATCCTTGTAAGAAATTTACCTATATCCAATGAATTTTCAGAAAAGATTAATAATAATTTTTAATAATATCAATAGCCAACACGTAAGTGCCATTTAGCCTAATTGTTGGGGAACACACTCAGTTTGTAGCGTTTTGGCTAGGATTCCAAAATCCAGACTATTGGTAATTCACCAATATACTCTCTCGCAATTTTCTTCTCAAATACATTTAAAGATAAATAAAAAGATGAATATTCAAAAGAGAAAACTGGAATCAACAATCAATGAGTTTACAGAAATTAGGAAGAATTTTGACTAGCTGCAAGCTTAATCATTTGGATTAAGAAAATACAGAAGGTGGTTGATCATACCACAGGAACAGAGGAAGTTTTCCCTCTGGAGATTTCTTTCTCTTAGGGAGGAAAATACTGTCTCTCTTCTACTCTTTGTCCTCTATTTCAGAAACATGAGGTTATTCCTAATTAGAAAACTGGGCACCTATATTTTACTGTGGAATTATAATTTCTTGAGGCACTTTAAGGGTTATCTCTCTTCTCACAGTCTCTCTAGACCCATGCCCAACAGAAATGATCTCTTAGTATCCAGTAAGAGAGTGCAACTCACAGAAAACACAGGGAAAAGTAAGAGGAAGACTGGCAGTGGCAAATCCACTTAGGTATTGAACCACTAAGTAATGGAGTACTGAAGGCATAAGCAGAGGAAGAGACAACCCCAACAGTAATGCCTGCTAGGGAAGGCCATGCTACCAGTACACTTTTTTGTTCAGAGAGCCAAAGTGCCAGGCAAAGGCAAGCAGTTCACATCAGGCTAGTAGAGCTGTGCTACATGAAAGCCTACTGGGTCCTAGGAGTTGGGTTGTGATCTGAGAAAGGAGTTAACCATGATCCAGATGGACAGTGAGTGAGACCACTGTCTCACTGACACACTCTGTATGTTGCAAGGGGCCCTGTGAAGAGATGACAGAGCTTATGAAACAGAGCTGCAAAGAAGGAAAGGAAGCTCCATCCTGAAGTCTCCAAAAACCAGATCTTTGGAAACAATTTCCTACTGGACCAGACCCTCAGGAGGTTTCAGGAAGCTATAACCTCTATTAAGTAAGGGCAGAAAGCCCTACTTGAGCAGGGGTGAGCAAGTTGAGATAAAAATACAATAGGATGAGATAAAAATAAGGATAATGATATAGGGAAATTGCAACAAAATTACATATGGAACAGAAGTAGTAAAATCATTACTGGAGGGAAAGTTAGGAGAAAAACATAATAGTATATAAGACAAATGTGAGAAATCCTTTGTTGGATAGCCCATTATACTTCAAGTTACTGTTATACCCTCAGATTATCCATCCATGGAAACTTTATTACAATGAATTCTATTTTGACCAAATTGGAATAATGTCCCATATTTATCCTTCTATTGAAACAACTAAAAAACTGGACAAAAGATATGAGAATAATGGTTCATAGGTCCCTGAATGTGGTAGCACCAACGGTGATCCCAAGAGATAAAAAATGAGATGATCCCTGAAATTGCCACATCATACCGTCCAGAAATAGTTTCTAGGCTATAGCACAGGGAAGTGGAACCTAGGAAGATCCTAGAAGTCTCTCTGAGTTGAGGAAGCAGAGTTTAGGGTCTGGGGGAGTCCAAGGTGGCTAGAGTTCACAGAGCACAGCACCAAACAAGAGGAAGCTGCTCAGAGAGAATTTCAGAGATTAGAGGGTCCCCTGTATCAGTGGAGAGTTTCCCTCCATTATTCAGCTGAGTAACAATTAGCACAGATGTGTGAGATCACCTGAGGCTGGGGAAAGAATCAGTATTGGAGGGAACAATCCATGGAATGCAGGAATAGTGTCTATTCTCACCAACCAAGGTAGAAAACTCTCATAACTCATGAGGCATTAGATAGAGTACTTAGAAGAGTTTTGCTTTGGTAGTTGAGTGAAATTAATAAATGCTTATCTGGTCCTGCCTAACAAAGCTTTAAAAGCTTGATCCAAAAAAGGTCAAACTATTTCCAAGTAACCTAACTGTGCCCCAAAGCAAAGGTCAAGAATTTTTATAAGAATACAAGAATATCCAATACCCAATGATGTAAAATTTTCAAAGTCTGGCATTTAATAAAAAACTGAAAAGTAAGCAAAGAAGCAAGAAAATATGAATAATAATGAGAAAAAGCAATTGACATGGAGCCAGAAATGACACAGATGATATAATAGGTAAAAACTTTAAGATAATGATTACAAGTGTATTCCATATGTCCAAGGAGCTAGAAGAAAAGATTGCACATGTTAAGTGGAGGCCTAAAAGATATTTAAGAAATGCCCACATCAGTTGTCTAACTTTGACGTGTGTGAAATGAAAAAATGCATTGAATAGGATTAGCAGTGGATTAAACATTGCAGAAGAAAAGATTAGTGAATTTGAATGACAGCAATAGAAACTATCCAAAAAGTCTTAAAAAAAAAGAATATCGTATCAGTGAGCTGTGGGACAACTTCAAATAGACATGAAACTGAAATACCTGATGAAGAGAGAAAGAAGTAGAAAAAAATGGAAGAAATAATGGCTGAAATTTTTCCAAATTTGTTAATATTTGATAAAAGCTATAGAACCTCAGGTCCAAGATGCTCAATGAACCTCAAACATAAGAAACATGAATAAAACTACACCAAGGAACATTAAAGACAAACTGATTAAAAGCAATGATAAAGAAATAATAAAAGAAGCCAGAGGAAAAAAGATACCTTATATAGAGAGAAACAAAGATGATAATGACTCTAGTTTTTTCACTGGAAAGAAAACAAGCTGAAAGCTAGTGGAACAACATCTTTAAAGTACTAATGGAAAAAAATCTGTCAATCTAGAATTCTTTTTAAAAAAATTTATTTACTTATTTGAGAGAAAGAGAGAGAGAGAATATGAGCAGGGAGGCAGGGGCAGAGGGAGAAGCAGACTCCCCACTGAGCGGGGAGCCTGATGTGGGGCTCAATTCCAGGACCCCAGGATCATGACCTGAGTTGAAGGCATATGCTTAACCAACTGGGCCACCCAGATGCCCCCATCAATCTAGAGTTCTTTACTTGGTGAAATATCTTTAGGGAAAAAAAAGGCAAAATAAAGAATTTTTCAGATGTACAAAACTATATAAAACTGCAATACAAGAAATGATAAAGAATATTTTTAATAGAATTATACCATATGGAAACCTAGATTTACACACAAGAATAAAGAGCACTAAAACTGGTAACCACATGGGTAAATATAAAAAAATATTTTTATTAGTTAAATCTCTCTAAAAGATAATTAACTATTGAAGCAAACGTAATAACAATGTGTTGTGTGGTTTATAATTTAACATAAATAGAAGTAAAATATATGATAAAAATAGCACAAAGGCCTAGATGGAAGAAATAGGGGTATATTGCGGTAAATTTCTTATAGCATATGCAAAGGGAAATATTACTTGAACATAGACTGTGATAGTTAAAAGTCACTAAAATTATATAATAATGAGTTATAGTCAATAAGATAAAAAAGGAGATAAGATGAAATCATAAATAATTCAACTAATTAAAAGAAGACAGAAAAAGAGAAAAAGGGAAAGAAAGAACAGATGAGGAATAAAAAACTAATAGCAAAATGATACTTTTAAACCTAACCATATCAATTATCACAGGAAATGTAAATGTTCAAAATCCTAACTACAAGGCAGAGATTGTCAGGTTAGATTAAAAAGAGAAGACCCAACTACATGCTTCCTATAAGAAAGTCAGTTTCAATATAAAGACACAAACATATTAAAAGAATCAAGAAAGATACCATTATAACTCCAGTTAATTAAAATGGTATCATTTATTATGAACATAATCATAATAAAGTAGATTTCAAAGCAAAGAGTATTACCAGAAACAAAGAGGGTCATTCATAACAAAGAGATCAAATCATCACAAGAACATAATAATCCTAAACATTCTACTCCTAGATCTTTACCTAAAAGGAATGAAAGCTGTCCATGCAAAGATTTACACAAAAATATTCACATTTTATATGTAATAGCCCCAACCTGGAAACAACCCAAATGTCCATCACTAAGTGAATGGATAAATAAACTGTGGAATATCTACCTATATATCAGAATACTAATCAGCATTAAAAATATGTTAATTATTGATACACCCAACCACATGGATAAATTTTAAAATTATGCTGAATGAAAGAAGCTACACTAGAAAGTATACATGCTGTATGATTCTATGTATAAAAATACAGAAAATGCCATCTAATCTATGGTGACAGCAAGCAGATGAGTAATAGTACAGAGGAGTGGGGGTTAGGGAGGGTGGGAGAAGGATAATAAGGTAACTTTAGGGATGATAGATATCTTCATGATATTGATGAGGTACTGGTTTATAGGCGTACACATATGCAGAAACTTATTAATTATATACTTTAAACATGTGAAACTCATTTAATACCAATTATACCTCACCAAAGCTGTTTTAAAACACTATTACAGCCTTTTCCAAAGACCCTTAGATTACCAGAATTATGACTGGGTCTTGAACCACTGTTCTAGTCTACACTGCGGTGTACTGTTCATTCCAGTCAGGGAAATGCTGGTGTGCTGAAGGAGAAGGCGCACATAGTCCTACTAGTGTTTTCCCTCCTCAAGCTACCTTATATGAAACACCTTCAACCTGAGCCATCTAAATCCCCTCAGGGATCATAAGTAATAAAAGACTAACACCCTCTTCCAGATTACAGAAGTTCTGTGTAGGTGCCATGTTCATAAACTCTTTTCCTTGAGGGTTCTTAGGCAGACCTGACTTATTCCACTTTCTCTCTTAGTCTCTGTATTATTCGTTGCCTTCCAGCTAAGGAATGTTGCATAGTGGAAAGAATACCAAGCTAGAGGCAGAGGCCTGAGTTTCTAGCTCTGTGTTTGTGCTAAATGATGTGTGATTTTGCACAAGTGGGCTTATTCCTACATCTAACCTCAAGATTTTTCATCTGTTGAAAAAGGGGCTTGTATAAAAATTGATGTTTACCAAAAACCTTGAATGACATGAAAAATGTTTGTGAGTATAATGTTAAGTGAAAACCAAAGCTGGTTCCAAAATTATATGTGTAGACTGATTCCAATTCGGTAAAAAATTTATAGAAAAAACCTGCAAGGACGTGTGTGTGTGTGTGTGTGTGTGTGTGTGTGTGTGCATGTATGTAACTGCCTTGGTAACTTATGGGTAGTTTTGATGTTTCCTTCTTTTTTGGTACCCTTCACAATTTTTACAATGTAAATGTGTTACTTATTATAATTGGGAAAAACTGAGAAAAAAATGGAAGGACTTTCTTAGAGTCCAATATTCCAAGGTGCTGAAACATCTCAAGAGCCTGAGAAACTAAATAAAAACCATGAGGCTGACGTTCACATTCTTTATCCCATTTAGTCTTGGGCACTCGGGGGAGGTGTATTCAGGCTTTCCCAGCTGACATCCTGACAATGACATGTTGCTCAAGGCTCTGAGTCAATGTCTGGACTCAGTGAAAGCCCCTCTGTTGTGCTTATGAACCCAATCATTCACCTGGTTTTGGAAATGAATAACTTGAAGTGGGCTGTTCTAGATTCCAGCCTGGAGATTGCTCTGATAGGCCTAAATAGGCATTATCAAATGAGAATCTAGTTTCCTCTGGCTTCTGCTTGGGTGACAAGAAAAGGCTGGGATTTTTAACAGATGGCCTGATCTAAGGTGATACCAGAACTTGGCTCTTCCTTACTGGCAGAGGTCCCTCTCTGTGGTATCCGTCTGTCCCTATCTTCCTGTTTCTGGTGAACAGGGGCATCTAATTAAGACATCCATGGAAGGTGGCCTAACAGGAAAAGGATTTTCTGCTTTAAATCTCAAGTCACAAAAGAAGAAAAAAATGCTGTATAACTCCCTGGGCCAGCAGTCAGATCACTACCCTTTCATTATGTGACCGCAGGAGATTGATACTCTCCCTAGACAAGGAAAATGGTACATCACAAATCACTCCTCCAGGAGGAAGTCTTTGGAAGTTGTTCTCAGACTCAGAACAATACAAATATTGCAAATAAACATGGTGGTCAAATAAGCCAGCGAAGTTCCATTATCATCATTGATTATATTTCTCAAATATCATATAATGACAGCATCCCCTTGGTTCCTTGGAAAATTCAGCCACTAAAACAAATAATGCTCAATTTAGAACCTCAAGGAATAAAGTATAATTTCTCTCAGGTTCCTCTTAAAGTTCCAGATACCTGGACCAAGAAAGTCTCTGGGTAAAGAATTTGGGTCCAAATGCTCTTCAAGACTGATTTTCTTGCTCAGAGTTTAGAATCTCAAGGATCCCAGTTCCACCCTTCTCTTCCTATCATGGGAGTAATTTATGTCGTAACATGCTTCTTCTATCCCATATAAGATTTAAGACTTATTTATAACTTAAATCCATTTAACCAAGAGGCCACAGACGTAGCATGGCTGGGTAGGATGCTGGGGAGGGCAGGTGGGTGAGCCATACCTTGTAGTCTTGCCCTGATGCTGCCCCTGAAGGCCTCAGAAAGGTACCAACGCTCATAATCCTTGCTTTGCAGGGCTCTATAAGAAGGCTGAAATTTGCTGAGCTTATGGTCCGGAGGCAACTCTCCTTTCCCAACCATGTTCTGCTTTTCATCCACAGATTTCATCTCACTAGTCCTTCAGTTACACACCAAAAACTCTATAATCCTTTCAATTGCCCTTTTTGCCAGGACTAGAAAAAAAGATTAGAACTACATCTAGTATCCGCTTGAAGAATTTCTCCCATCCTACCAGGTCCCTGGCAAATAGACCAAAATAATGTTAGTCAGTGGCCTTGCTCTTCCTCCTGACTTACTAAACCAGTGCATGTAAATACCTCCAATTCTCCCATCGAGGCCTTTGTGCTATTGCTATACATTTCACTCCTACATATTTTATAAACTGCGCAACACAATGTCATTTTTTTTTGCTTTAGCAGTTAATTACCTTTCAAAGAGATTTAACTAATAAGAAAAATATTCTTTGTATTTCCCCATGTGGTTACCAGTTTCAGTGCTCTTCATTCTCATGTGTAAACCTAGGTTTACATGTGGTTTAATTCAACTAAAAAGATTTCCTTTACCTTTCTTGTAGTACAGCTCATACAATTTTATCCACCTGAGCATAGCCTTACTTTCTTGCCCTACCCACCTCCAACCATCCACAGGCAGAGTCATCTGCTCAGTGCTAGCGCCCTCTTTATACACCTCTCAGACACACACGCACACATTCACTCAAACCCCCATCAAACACTTTTCTCCCCTTCTCCCCTTTCTGGCCCAGCAGACCCATTAGAAGTAAACCATTAGAAGACACATTAGAAGTAAATAGTTAACAAGCTGCCCTGTTTCAGGGCAAGTGAATAAAGAACCTGCATCAAGCCTCAGAATCCCAGCACATTAGAGTGGTGGAGGCCCCAAAGATGGAGGCGGACAAGAGCTGCTTAAAGGATATACAAAGACATGGAGACAAATTGCTGGTTAGAATTCCCCCTCCTCCCAAGGATGAGGTATTCCCCACTGCACCCTACCATGCTAATCTTCGATTACAAAGACTTACCTGTATCGGGGGCACAGGCCTCATCTGCTTTGGCAGCATTATCCACATTCTGTATGTTGGTATCTGGGGAATAAAAAGAAGATTTGAGGACCAGCCTATGCTCTCTAGCTTCCTAAAAAGACAGGGAGGCGACCGTCCTATGGGGTCTGGATCACTTGAGTTGTGTGTCTCTGAGCGTCATCTGGGTTCATGTAGACTTGTTGGGGTTGTTTGTGTCTCCCCCATTATAGCCCAAGCTTCAGGAAGACAGTGACCACACCTTCCCCTTCTCCTGACACTCTTAGGCTCACTCCAGCCTGGGTGCATGAACTGAATGTGCTCCATCCAAAGGCTTCTTGCAATCTCTGCAGAAGGTTCTCTTCCCCTTGCCATATGTTAGTTTGTGCTCCTTTTCTCCCCATCCTCTTTTGGGGATTTTTGCCTCTTTGTTCTTCTGAGAGAGCCATCAGACAGCGCTTCTTGTGAAGCCTCTGGGGAAAGGAGTCCTGTTCCCCTGGTCCTCATTCCCACCCCATAGGGAAGTTTCTATGCACAGGGAACCCCCCAGAAATGCAGCCTGTGCCTGTTGCAAATGCATTAGAGCTGCAAAATCTACCTTTCATCTTGGGGAACACTGGTCTACATACCTGGGCCACTGGCCTCATTGCTGGCCCCCTCCATTGGGTGGTCGGGGGTCTCCTGTCTGGGCTTCTGGCTGAAGGCCAGGAAGAGGTGCATGCTCAGTGGCTGAGGAAGGTCCACCTCCAGGTAAGCCCTCATGAACAGCTTAAAGACATCATAGCTAATTGGCTAAGGAGAAACAAAGAGGGAAAAGTCAGTGTAACGAAGCAAAGAGAGAAAAAGGAGAGATGAGAAACTGATGGTGGTGGTGGGGGGCAGGCAGGTGAAGAGAAATGAAAGGAAAACGGAAGTGGGGGGATTGGTGGGTGCAGGAATGAAAAGGCCAGGCAGGAGGTGATGGAGACTGGCAGGCACAGGGAGCAGAGGACTGGATGCAAGAAAAAGAAGACCCTGGTGGTTGCGTGTTGGGGCTTGCAGGAGGATTCTGTAACAAGACGAATCCAAAACCAGGTAGAAAGGGGGTAATGGGAAGCGGGCACTGCCAGTTGAGACCACAGAGGAGGGCTCTGCCTGAATCGAGGCCCACAAGCCAGACTGCCCTCTCATGAGGATCTGATCAGTGCCCTGGAATCCTAGTTAAGACGAAGAAGGATATAGTAGAAAACAGGAAGGAAAGATGGTTCTGTGATGTCTCCATGTTCTGCTTGAGGGATGTGATTCCTGAGTGTTCAGGTCTCAGAAAATATGAAAAGACAAGCTCCATCCTTCATTACTTTCATAACTGATCTTCCCTGGATGAACCTCAAGAGAACAGGAGAGGGTATGTGTCTGGCTCAGCTGCTCTCAAAACATGTCCTTGTGAAGGTTTTAGGCACTGGGAGAAGAACAGGAAGCCAGGGACAGAAGGTAGAATCAAGAAATGTGCCAAAAAAACTAGAACCTCTCCCTGTTGTATCTCTCCCACTACTGCCTGGCTTCTGGTCCCAGGCTGGGAGCAACCGTGCCAGAAAGGGCTGCTGTACTCAGCAAACACTCAACAAAGACAGTTTGCAGTGAGTCATCACTGGCTCGTGCTCGGATGGCATCAGATTCTTCATCAAATCGGCAGATGCTCCTGGAAATCACTGAGGAAGCTCTACTCTAAGATCTGCTGTGCAGGCTTTTGTAAATAATAACAGCCATGAGAATAAAATCCCTTTTTGGGAGCCTACTTGGCTCTTTCCAAAATGTTGATAGCATTTAACCCCTTGTCTCATCTAGAAGATCTGAGCCTTCCCAGAACTGAGAGGAGGCTTCAATATATACAGTCAGGTCTAGTGCACAAAGTTTTGGCCCTAAAAACAAGTAATGCCCTCCTGACCCCATTGGGAAGGAGCTCACAGGGCCATTTCTAATTACCCCAAGCTGTCCTTTGTAGAGTGGAGGAAGCCTGATTTGGTTGGACAGAGGACATTGCAGGCTCTTAGCAGATTAAGGGATCTCTAAGCAAATGGTGGATTCCTATTTCTTGTGACAATTACCAATCTGTCTCTATCCCTCTGTCCTTCCTGCCCCTGAGTCTGTGTCTCTCTTTCTGACCCTGTCTCCATAGCCTCATCCAAGTGCTCTTCCTCACATATCCTCCTCTTTTTTACTAGTCTGCAAAAGGAAAATCTTTTCCTCCCACTTTACAAGTGGAACCCACCCACTATGCCCCTTGATCTACCCTCCCTCCATCTGAAGGCATCTCCCAGCTTCTGCTTCTCTACCTGCAAGCATGTTCAAGGTCATTGTTCCAAAGAAATGGAAGGATACTCGAGTTACTAGCCGTGTCCTTTTTCTCTTCCCCTTCTATGTTCCCTGGCCAGACCACACTAGCCTTATTACCTCCTTAGTCCCATTTGGTTTAGGTTCTGAAACCATCACCTCTAAACCCATTCTCTTGAAGGCCATCAATTCAATTGTTTCTCTTCTGACTTGCTCATATTTGGCTTCTCTGTAGCATTCCATCCTTTCTTCTTGAAACTTTGTTTTCCATGGTGTTGTTTGTGCTATTTTGGTTCTCTTCATTCTCTACTTTGATTTGCTTTGATTTGAGTATTTGCTGATGGCACTGTCATTATTTTAAAAGTCTATTTTTTGCATTGTCTTTTCCTTCACCTTATTTATTTATTTATTTAGAAAGACTATCTATTCGTGAAAAGCGCGCACACACACACACACACACACACACACAGAGGCAGAGACATAGGCAGAGAGAGAAGCAGACTCCATGCAGGGAGCCTGATGTGGGACTCAATTCCGGGGCTCCAGGATCACGCCCTGAGTCAAAGTCAGACACTCAGCCGCTGAGCCACCCAGGCATTCCTCCTTCATGCTATTTAAACTGACAAGTACTGTTTACAATGTACAGCTGACCCTTGAACAATATGGGTTTGAGCTGTGCCAGCCATTTACATGTGGAATGTTTTTAAATAAATATAGTACAGTATTGTAAATGTATTTTCTCTTCCTTATGATTTCCTTGATGACATTTTCCTTTCTCTAGCTTCCTTTATTGTAGAATATAATACAGCATATCCATTACATACAGCATACTAAATCCATGTTAATCAACTATTTATGTTAAAAGTAAGGCTTCCAGTCAACAGTAGGTTATTAGTAATTAAGCTTTTAGGGAGTCAAAAGTTATATGTGGATTTCTGACTGTGTTGGGGGTTGGCAATCTTCACCCCCACATTATTCAAGGGTCAACTGTAGCTTTGAGCACCAAAGTGGCCTGTTAATCTTTTTATCAAATTGGGAACTATCAGCATTAAAATATTTCTGGAAGGGACACCTGGGTGGCTCAGTGGTTGAGCATCTGCCTTCGGCTCACTCAGGTCATGATCCCGGGGTCCTGGGATCGAGTCCTGCATCGAGCTCCCTGCAGGCAGCCTGCCTCTCCCTCTGCCTATGTTTCTGTCTCTCTCTGTGTCTCTCATGAATAAGTAAATAAAATATTTTTAAAATGTCTGGAAAACAGACTAAATTATTTTTAAAAAGAGAAAGTTTAAACAAAGCCTAATATAACACTTAAAAAAACAAAACAAAACAAAACCAAAGCTGGAAGATCATCAAACAAGAGCAGTGTGGCATTCAGGAGACCTTGTGACTAGTCTCAGCTTGACCACATTTCCTCATCTTTGTGAGCCTCAGTGTCTTCTTCAGCAGATGGTGAGTGCTGAATTAGAAGATCTCAAGTTCTAATCTTCTATTAGCTCCCTCCTTAAACCAGCTTCTCATCCTGACCCTGCAGTTTCTGTTAAAGCTGACAAGATCAGGCTCAGTCTTGAACTCCCAGTCAAGTGAGACTAGGTCTTGTCTCTTCCTTCTTGTTACTGTTGTTTTGCCACATCTGTCACATCCAAGTCCTTTCTGTGTGTCCACTGCTCATCTACCTCCACTCTGACGAGAAGGCTATTGAAGGCCCATTGTTCCTGGTTTCAGACTTCTGTGCCTCCTACCTGGACCACTGCAATACTTCTCGATTTGCCTCTATCCCCATCTGTCAGTCCTCCCATCTTATCCATCCTTGCCAGATTGGTTTTCCCAAAGTGCAATTCTGAACAGATTGCTTCCCTACTCAAAAACTTTCCATGGTTCCTAATTGCCCATGGAAGAGGTGAGATCAGTTTTAAAATCATATGTCCCTCCGTAACATTCTTGAGCATGCATTCCCATTTATCCTTATTTATAAATTACAGACATGCACTATTGTGCTCCTCTATTATGCACTATAAAACATACTTAAGAATAAATTAAAGAATAGAAGTTATATGAGATAAAAATCAATGTATATAGAAGGTCTAATTTGTAGTGTTCCCACACTCCAGTGGATCATCCTGTGTATTCCTTGGGTCCTCTGGGATTCACAGCTCTCCTAAAATCCCATGCCAACCTAGATTTATAGCTACTTCAGGTTCTGAGATCATTCTGGTCTTTTCTCCTATTATTCCCTATGTGTATCTCTACTCTCTGTCCACATTGGTTTCCATGTTCTTTCCTGGTCAAGCCCCCATACATATCACATAAACTGCTTCCTTCTCTATCTCTTAAAATTCTAGCTATCCTTTAAGGCCCAGCCCAGATGTCACCTCCTCCAGGAAGCCTGGTATGATCTCCTGTACCTGAATTTCTGTACTTTTCCACTTCAACTTGTGTCCTACGACACTTTTATTGTCTGCTCTCTATTAATATAGTTGTTTATGACAAATATATCCTTAGTTCTTCAACTAGATCTAGAGTTCTGGGAAGGTAGTGAAATATCTTATTTTACCTAAGTATCCCCCCACATCACCTATCACAGTGTTTCCTGATAGGTATCTTAATGGATGCTGGGTTTCTTCTTATACACTTGGCTGTCATCAATTATTGTGGGGTCTATTCAGTCAATATATATGTACTGAGCCTCCTAGGTACAACAAACATCTTGGGGAACACACCAGTGACATACACATAGGTCTATACCTTCAAGAGACTTGGGTAGTGAAATAATTCCAATACAGGATCAATAGTGGTGAGTATAGGAAAAGTACTGACAAACTATTATGAGAACTTAGAAAACGATGATTGAACACACATCCAACCATTCATGACCCTATTCTGGGAAACAGGATCACATAGAGTAAGCCCAGAATCAAAGGTCATTCACACCAGAAGACCCCAGATCTCCTCAGGTCACTGAGGCTCTGAAAGTTCAGTGACATGCCCCAGCAGCAGAGTAAAACCAGAAGCCCGATCTTCTGACTCCCACTCCAGTGCTCCTGCTACTATATCTGTTCCAGGTCCCAGCGCTAACATATACTTGATCTTAGCCAAAAGGCCGAGAAGTGATCGTCCCAGCGCTAACATATGGCTCCCTGTCACCCTCTCCAAGAACTTCAAGTATAGTATGCAAAAACATGTGACTAGCTGCCATTCTAAAATTTATATGTGGGTTATGAGAGACTAAGTTCTTTGTCAGCATAAGCCAGGCTCAGAGTAGCTGCTAGTGAAAGTGTGATGAGTAGAAGGTGGTTTACTAGGCCCAAACCAGATCAACAAACACTATGAGGCATGTTGGCAACTCTCTGAGCTCTGGAATAACATATGAGGCATGGTCATGGACAGGCCTGTTCTTTCCCAAAAACTGCAACTTTCATCTAAGAACTAACTGGGCAATTTCTGTTTCTGCAATCTGCTTAAAGTATTGATTCTTGCACAGGTCAAGAAGGGAGGTGAACTAGATGGACAGCTTACTGTGCATTAGGCAGCTTACATACATGGTTTCATTTAAGTGTTTAAACAATAGTGTGAGGTGGGATGATTACTGCCATTTTGTGGATGAAAAAAATCCTGAAAACATAAATAACTTGCTCAAAGTCATAAAGCAGGTGGCAGAGCTAGGCTCTGTGCTTTGGTGTGTCTCAGTCTAAGATCGTAGGGCCACCAAGCCATTTGCCCCTTTTGTTCCACTGTGCTCTTGTCCACTTGCTGCTGTAGTCAGCTCTCCAGAAAATCCCACAGTGCTAATGGGCAAGGGCATGCTTGTCATGGCCAGATGTAAACTTTCATTCCTGGCCTCACTTTTGTAGCTACTTGCCCCTTCCCACAACTAACTCATTCCTCCTTGAGACATTTTACCAGCAGTAAGCCATCAAACTCAAGAGAAATTAAATTCTTTTTGTTTCCCCAACCCTGTGCTGGGACATTACACCTACTAGAAGCCAGCCACACTGTGAGAGAGAATAAAATCAGAGTGACAGAGCTTCCCTGGGACACGGCAGCGCCAGGCGTACAAAGAGTGGGGGCCAGCCTGATGGAGGCGGGGGTGGCAGCAGGCTCATAACAGCCAAGCTGCTCTCTGCTTTTGAGAGCTCCTGTGGCCTTCACACCCTCAGTGGCCCTGACTAAATTGTTCCCCTCCCACTCTTCAGCCTCAGGGCTGACAGGACTGATTAGTAGCCCCCACCCTTCTTTGTTCTTGTGTTTTTGGAGCTGGGGGTGGGAGGTGGGAGGGGCAGGGAGTTTTTTGCTGGCTCCACTATCTTCTCTGCATGGCTTCTCCTCAGGAATGTTCTTTGAAATGGTTCATTCTCAATCTGACTCCTGTACTGGCAATCCTCCTCCTGCTTGATTCTCCCCATGATTGGTGCATTTTATCCAAAGCCCCTGCTCAGGTACACCTCGAAGACATGTGCTTTGTTGGTTACCCTGCCATTGCCCCGCAGAGAAGGAGTTTTGAGTCAAGGTGTGTTGAAAGGATGACAATATGAATAAATAAGTGGCCAGCCTTGTCCCGAGTCTGTCCTGCTGATCAGTCATTTTTCTGCAATTAGCTCTCATGAAAGGACTCAGGAGCAGGGAAAAAGAAGTTGAGTTTAAAACACTCTGGGGAGGGATCCCTGGGTGGCGCAGCGGTTTGGCGCCTGCCTTTGGCCCAGGGTGCGATCCTGGAGACCCGGGATCGAATCCCACGTCGGGCTCCCGGTGCATGGAGCCTGGTTCTCCCTCTGCCTGTGTCTCTGCCTCTCTCTCTCTCTCTGTGTGTGACTATCATAAATAAATAAAAAAAAAAAAAACATTCTGGGGAAAGGAGCCAGAAGGGGAATAATAAAGGGTACCATTTCCTTATGGGCAGTGTCCCATAAAGTGCTAGACATTTTGCAAAAATTATCTCATTCAATCCACTCATCTGCAAACTTCAATGTCTCTGCTTATTGTTATCTTCAGGTCACGTGAGGAAAGTGAGGCTCCGAGAGGTGAAATATTATCTCAGGCCACATTGCCGGTTGGCAGCAAAGGTAGAAGTCTAACCTAAGACCATGTAACTGTAGAGCCTGACAATAGGAAGTAAGTTCTGGAGGGCCAGAACCGTGCTTCCTCATCTTTATATCTTCTACAGTGCCCAGAACAGTACCTGAAAGCTCAAGAAACATTAGATGAGTTGAGTTTGAAAGTAGGGGAGTCTTGCATTCATTTACTCATTCGACAAATATTTCTTGGGTGTCTGCTATGAACCAGATATTCCTCTGGTCATTGGGGATACCGACATGAACAAAATACTCCTGTAGGAGAGATAGACAATGTAAATAGTTACATAGCATGACAGATGGTGAGGAATACTAAAGAGGACAATAAGGCAGAAGAGAGGGATAAGAAGCATCAGGAAAGAGGGCTTAAATTTTTAACTAGAAAAGGTGACATTGATTGAGAAGGTGATTTGAACAAATACTTGAAGGAGATGATGAAAAAACCAAAGTGGATATACGTGGGAGAAACATTTCAGGAAGAGGCAAAGGCAGATGCAAAGATATTGAGGTTAGAGCAATATTGTCTTGTTTGACAGCATCAGAAGGCTAATAATAGCTGGCAAGGAATGAGGAGGGTAGCAAGAGATGAGGTTAGAGAGTAGAGAAAAGTACAGATGGTAATGACCTTGATTTTAACTCTGAGTAGGGAGTGGGGGCACCATGATGGATTACAGAGCAGAGCAGTGACATGATCTGACTTAAGTTTTAACAAATTGCCAGAATGTGTGTGAAGAATACACTTTAAAAGTCAAGAGCAAAAACACAGTTAGGGAGCACAGTTAGGTGATTATTACAAAATATGGTGGTGCCTCGGATAAGGGTGGAAGCAGTGCCAGTGGTGATATGTGACTAGATTTTGGATATATTTTGAAGGTGGAAGTGACAGGGTTTGCTGATGAACTGGACATGGGGTGTGAGAGGAAAACACAATGCTGACTCCATAGTTTTAGACTGAAAAACTTGAAGAATGGCATTGTCATTTACTGAAATGGGGAAGATTGCTGGAAAAATACTTTACAGGGGAAGATCAAGGAGCTCAGTTTAGCTTATGTTAAGTTTGAGATAGTGATTTGAGTTTTTAGCGGAAATGTCAAATTAGAGGGATAAAAGGAAAACCAGGAGAGGGCAGTGTCCTGAAATCCACATGAAGACAGACAATGGAGAAGGATCTGACCAACTGTGAGTTGAGTAAAATCTGACCAATGCTGTTGAGTAAAATGCCTACTGAGTTTAGCCACATGGAAATCCTTGGCTATCTTCACTAGTGGTTTTAGTGGAGGAGTGGGGGTTATGCTCTGATTGAAGGGCTTTCAAGAAAGAGGGAAGAAGAGAAATTAGAGGCAATGACTATAGACAAATCTTTTACACAGTTTTGCTATACAGAACAGGAAAGAAGTGAGGTGACTGGAGAAGTGTTGTCAGGAGAACAATTTTATTTTATTTATTTATTTAATTTATTTATATATTTTTAAAGATTTTTATTTATTCATTCATGATAGACATAGAGAAGGAGAGAGAGAGAGCCAGAGACACAGGCAGAGGGAGAAGCAGACTCCATACAGGGAGCCTGACACGGGACTTGATCCCGGGACTCCAGGATCACGCCCTGGGCCAAAGGCAGGTGCTGAACCGCTGAGCCACCCAGGGATCCCCAGGAGAACAATTTTAATATAGGACAAATAACAGTATGCTTATATGTTGATGAGAAAAATCTAACAAATAGTGGAAAGCTGATGTGAAGGATATATATGTATATATATATATATATATATATATATATATATATATATATAGAGAGAGAGAGAGAGAGAGAGAGAGAAAGCAATTCCTGTCAATAGACTAGAAGAGAATGGGAATGAGTGAGGGACTAAACCTACTAGGAACATGGAGAGTTCATTCCTAGTTACAGGAGAAAAGGTACAGAGGTAGGTGAGGATCTTGTGGAAGATCACTTCTGATTGTTATTTTCTCAGCGAAGTAGAAAGCATGGTTGATAACTGAGAATGAAGACAGGAAGACAGAAAGATTTGAAGAGAGGAAGGTCTGATGTAGTCTTCTAGGACAGTGAGAGGGTGATTAAACTTGGCAAATGTATAAATGGTTCACTTGAGACTTAGAGAAAATATGTTGAGAAGCAAGTTCTTTAAGATGAGCTAAACTTCTAAGGGTGGGACAAATTATGGAAAGGCTAGGACATAGAACATCCTTTTTAAAGGCTTGAAATGGAAATGTTCTTACCTCATGTGGGTCATATTGTTTGAGGCTCCCACCCTCATTAAACTCAGCCAAGACATCCTTTATCTTCTTGGAAGAATCTGGAGAGACATAATCCACATGTAAAATATTGGTGAACAGCAAATGGGAGCTGGGCCAAGTAAATTCTATCTAACCTTGGTTATGATAGAGCAACTCCTTATTCCCAGGGCTATATGGAAAAATGTCACCCTTATCTGCCCTTCTGCCCTCTTATTTCTTATTTTCAGTATAGTGTCTCCCCTGCTGTATGAACTATCTTTCTAAAACACAAATGTGATCCGATTGTGTTCCTACTCAATACACTTCAATGGCTCTAATTTTCCCAATATAAAGTTTAACTCCCTTAGCTTGCTATATAAATATTGTGATAATTTGACCTAGCTCATTCCTTATCTCTTACTTTAACTTTCCACTTACCCCGCTTTTCAGCCACATCAAATTGCATTTCCATAAATCCCTGAATACACTGTGTATTCACTCATTCATTCTTCCAATGGAGTCTCTTCTCTATGTTGTAAGCTTCACTCAATTCTTGGTATCCAGTTCAAATGTCAACTCCTTTGTAAGGTCTTCCTTTAACAATTAGAGTTCCCTCTCCTGGCTCCCACATGGCTTATACATAACTCTGTAATACCACTTGTCATATGGTGTTATAGTTATTTATTAACTTGCCTCACTTCCTCAGTTCTACCTTGAGAGCTGTAATTGGCTTGTGAGTCTTTTTTTTTTTTTGTGAGTCTTTGTATATCATATCATGGTCCAACACATAGCTAGTGTTCAGGAAACCAATGTACTAGATGACTGCATAAAATCTGAGCAGAAATTTCAAAATATTTAAAATTTTGTTGATTAAATAGGATGAATGGGCATTAAGCCCAGTGATGCTCTGTCCTTGGTGCTGAAAGAGAGATTGGGATTCATGAAACATGGTGATTTAGAAAATTCCCCTTTCCGTAGGAAATAATTTGGAAACTACCAGAGAAAATGGTGGCTTCTTCTTCTTCTTCTTTTGAGTTTTATGAGGAAATTGGTAATCTAGAAAAGGGAGTCAATAATTGTCATTATAACACTTGAGTGTATCCTGTGTAGTTACTAGAACTCTAGATATCAGAGAAAACCAGGGTCTCTGTGCTCTCTTGGTCTCACAGTACTGTGGATAATTATGAGCTTCCCAAGCTCCATTTCTGCCATTATTTGAACATCTGAGAAAAGGGTAATGTTATTAAAAATAGAAATAGTGTTCCTTGGTGTTCAGGTTCTTTGCACAGAGGGGTACACTTTCACAGGTCTATGTAAAGTAGATGTGCTCATGAGTTGAGCTATTCTCCATAGTTCTGCTGACTTGGATTCAATTAAACACAAGTTATAATAATTTCAGGATTAAGACTACTGAAATGCCACAGGAAAATGTTGATGTTGCCTAAAAATGGACATTTCTTTCTGAAATTCAAAACAGATACTGAAAAACTAATAGCTCAGTGAGATCCAGGCAGCAAATGTCATCAATTTGGGCTGCTTCCACTCAATTCAGAAAACACTATGGAGGGTGAGATGCTGCGAGGTACTATTGATGAACTAGCTAGGGAGGTGATCTGAATAATTGTGATAATGATGGCTACTTCTTACTGGGGGCCTTTACTGCATATTCTCATATGCACATTTGGTTATATTTTCTTCAGTTTACAGGTGAAGAAGCTGAAATTCAGAAAAATTAAGCAACTTGCCTAAGAGAGTTTTAATTCGTGTTTAGTTTGACTCAAAGTCTATATTACTCTCCCTTAAGCACTGTTCATTGTGCTTGCTAACACTTGCTAACACAAGGGAAAGTGTAATTAAAGCTATATAACAATAATATGAAGCTCTAGGAAGCACACAGCAGAGAAATAGAATGAGCAGGAAAGACATAAAAGAGCAGGATGACAGTAATGCTTGGGTGGGGACCAGGGATGTCCTATACAGAGGTAGCATTTGAGCTGAGGTGTAAAGAATGAGTGGGGTTTGAAAGGCTGACATGAAATGGAAAAAAGTATTCTAAGCCAAGTTGCAGAGATGGGCATTATAAGATATCTAGGAAAGGTCAGAACCAGAGTAGTTTGGGGCCAGATTTGCAGGAGTCTTGAGTGCCAAGCTAAGGATATTGATTTGAAATTGTTAAAAGATTTTCTGAATAGTTGAGTACCATAATCAAGTGTCTGTTTTCTAAAGGCCACTCTGGCAACAGAATGGAAGGGAGCTTAGAATTAGGCCAGAGTGTAGTTAACATTACACATAAATTATATTCAAATCATTCTATGGGCAGCCCAATTCTTTAGAAAATGCTACATTTTAGAATTTCATGGGAGATTTTCAGGCCAGCTAGAATGGCCAAATCTGTACTGCACTAAAAAGTACACATTTGGAAGCATGAGTACCCTAGGTGTGGCTTCTGCAAGAATAATAAAAAGTGAGCATTTTGAGAACCAGGGGGTGATTTCACTTGAATTCATACCCTTGATATTATTGTCACATTTTGGAAATTCCACAGTTGATCCTAGCAGAAATCTTTTAGTTCTAAAAGGCTATATATTTGCAAAATCCTCATTTATATTTAAATGTATGCTATAAATGCATCTCCACACACACATGCCCATATATGTATATAAACATACACAAATATGTTTATCCTATGTTCACATTCAAATAAACAGGTCTTAAAAAGAAAAACAGAGATAAAATCTCTGATTAATAGCCTAAAATTAAATAGGAAAAAACAATCCAAGAGATTGCATGTTCCTAGATTTCCATGAGGGGATTCACCACACATTTACTTCAATTTATTTCATGGACCTTAATGAGCTTATAGTGTCAACACCTGTCCTTTTTAAAAATGGGAGAAAATCTAATTTTCAAAGTTGAGACCCATTACTCTCTCCTGGGATGTCATTTGATATTTTATTAGTTTTATTTTCGACAGGTTTCTGGACTGGATTTCTATTTGCCCAAGGAGTGAGTACTGCTCCATTCTTTTTTTTTTTTTTTAAGATTGATTGATTGATTGACTGATTTATGAGAGACAGAGAGAGAGAGAAGCAGAGACACTGGCAGAGGGAGAAGCAGGCTCCATGCAGGGAGCCTGATGTGGGACTTGATCCCTGGGCTGAAGGCGGTGCTAAACTGCTGAGCCACCTGGGCTGCCCATACTGCTCCATTCTGTTTCATCTTAAGACACCTAAGAACAATGAGGGACCTCTACAGAGCATTCCATGATCTTACCTCAGGCACTGTCTGTGGGTCCAACTGCTCAGCCTTAATAGAGAGCAGAAGCCTATACAGTAGCACTACCACCAGACTCGTGGGAGATCCAGTTATATTCCTGAGTGTCTTTATAGGTACCTCTGCCATGCCTGCAGGTCTTTGCTAGAACTCCTATTTTGTTGAGTGCTTATTGTATGCTAGGCATTGTCCTAGTCGTCTTACAGATTTTATTTAAATCGCCACAACTGCCTTCTAATGTAATAGTGTTCTTTATTTTCTTTTTAAAGATTTTATGTATTCATCAGAGACACAGAGAGAGAGGCAGAGACACAGGCAGTGGGAGAAGCAGGCTCCTTGTGGGGAGCCTGATGCAGGACTCCATCCCAGATCCTTGGGATCAGGACCTGAGCCAAAGGCAGATGCTCAACCACTGAGCCACCCAGGTGCCCCTAATGGTCCTCATTTAAGAGAATTAAAAACCGAGGCTTATGAAATATAGATAATTCTTTCAAGAGCACACAGCTAGTGAGTGGGTGACTAATTTTTGGTATACCTAATGATGTGACATAGCTATTAGATTCACTGGATATATGAACATGGGTAAATCAGAAGACAAGGCCCTTCCTCTATGGCAGTACCTCTCTAAACCTGGCTACATGTCAGAACCACCTGAGGAGCCCTATATATACATTGAAACCCACACCTCATCTGAGACCAGTGAAGTCAGTATCTCTCTGGAAACTCAGGAATTCAAAATATTTTAAAGCTTTGTGGGGATTCAAATGTACAGTCAAGGTTAAGAACTATTATTCCGAGAATGTAATTTTACTGTTAGAAATGAAAAGTATCGGGGATCCCTGGGTGGCTCAGCAGTTTAGCATTGCCTTCAGCCCAGGGCATGATCCTGGAGTCCTGGGATCAAGTCACACGTCAGGCTCCCTGCATGGAGCCTGCTTCTCCCTCTGTCTGTCTGTCTCTCTCTCTCATGAATAAATAAATAGAATCTTTAAAAAAAAAAGAAATGAAGAGTATCTTAAGAAGCAGCTAAACTTGTCAGAGAATTATTGCAAAAGGAGAAAAAGTTTATAACTCTGCTAAATCTGAAATCACCATGCTTGGTAGACATTCTCCATTGCTTAAGTGGACAATACTAAGGAACTTTATTCAACAGGTCGACTTATTCAGCTTTGTGGCAAGGCAGGGATACGTTCTGCATTAACTCCCACTGGCAGAACCACCAGTGTGCAGCTCTCCCCCAAACCAAGGATTAAGGAGGCTCTTTTCTGCGATCAAGGTCTCTAGTAGTAACAACTACCCTAAGAAGCTTCAATCCAAAATCGTCTCCTTATGCTTTATGTGCCAAGAATTCTGGGACCTTAACCAAACATTTGTTCCTAGTGTTTGAGCACATTCAAAGCCTTTTTAAGGAGAAAATTTGGCCCAACTCACAAGCACCTTCACTGCCACGCTTGTGTAGGAGAGGGATGCCCTCCAACTGAACAAGCAGACAAATCAGGAGATGCAGTGTTTACTGCAGCATGTCAGCTGTGCTGCCTGAACTAGAACCCAAAGTTTATGGGCCATCTTCTAGTTAAGAACACTGAGTATATGAACAGTAGTTGGACCATTAAACTTTGAAATAACTATAAATCAACATTTTCAAATGTGAACATGAAAATCCATAGATGAGGGTGAAATTTTAGATGCGTAATAACTCTCCATTCCTCAAAGTTCCCCAAGAGCATCTCAAACTGAACATGCATAGGAACTGCCTGAGGATCAGGTTTAAATGCAGATTCTGATTCAGCAGGGTCTGGGTCAGGGC